CTTAAGTAGCTAGTTACCTTAGTGTTAAGTAAGATACCCCTAAATACTCTTAATAAGTATCTCTTTTTAAATATAAAGACCTAACTATCTCTATAATCTCTTTACTCTACTAGATCTTCCTTTATATAAAAGTAATAAATAGTATTATTAACTAGTTTAGTAAGTATATCTTTAGGTATTAGATTATTTTCTACTACTATAAAGTAGCTTATTATAAAGAAGATTAGAGATAAGTATTATTCTTCTTAAGTAAGAGTGTACTTATTATTATTATTATATTCTTCTTTTTCTTTATAGTTACTTATAAGTAAATAGAATTAATCTATAGTTTCTTATAGATTATTAATTTCTTTATCCTTATTAATACCTTTAACTTTAGTTAAGAATACTTAATATCTTTTAGTATTTAGTAGCTTTAGGTAGTTTCTACTAAACCACCTCTTTTTAGTTTTATTATATTCTTTCTAAGAGTAGTTTATTAACTAATAACCTTCTTTTTTATATATAAAGTACCTCTTTAGGGGTTATTTCTTACTATTAGTTTTATCTTATAAATCTATCTTCTTTTATAGCTAATAATAACACTAGAGTTATTAGTTCTAACTATAGTTATTACTTCTTTTAAACTTATAATTAATAAAGAAGGCTTCTTCTAATATTTTATTAACTTATTTATATACTATAATAGATTACTAGATATTAGCTAGTAGTTCCTTAAAGCTTAATACTAGCTTTAATAATACTAAGGTATATATAAGAATACTTTAAATAGCTATCTATAGTGTCTATATAAGATCCTAGAAGCTATATTACTAGTTAGAGAATACACTTTAATAGAGGCTTTATATTCTATTTATTATAATTATTAAGTATTATATTATACTTTTACTACTATTCTTTCTTATTATCTCTATAAGGGATAGAGTCTATTACTCTTAATAATATCTATTTATTTTAGTAATTAGTTTAAAATATCTCCTAATACTATTTATAAGGTTCTTAAATATTATATACCCTTATTAGTAAGGTTTATAATATAGAAGCCTTATACTTAGTCTTATAATATTATAAAGAATATATAATTAAAGGCTTCTTTAAGGATCTTAAACCTTTTATATTTATTAAGAAATAACTAGTATTTAATATTAAAGAAGTTATTTTTATTACCTCTTAAGAATTTCTTTACTTCTTAGAAGTTCTTTTTTAGGTTAACTATCTTATAAAGAATATTAACCCTTAACTATAATTATATTTAATTATTATAATTATAATTATTAAATAAATATTATTTATATTATAGTTAATAATTTAAGTATTTATCTTTTAGTATATAGTTTAAGTTAAACTTACTTTATACCCTTTATCTCCCTTATATACTATAGAATCCTTAAGGAGGTTTATTTAATAGCTTTAAATAATAGAAGGTTTTATTTATTATCTTTTCTTTATTTATTAGATTATTATTATAATATCTAGACTACCCCTAGCTACCTTTAAAATAGTTATTTCTACTATCTACTTAGAAATCTTTCTCTTCTTTAACCTTAATACTATAGTTAATAGTAAAAGATCCTTATCCTTAGTGTTATTAAAGGATATCTTTAGCTTTAAATTAGCTATTCTTACTACCTATAGAAAAATTTTCTTCTTTTCTAACCTTAATATTATAGTTAATAGTAAATCTTTATTCTTATAGCTAAAGGATAGTTCCTAATATCTTTATATAGCTTATTAACTATCTTCTTAGTTCTTTATTATATTTATTATTCTCCTCTTCCTCTAATAGGTCCTAATAGTAGCCTATTTAGGTTTAATATTTATTACCTCTAGTTCTAACTAGTGTTAGAGTTATTAACTATCTATTTTCTAAAGCTTCTATCTTTATAGTATAAGCCTTATAGTCTTTATCTATTAGTAGTTATTATAGTATACTTTTTACCTCTAATAGTATAACTAGACTATTCTAGATCTTATAGTCTAGTTAAACACTAATATAGATACTCTTTATCTAGAGGAACTTTTAAAATTCTCTTTTTATACTATTATTAAGTTTTTTAAATATTATAATATTCTATTTTTTAAATTATTCTTAGAATATTATTAAAATCTCTTTTAGAATAAGATCTTTATTCTTTAGTTTATTAAAATACTAGTATATTTAAACTATAGTATTATTAAACTCTTTTTTATTCTTTATTTTAAAGTTAACCTTTAATAGTTACTTTTATAACTACTAAATTATAATAGATCCTTTTAAGATAGTAAACTATTCTAATAAAGGTAATTAGATTACTAAAGGGGTCTCTATCCTTTAATTAATAAGTGTTTATTTTAGTATATTAAGGGCTTCTTTATTTTATCTTAGTTAGTTTAGTTATTCTAAATAAGGGTTATAAAAAGGAGAAGATTCTCCTAAGAACCCTCTTATAAATTTAACTATTTTATCCTTCTAATCCTAATTTTTAGAAAGTAGTAAGGTTTTATTTATTTTAGTAAGTTCCTCTTATTAAAGTAAGAACTTAGAGAATAAGAATTAGGCCCTTTTTAGTTAGTTCTTTTTAGAAAGATACTAAATTTAATATAGGCTATTAGTTTAGTAGTAAATACCTTCTTTAGGTTCTTTAAAGGAATTTTCTTATAATAGATAATAAAGTAGGGAATCTTTAAAGGCTATAGTAAATAATAATTCCTTACTTTTAAGTAGTATAGAAGGAATTATAATTAATCCGCCTCTTCTTTTCTTTACTATCTATAGTTATTATAACTACTAATTAGTATTAGAATAGGTTTATATTAATAGAATAAGATAATATTATTAAATTAGTTAATTCTAGTTATTCTTATTATTATTTATATAAATTAGTCCCCTTCTATCTTAGCCTTTTAGAAGCCCTTAAGGCTTCTTATAGCCCCTATTAAAGTGGGGCCTTTCCTAATCTAGCTAATTATAGGCCGCCTTCTAATGCCTGCTTGCACAGGCTTAACACTTCTATATTCAGTTTTTCTACCATTTAACGTATTCAAGTTGTCATTGGCAGAGTAGCCACGGCCAATGAACAACTGAGCATCCTGACCGGGTCCAGAAGATAAACTGGTGGCGAGTGTTAGTTCTCACTCTAGACAGCTTAATTCAACGAGAAATAAGGTTCTAAAACGCCGCCATGGGGCCGCCAGACAGCCTGGATGTCTTAGGAGAACTTAACCGCTAGCTCTTATCTTTTCCTGTGTCACAGTGTGAGAAGCATATCGTAGATGACCGTGAGTACAATAAGATGTGACATATACTACAAACGACTAATTATAACATCAATAGCAGACACAGTAGTTAAGTCCGTCAGACTAGTTTGCTAGGCGGACCGGTTAATGACATCTATGGCAACCTGGCATACGTGCGGGCCTTAAAGCAGGCTATGCGCCATTGATGACCATATTTGAGCAGTACGGGTGAAGTAGTCTCCTAGCTCCCTAAGAACGGTGGCCGACTCCTCGGTGAGCAGCGGGCCGGCAGGAGGTGTGGGAGGGAAGTCGACATCCATCATGTCGAAGTCGCGCACGATTTGGCTAAGTCTGTCTCTGATTAGGGTATGGAATTTCTGCGTAGTATTACGTGCGGCGTTTTGTAGGCTTAACTTAAAGATGTAAGCCTGCCTTAGCAACGTCGTGAAGCTGCGGTCTATATTAACGATATCCATTAAGCCGCTGATAAGTTGTATACGAGCACCAAGGATATCAAATTCTCGGTTAAGTGAAAGGTACGGCGGACATCGATGGTACAGAGCCAGACAAGCGGCGACTGCAGCTGGCTGCCAACAGGCACGACGGAGAGCTCCGTTGAGCGGCTATGCGCGCGGTCGACCGTTAGAGCACACAATAAAAGCCTTTCAACGTCGTTAAGCAGGTGCGAACCTATGGAACCATAAGACGAAGTAGTAATAAACAGAAGTAGTATATTCGTCTTAATAAGAAGGGGTTTGTATAATATCTTTATTGATTAGAATAGATGCAAGTGAGATGTGAGACAGAGGTTAAAGTGAGGAGAGTGCGAAAAGTCCAGGAATTAAGGAAAGCGAGTAGGCGGATGCATACCAATGGATGGATGATGATCTAATTACTGCTACTACTATAATAGGATACCATCACCAACGCCGCTCACCGCGCCTTGTTCCGGGACGGTCCGCTGCCTAGCCCCTGCAAACCACACACACTAACCACACAATGGGAGGTATATTTGCTTTGCGATGCTAAAAAGCATAGTTTAGTGCCTAGATTGGAGATTGTCTGCCGTGCCTGCCGATCTGGATGCCCTGACCGGGTTGGGCCGCCGAGGCAGACCATACAAGCCACACGCATCAACCCACGCGACTGGGTATATTTGCTTTGCGATGCGAAGAAGCACGGTTAAGTCTCTAGATCAGAGATCATCTGCCGTGTCTGCTGACCGGGATGCTATGACCTAGTTGGGCCGCCGATGTAGGTCATACAGCCACAGCACAGCAAACAAGCAAGATGTAGTGGGCGGTTTACTTGCAGTCATTGTTTGTTTGAGGAGACCAAAGGACTTCCAGCTACTTTATTCTTAAAGACATTTAAGCAGTGCTGGTATTGTAAGAGGGACAGAAATTGTGCGAATAGCTTCATATAAGCTATAATAGATAATGTTCTAAACTATGACAGACAATGTTCTAAACTATGACCTTGGCATTTTCTCCTACCCTGAATATAGAAACCTAGCCCAAAATAGACACCAAGCACAGCACGTATAGCACAGCCAGGTATTGCTGGCAGCACGTTATTCCTAACATGGCTCTATTCAAGACTGGCTCAGCAGTCAACAGCATCGTTATTCTGCAAGAACCAGTACTTTTATGTATGTAGATTATGCTAAAGAGTAGATGGATGGTTCTTGCGCTCTTGCAGTAGCTATCAGACCTATATACGCGCGCTAGTAATCTTGTGCCTGCCGTCAGAATTGACAGCGTACATATAACAAGCACAAACTCTTAGTTGTCATCAAGTTCTTCCTGCTCATCAAAGTCTTCTTTCTCGTCCATCGTTTCCTTCTCGTCAACCTCAGTCTTATGTCTTAAAACAAACTAAGCATATCATCTACTTTATACACCTACAGTATTGCTTTCCACCTTCCATAAACTCTTTGCATACCACATGCTCCGCGCTATCAGCGCAGTAGTACACATCACACTCGCTCTGAGCCGCGCACTTGACGGTGGCGCCGGCGGGCACGACGCTCAACTTGGACATGCACTGGCACGTGCCGGAGCCGCCTCGCTCGTTGACCGGGCACCCGACCATCTGACCCTCGTCGCACATAAACATGCGACAATCCCAGTCTCCCTTGCAGGACGCGTCCGCGGGGGGCTTCCCGGCGGTGCTCTTGCGGCAAGCGCACTGGGAGTTGAGGCAGTAGACCCATTCGCCGCGAGGGCACCGATAGGCGCTGCATTCGGCGTCCTTGAGGCACTGCCTCTCGGTGTGATCTTGGCGCGGCAGGGCGCTGCGGCAGCCGCAGGTGCCGTCGGCCAGGCACACCGGGTACGCGTCGGGTCCGCCCCTGTACCGGCGGCAGCCGCCGATGCCGCGGCAGCTCTCGCGGGGCTTGTCGGGCGGGGCGCCGTGGCGCGGCAGGCACACGCAGATGTTGGCGATGCCGTCGCAGGTGGCAAAGTAATCGTCGCCGCAGTTAAAGCGGCGGCAGCTCAGGTCGCTGCCGCAGGACCGCCGCGTGCCGTCCGTGGGGATGACGCCACCGGCGACGCAGCCGCAGTACTGGCCTTGGCTGGGCGCGCGGGGGTCGGTGGTGCAGGCGCGGTAAAAGTCGCGCGGGCACTCGTACGTCGAGCACTTGCCCTCGTCGTTGTACGACTCGCACGGCAGGTTGACCTCGGGCGTGTAGAGGGGCGGGTAGCTCGCGAGGGTGGCGACCGCGTCGGGACAGACGACTGTTGTCTTGCCGGATATGGTCTTGGTGGCCGGCTCGTGCATGGCGTCGTCGTTGCAGGTACAGTACGGGTCGAGGCCATGACTACAGCGAGACGGTACTTGTATCAGTGCGCGCTCTTGCCAGTTGATGTTTCCGTCAGCATCATGTACGTACCTTGCTTCCGTCCGGCATGACGTAATGGCCGTCTCCTTTGGCCTCACCGACACGGTAATGGTCGCCGTCGGCATCGTCGTGTACCCGCAGGGCGCGCTTCCCGCCTCCGTCATGGTCGCGTACAGACCGCTGGTGACGCTGCGCCCGGGACTCATGCTTGAGCAGAAGCAGAAGCCCGAGGGCTCGGCCACGGGCTTGCCGTCAAAGCCGTCGCCGTACGAGTTGCTCGAGCACTGCGGCGGGATCACGGCGGGCAGCGCGGCCTCGAGCTCCTTGATGATCTGCTGCTGCTGGTCGGCCCACTCTGCGTCGAAATAGCCCAGGATGACTCTGCTAGCCCACAAGGCGCAGCGGCAGTCTTTCTTGGGGCCCTGGGGACGTGATGTTAGACGGCAAGTCAATCTGATGTTGCAAAAAGCTGGCTCACCTCTCCCGTGCAGACCTTGTTTTCTCCCTTGCAATCCGGATCGTCGCATGCCGGCTTCAGAGATGGTCAGTAGCGCTTTTTTGCGTGTGCAAGCTTAGCTGCCGTTCGAGACAACTCACCGAGTTCTCGTCTACGGTCGCCGCTGGATCGCACGCGCTGGAAGTCGTGGTGGACGTCGTCTGCGTCGTCGTCACCGGCACATCGACATCCTGCAGGCCGCCAAACTGGCCGCCGGCGAAGACATACTTGTGCGGTACCTCGTTGACGCGATCGCCTGCTGAGCTCAGGGAGAGCCCGAGAGCTATCGCGGCGGCCACCATGATGATGGCAAACTTGTTCTTTCGTGAGTTCGTCTTGAGCACCTGAAACGCCGCGGCCATGATCGCCGGCGCGTTTTCCTTGAGCACGAGGGTGAAGGCGTCCCACTCGGCCGGGTTGACGAGCGCCAACGTCTCGTCGTTTTGCGCCGCGTGCTGCAAAAAGTCAATCATGCAGCTCGTGCCTAGCAAAGCGGTAGCGACCAGGTCAGCGCTGCGGTTGTCGTGACATGCTGGGATAAACGTACCATCTCGCTTCCTCCGCCTGACCGGGGACGCGCACGAGGCCATGCCCGTCTTGATGAGGCCGTCCAGCTCCTTTTGAAGCGTGTCCGCCAGGAGCACCGTCACGTCGCCGACCTTGACTCCCTCCGAGTCCGCCGTGGCGGTCACGACGGACAGCTGCTGCTTGACTGCAGTCGTTGTCTCGACATTGTTGATCGTAGTCGTGACAATCACCTCGGTCAGGTATTCGGTGTTGATACCAATCCACTGCGAGGTCCAGGTCAGCACCGTACTGCAGGAAAAGAGACATGGCACGGCATACTCTTGTGGTCTCGCCGTCCTTGGTCAGATACTGGGTATCCACGCCAATGGGTGCGCCGTAGATTTGGTGCACGACAATGTTGCCGTCGATTTCCTGACGCTTTGCCATCATGACTGGAGCAGCGGTAATCTGAGGGCGATGAGCGTGTACCATCCCCAAGAGGGTGGTAGCCAAGAGTAGTTTTGATTGCATATACATGGCAGAGATTAACGTTCAAGGTAGTAGTCTGCCGATGCAGGTTGACGGAGTAGCAATGCCAGAGATACTCTGGCTCTTTAAATATGAAACATGGCCACATGCTGCGACTCTCTGGTACATGCATCAAATGACTATAGACGGTCCATCGTTCTGGGTGAATGTTAGCATTCTGCCTCGTCACAGCGCTCGGCAATCGTCAATGCGAGGCTGGTTCGTTGCGGAGTGTCTACTTTCAGGATTCTACATTCTACCTTGATGCGCAGCAGCCATTTCGAGACCTATCCGACGACAAGCCTCGCTGGGCGCGACATGCAGTTATCCAGGGCCTTGTTTGCTCCATCATGTGTCAGTGTGGTTTGATGCCGCCTACCCATATAGCTCGCCCTGTACGGGGCGACACACTTTCATCGCCACCAGTCGCCGCGTAGCGACCGTCTCGATTGGCCCGCTTACCGGTCTCGCACCGGGCGGAACCATTGCCAGGTCTGAAAACAAGGCTTTAGCAAAGAAATGCCAAGCTCAAGGGCAACAGGCGGCGGCATTACAAGCGGCCAATCAAGCGTCCAGGTCGCGACCACGCGTGACGAGGCGAAGCAGCCTCAATTGTTATACTATTGCCGGTCTAGACTGACCAGGGTGTTTTTTTCCGCCAGGCTGAAGCGCAAGTTTGTATTCTATCCGAATTTGGGCGTATAATGACTTAGCTATTAATAGGAAAGTGTCGATCGGGTTTGATTTTTCGGCTAGAGCCTCGCCAGCCGCGTTTGGGTGACCAATCACCAGGTCCAGCCAGAAATCAGGCTGGGGTAGGCCCTGCGCCCTACACACTTGGCGACACAAGATTAAGCTTGAAAAGGTCCTTATTTTTATGATTTATCTATAGAGAGCCTCGTGTGGCTGTGCGCAAAAGCGGGCATTCAGATGCTTTACGCGGCTGCAGCAGTTCTGTCTCTGGTACAACTCTGCTTTGACGGCGCGTGTCTGCCTCGAGGTCACGCTCTTAGCGGTGCGATGATTATCGTTAGGCGGACTGGAATGAATGCGGAACTTCCAAAATCGTCTCTTCCATTCGAGGCTGGGCGGTACTTGTAGTAGAGCGGCCAACTGTGACTGGGGAACCTTGTATATATAGACGAGAGACGGTTTTGCTGCTCTGTCCCTTTTCAAACAGATTCTGGCATTTATAATACAAATAAAATCGACAAACAAGTGATAGACCAACTCAACGAGCAATGTTGCATTCTTTGAAACTAACAGTTTCTCTGCTGGCCTCTTACCTTTTCTTTGTGCAGAAATGCTACGCCGGATATGCTATCCAGCCTGACTGGTAAGCTAGTCCATCCATCTCCACTGCGCGGTGCTCGCAAAAGAACGGAATGCATCTAACGACATTACAGTAAGCCAGCACAGCTTGCTCATATTTATGCATGTTGCCGAATGCTGACCGCAACAGGCACCGACGCGCAACGCCGCTTCCTCGAGACGGGATTCGCCAATGCTAGAGCTCTCGCCGACGTTGGTTTGGTGTATGCCATGGAAAACCACCGGCGAGGGGCTGAACTGTTTAAGTGGCTGTACGGCACCGAAAGCCCCGAACTGACGAGAACAAGCGTGACCAGTAAGCGCCCGGTCCGGAGCATCGTCTGGCTCCTCATTTCTCTTCATGCAGCACGCCCTTTGCTAACCTCAACGGGACGTAGCCTTTCTGAGAGGCATCTCGGAGAATGCCACGCCCGTTCTGGGCGAGCCGCGGGGAGGAAGCGAGCCCCAGAACGTTGACGTTGTGAGTCTTGCCCCCCTCGTCGCGCCAGACGGAACCGGTGATGCCCCTCAAGCCGAGTACCTGGCTGACACACGAACCCAGGTAGTGTATTGCACTCTCGATCGCCTGCGTCTGGGAGCCCCGGGCAAGTCGGACGCCGCGCGAGTCTTTGATACCGGTGAGAAGCACCCGCGTCCGCGATATCGGTCTCGCGGCCATGACATTTCGAGAATCGCAGAGCGCTGACCGTGCCCATGGCATTTTTCGATTGCAGCGACCAAGGAGTTTCTTCGGCTGCTGCGTGGTCCGGTCGACGAAAGCGAGCTGACAGACGAGGAAAAGGCGAAGCTGGCTGAGGAACAGAGGAAGGCAGAGGACGACAAGGCCATCACGGAGTGCAAGATCAACTTTGCCTACTCAAACACGGCCGGAGATCCAAACCACCCAGACGTGTTGCAGATGTGCCCTTGGTTTCTCACGTACGCCATGCAGCAGCACGCCCAGTTCGCCGGGCAGTTCGACTCGAGCAAGATGGCCTCCATGGTCAACCTCCTCAGGCTGGACAAGGCCGTGACCAAGGCTCTTTTAACGCCCATCGACCTGTTCAGCCTGTTCGACAAGGTCCTGGTTCACGAGGTAAGCCGCCAGGCCGCGACCTGACGACCCCGATCACGCAGCGGCCATTGGCTAATACGAGAGGGGGACAGCTATCACACTCGCGACGAGCCGGCCAGTCTGACGACGTCAGGGGCATCCTGGGCTACGGTAGGCTTCACAATACAAGCGTCGTTTCTCATGACATGAGGAGAGAGAGACTGACAAGGGTGGAATAGGTTGGAAACAGTGTCGCAAGCTGTCTACGACACGCGGACAAAAAGGAGCACAACGCAACGCAGGTAAGAAGTTGCCGTTTTTGCGGGGGGCGTGCCTCAACAAGGACGATTGGACTCCAGCCCTAACAAGATGCGTTTTCTTGCAGATTCTGTCGCCTTGTTCGCGTCCGCGGCAGGCCTGATCGAGAGGGGCATCACCGTCAACATCGACGGCAGCTTGACCCTACCAGACGCGGCGGCGCCAGCAGCACCGGCCGACACTACGCGGGAGAAGGACTGGGATCCCCAGGCTCTGCCGCCTGATTTCGAGAAGCGATGAAGCCATGGGTGGAGGATTGTCGATGAGTTTTCGCGATGATGCGCCGGGTTCCTTGATGGTACGGCGTGACAAGAACGGTCAAGCTCATCTTGACTGCATGTTATCACCCTTGGCATCTAAGCCACTTTAGCTACTTTCAATAAAACGGTTCATGTCCACGACTGTGCAATCTGCAGTTACCTCAGATTCCTCAGTGTCACGAGTCGCGGGGCGTCACGGGCGAGAAGGCTGGTTATTTAACCGCGAAGAGGCAGAGCAGAGGCTGGGGGGGAAGCGCCTGCTTCAGTGATGAACAAGATCATTGTTGATAGCCACCTACTAGCTACTATAAAACAACGATTCTCTTGCCACATGCCCCTTGATCCCCCTCCGGCCGGCCTCTATCCCCGCCACTCAAGGCGGAGGCCGCAGCCGGCGCGTAATCGTACACGGCAGCGTCGCATCCTCGGTCGCCGCATCGGCCGGAAACGGAAGAATCAGCTCAAAGTGCGACGGACGCGTCACCGGCCGCACCAGCGCCAGGATGGACGCCTCCAGACCCTTCCACTCCGCGACCAGGACCGGGTAGTTGAAGCCCAGGCTCATCTCGAAATGCAGCCACTCCAGCCCCTCGAGCGCCGCCAGCGCCCGCCACACGTCCACCCAAAGCTTCTCTCGCTGTCCCGTGTTCTTCTTCGCCTTCAGGTACAGCGGGCGGAAGAACTGCAGGCCGACGCTGACGTGCGCGATGCGGGCCCTGTGCGCCGCCGGGAGCCACCCGGGCATGCGCGTCAGGGCGCGCGGGGAGCGTGAGAAGTCGAAGACGGTGCGTCGATAGAGCAGATCAATGCATTCCGAGTAGCTGTGGCGGCAGATCAGTATTTATCTTGCAGCAATGGGAAGGGTGGTTGCGTACATTCTCCTACACGTGTACAGGAGCGACAGGTGGGCGTGCCCCCATCTCGTCGCGCCGCAGTCGTGCGGATGGGTCGAGCCCTGAAAGTCGCTCGTGTCCGCGAGGGCGGCGCAGAGCTCGACGCGAATCGTTCCGTCCTCCGTACTGAGGATGTGAAGCACCTGCGTCGGGAAGCACGCGTGCCAGACGGCCAGACGCAGCTCGGGCGGGAGACGGAGCAGCGGCGAGGCGTCTTGCGGGTTGGCTCTGCGGGGTGGGATGGGGATGGGGCGCGGCGGCAGAAAGAGCATCCGCTTGCGCGCGCGAGAGCAAAGGTCGCGCAATTGGAGATTCCGTGGCATTATTTCATTGTCGACCAGATCGAAAGCGGTCATGCTTGTTCACAAGAGTGAGCGGGACAGGGCCATTCTTTATGCACAGGTAAAGCTGTCTTATGAGGACAGACAAGGCTGGCTCGCCAAGATGACCAAAGCACAGCCTCACGGCAGGGCTGCCACTTTCCAAGCCGCTGGCCGAATGAGGAAGTAATTTTCTCTTTCAGAATGTGCGGCATACTCTTTACGACTGGTGCTGCTGTTGCTGCCACCGCATGATATGCGCTGCCAGGTCCACGGCCGTTGACTAGTGGGATGGCTACCCTGCACCTGGGCGCATCTCCGCGGGTTCGACTGGGGTAGACAGGTAAAGGGAGTGAAGAGTTGCGCGATAGTGCTTATGTAGAATCGCGAATGTGCCGCACCATCGTCCGAGGGACCAGAGTACCGTTTACCCTGCTTATTCACGCATCCTACCCGTCATGGGCTGTATTGTCAATTACCCCGCTCAAAAGCAGGCTCTCTGTGGCGCGTCGTAGAACTGACAAATGAGAGGATCCATGTAAGCGCCATGCTGCTGTTCGGGCGACCAAAGCCCCGTGCAGCCTTGCAATGGCACCAATCATTCACAAGGTTGTGCCTAGCTCAAGGTTGTGCCTAGCTCAAGGTTGTGCCCAGCCCAACGTTGTGCTGGGCACAACACCTGCTCCCCTTCACCGGCCCAACGTTATGCCCAGCTCAACGTTGGGCCGGTGTAGGGGAGCGGGTGTTCGACCAGCCTAGAAGGGGGGTGGGCGTATTTCTATACGCTGCCATATGAAGGCATACGCTGTCGTATGAAACATCCCCTATTTTTATACGCCCTATAGAATATATATAAAGTTATATATAAACTTAAGCTAGTAAGAGAAAGCTTTTAATATAAAGTTAATATCTTATAAAAAAACTTAAACCGAAAGGCTCCTATTACTACTCTTAATACAGAAGTAAGTTATAAGTAATCTTAATAGCCACGCCGCTTATTCTTCTAAGTATAACTAGCGTTCGGCGCATCTCTCTTTTCAAAACTTACTTAGCGCTAAAAAGCTGAAACGGAGGAACAAAGTGGCCGCATCGCACTAGCATTTTTAGCGTTTAGACAGAGTCGCGCGGGACGCTGATTATACTCAAGACAATAACATTGCGATCTCCACGCGCAACAAGGCGGCAGCGGCAGCGCTTAATCGACCCCACCAGCAATCAGGACAAGAATTCATTAAATGCATTTACGACTCAGTAGAGGAACTGGCCGGCAAAGGAAACACTGTTGTGGTGAGTTAGGAGTCACCAGACAAGAACAAGCTGCTACAAACGGCCAAAAAGCAAGCAAAAGGCAGCGACAGAGCAAGGAGCTGTGCCACGCCCCGTTTCCAGTCATGAAATCAACACTGTTGCATAACGAACAGAGGAAGCTTAGAGGCGAACGAAGCATACCTGAAGGAGTCGGACGATTCTCCAAGACAAGGATTTGAAACACAGGCCGAACTCACAGCTCATGAGACAACTATTGCTGTGTTTGCCTGACGGCGTAGTAAGAACGGCACGAAAAGATGGCCGGAGGGCGCGTTTCTACACATTCGAATCACAACAAAGAGTGGAATATAAAGATACATACCGTAATAGTAGGCTAAAAGACCTAACTTTTCGTTAAAGCAAACGGCGGCCATCTAGAAGTTTTGTCGAGGCGGCCACCGATGCGGTGAATCAGCTGCATCTTATTGGACTGATCCTTTCACAGCTGGCGAAACAAGAAAACATGTTGCTTCACCATTCTGCAGCTGACCCTAAAATGAAGTGTGAGAAAAAGAAAAGATGAAATTAGAAACGGTAGAAATTCTACGGACTATTCTATGAAATGGGTTGCGTGTGGTTGATCCAGTTTGGCGAGTTTGGCTAGCTCCAAAGCTGTAATTATCATAGTAAGTTTCTGTTGAGGTTACGACTTTTGCTTTCGTGGCCGGCTATTATTAACAATACAAGAAATTTTCTCAATCATCACTGTAACTTTGTTTTCTCATGTAAGCTATTTGAAAGTTAGCTTCCATGCAATTATTTCTTGCCAATCTGGAGTGACGCTACATTCATGGCGCCAAAACACCCGAGTCGGCTAGGCCGCTTCATAATCCAACCACTCACTCTTGTACCTTCTCCTCCCTAACAGAGAGCTTTAGGACCCGATGCACGTAGACTGGACCTCAACACGAATGTCGCTCATGTTGCCCTTCATATGAACGGCGGTTTTGAAGTTCCGCGATCTTATCAGCATCTTTTACCGCCCCTGGCGTCCTGATCAGCTTAGTACGTGCCAGGTCTGACGCGGCGCGAAGAGATGTGGGATGCTAACTTAGTACGTCGCGCCAGCGAGCACATCCCGTCCCTGAGAACTGATTTCTCATGTTCAAGTCAGCGCGCTCACCGCAACCTACTTCAATCTTCTCATGTGAAGGCAGGGATACAGAGAACACGCGTACCGGACAAAAAGCAGGAGTACATATATGCCTCAGGCAACTATCCCACACATCCGAATTCTTTCCGCCATTCTCGCCTCCCCTGACTAGGGCCTCATTCATCTTAGTATCGGGCAGTCGTCGCAGCTTCACACGCAATGCCGCCAAATATCTCCGCCCTCTCTCAGTACCAGATACAGAGGTTCTTCCGGGAGAACACTTCCGTGACGCAGGAGTTATGCAACACGGAAGCCGAACAAATTACAGGCCAGTCCGTTACCGCAACACTGTGCCAGGGCGGAACCAGCTACACTGTTGAAGGCGGGCAACTCGTTGTCAGTTCCGCATCCCAAGTTCCGCTCTGGACATGGATTTGCTCAAAAGCATCGAACAAGCTTATCGCGGCTTCGCACCACAACACAAGCACCGAGGCAAGCTTGGCAAGGTCGAAGTCTATACCATGAACAACATAGGCGGAATCTGCATGTATCTAGCCCGAACCGAACTACAGAGCAACGACTACCACCTCCTACGAGTCACACTTGATAAGTATGCAAGGTTTGTTGAACCTCACCTACTCTCAAGCTATGGGAAGCATTAATTAACCTGATCAGCTACAGATTCTTTGCCTCTGCGTATCATAACACACCTGCCGAGATGGCACGCCCAGACCGCACTCAGCTACGGGACAAGTACTTGTCACAGCTCCAACAGCTGCGCCAAGGGCTTCCAGAACGTTTTCATCCGAAGCTTGACGAGATTATCCCCAAACTCCCAGACTTGTTCACCGAGGGGTGGCCGCTCGTACCCAACCATATCGACCTCCTCGAGAACAATATCCACGTTGATACGGCCACGGGCAGGATTCTGGGTGTCTGCGACTGGAGAGGTGCCGAGGTTAGTCCCTTTGGCATGTCCCTAGGAGGGGTCGAGATCATGCTTGGAACTCTAACCACGAGCGGAGACTTTTGGCGTTACCATCCAAATCATAAGGAGCTCCGAGATCATTTTCGGGAACGGTTCTACCACTATCTGGGAGGGGCATCTGACGAGGAGAAGCGGCGCATTGAGGCTGCTAGACTCATAGGCCTCTTCCTGGCCAATGGCTTCCAGAATGGCAAGCCGGCGACCGAGGAGAGCGAGGACCTGGGATTTCTCGGGGCGGTTCTTCAATACGGCACTCTGCCACCGACATATGTGTCTCCACTTTGAGCCCTTGGGCTGGGGTGGCCACCAAGGAAGAGGAGGAAAGCAAGAAGTGCCCGAGAATAGGTGAGGGTCTGTAGAAATGATATGTACTCTAGTCCCTGAGAATGGCATGGATTTAGCCTGAGCTTACAAAAGACTTACTAGTAACTTCAGTTGATCTCTCCATCATGCTTGAACCTAAGGAAGTCAAACCTGGGGAGATACGAGACGAAACCGAACTAATTGCTTGAACACATGGCGTCGCTTGTGGCTCGATGTACAGCTCCATCGATTGAGCCTATACGAACCGTGGCATGTTGAATTCGTTGAAGGTGTGTGAAATGATGGGTGCAGCTGGGTTAGACTCAAAACCGTGTGGATGCGGATACAAGCGAAGATGCATGGATGTCATCACCCCCATAGTATCCGCCCCTGGTAGTTATAATGTGGCAGAGTCGTTTCAGATGTGGCACCAAGAGACAATAACACCTTTCCGTAGCAGATGCAGTCAAATCCGAATATGGAAGGACAATTGGCATGAGGGTCATTTTGTCCGCCTTGTTGGATCCGTAAACACATGGTTCGCCTCGAAATTTGTAACGGCTTAACAAGGCGGCAAGTGCAATACCAGAAAACCCCTACAACAAGCAAATATTTTGTTTGTCTTACAGACTTTACAAGGCATCAACAAGGCAACCGAAAATGAAGCCTCAGGAGGGCTGCTAAAACCGAGAACGTCCCATACAAGACCTTGTGTATCGCGGAGCAAATCTAGGGTGTGGTAGGAGCGTAGTTGTGCCTTGAGAAGAGAAATGTAGCTATCTAGGCTACAGCTATGTGATGTGCTAATGGTCTGTACCCCTGTGAGTCTCTCAGGCAAGCCATGTTCGTGCCGTGACATTGTGTCAGCGCAAGCATCGCATCCCCGGACATGAAATCTCCGCAAACTCTCGAAAGCCACACAGGAGCTGCGAACCACCAATGTCGCCTTAGCGAACAATTGGATCACTTTATCGAACCTGTACATCTTCATCACACTTTGCTCCCTTGTGCGGACGTTTCGCCAAAAAAATAATTCAGTAATTTTTTAAAGTAAAGTTTAAAAATAGCCTTAGCTAGGTTATTTAGTCGATTTAAGTGATCAGATCTTTGCTCCACAAGGGAGGCATAACAATGGGCCCAGCGCTGTCGACGTGAACGTTATGGGTTACCGAGCCATCTGACTTAGTTGCCTGGTTCTAATACTCACCAGGGCTAGGCTGTAAGGGGTAAGCTTCTGGATTGCAGTACTAGATGTTCCATCCGGTGGGAACCGGGTTCGTGACCTCCTCAATCATACGATCAAAAGGCAGAACGACGGTGAGAGTTTCAGCTGTGCCCCAGACAATATCCAGCTCAGACGTACGCCTATCGTCTCTATTACTCTTCTTCGTGAAGTCTTTAACCTCAATGGCGATAAGGTCTGTCAGGTCATACTTAGAGAGATATTTAGCAACATCGAAGATAAACTGTGGTGGAACGGTCTGCTCGTTCAGGGGAGAAGAACCCTCAGAAAACTCAAAGGGAATTATAGCGCAATGTATCACCGAACGGTTAATCCGATCTGTTGAAAAATTTTGGTTCGTAAGAATGTGTGACTACATGTCGGGGTTTCCCCGAAATCTTTCTGGTGGCAAGACACTTGTAACAGTTGGATGAAGACATCATAACCTCGAATGCGAGGTGTGGCATATAAGGAACAATAATTATCCACTGTGCGTGGGCGCCCTATTTTTGGCACAACAGCTTGCGGAGGATAATTGGAATAGGCGGTCTTTGTCGGACAAAGTATACACTCGCAACGCAGGCCGAATGCCCGTTACGAGGAGAATCACTCCCCGCCAGAAGGGGGAACTCGCTAAAAAAGGTAGCCCACGCCTTCGAAACACGCCGATCTGACGAAATCGTAGCGGCTGCCCGAGACCATATACGTAACGTCCTGGCCAAAGCCTTTGATCACATAATGCTGATGAAGCTAATAGCTGCACGAATCTGGCCATGCATTTTTCGAAGAAACGGAGTCCATAAGCGAGAAAGAGATCGAAGTGCCGTCGCGAAGCATCATTTTCGTGATGCTCGGCATTTTCCATCTTGACAAAACACAGGAGAGTAATGATCAGTGGACACCAAACATACCAGGCTATGCATATGAAGTGACAGATGAGGATAAAGTAAGATTGCATAAGGGAACTGCTGTTGTTATCATACATACCAGTTGAAGTCGGGTCGATTAGCTGAATAGATTTGGTCGAAACAAAAGTGCCCAGTCATCATCCTGGCCCCAAAGTTCATCCATCCTCATAGTTGTCTCTAGAACTTACCAATTTTCGTCAAAGTAATATTGCGCTCTGTATTCAGAACTATTAAGATAGTCGCAGCGGGTAATAGGTCAGCAGGCTCTGCGAGAGGAAAGGCCTAAACCGTGCAGTTGCTTGTGAAGCCTGTGCTTGTCAGATGGCGTTGATGCTGTAGAGTGTTCCCACCACAGCCGGCTATCGCCGCAGCTGCTACGAGGCTGTTCATTCCGTGCAATGAAGGTTGTGTAATGCCATCTAACGTGTCTTTGTCAGACGCATGCTCCAGCCAAATATGGCAGACCGGTAATTCCATCAGGAAGATAGCCATTTCGCCGGCGTCGGAAGTTTCCAGCCACTCTGCTATCCCATTAGAGCGGAGAAACTGCGCCTAATAAAGATTTAGGTTAATAATTTATTAAGAATTCTTTTTTTATATATTTATTTTATTCTTTATTATATTATTTAAATTATTTAAATTATTTATATTATTTATATTATTTATATTATTTATATTATTTATATTATTTATATTATTTATATTATTTATATTATTTATATTATTTATATTATTTATATTATTTATATTATTTATATTATTTATATTATTTATATTATTTATATTATTTATATTATTTATATTATTTATATAAATATATAAGTATTAAAATTCTAATTATTAAAATACAATACTAACTCTAGTATATATAAATTAATAGTAAAAGAATAGTATAAAGTTAAAAAAGAATTATAAAAAAATAATTTATAAAAAGTTAATAAAGAGTAAAAGAAAGAAAAGACTTTCCTATAAGAAGTTTATAATAATATAATTATAAAGTATTATTTATAGAAACTATAAAGAGACTAATTAAAAAAAGAAAAATTACTTTTTAATTATAAAGTCTATTTTTATTTTATAACTATTTATAATTTAATAAAAAGAAAGTAAATAAAATTACTATAGACTTTTATAAATAAGTTTTTAGTATTTTATTTAACTATAATATTAATTACTTTTCTAGTAATTATACTCTCTAATAAATAAAAATAAACTATATTTTAGAAGAATATAAATATTAGAAAAAAGAAGAAAAGAAGAAAAAAGAATAGTCTATAATAATTAATTATTAGTTATATATAAAAGAGTAGTTATATAAAAGTAAGAATATAATAAAGAGCTATTATAGAGGACTTCTCTCTTTTAGTAATTAATATAGTTATTACTAGGAATTATTTATTATTTTCTAACTATATTATTACGACCTTACTATCTCTCCTTCCACCTTCAGGCTAGCCGCATTCTTTGACACCTTCCAAGCCTGCGGGATGGCCGCGCCCACGTCCAGCGCGTCGCGCATGGCCAGATTGACCCCCTCGCCGGCATACGTCGTCATCAGGTGCGCCGCGTCTCCGAGGATGGTGACGCCCGGCACGGGGTCCCATCGGTGGCCGACCGGCAGTTTGTAGAACGGGCGTAGGTCGTACCTAGTCGTCGGGCCGCGATTTCCGGGTGCGGTGCTGTCCTCGCAGGCCGCCTTGATGAGCCTCTTTGGCATGTCGGCGAACGTGTTGTAGAGGGTGTCCGTGGTGGTGAGGAAGGTGTAGAGCATAACGGCGTCCATGTCATGGATCCCCTCGCGCTCGGCAAAGTTTTCGTCGGCCGATGCCATGGTAATGTACAGCCGCTCCGACCGCCGGACGCCGTGCTGGCCCTTAATGACGCCGTTGCCGTCTTGCAGGACGCATATGGTGCCGTCGCCGCAAAACTCGGCCAGGTCGGGGGCCGCCCCGGCAAGTAGCAGATAGTGAGGGTCAGGTTCTGGAGGCCGGTGTACTCTGGCCGGGCGTCGGACACGAGGGGACGGATGCGCGACCAGCACCCGTCCGCGCCAATGACCACGTCAAAGACGTCCGCGTCGTCGCCAAAGTTGAGCCTCGTCTTTCCCTCGCCGACGCGCTCGGCGGAAGTGAGCTTGGCGCCCCATCGGATCTTGTCGTCTGGGAGTTTTGACAGCAGGAGCCGCATCAGCTGCTGTCTCGCAATCTCGGGGCGGTTGTTGCCACCCTCATCAGCGTACAGGGCAACGCCGTCAGCGTTGATGATTTTCCAGGCCTCGGAGCAGTCGCTCGTGCAACACGCGAATGCCTCTGAGAGTCCGCAGGCCCGGATGGCCTGGAGGCCGGATTTCGTGGAGGTCGAGACTGCCGGGCGGGAGGTCAAGCTCGTCCTCGGTAGGACGCTCACGCAATTCGGTTGCGAGCAATACTAGCAGCCGTAGACGTGCAAGCAACGAATTCTTTGGCTTTCGGGTTTTAAAATCCAATCTCATTAGTAGTCTCTTTTCTTCTATTTCCATTTTTACCAATTTTTGTATGCGAAGACATGGAAAGGCCTGTGGTGGGAGAGGACTGGGAATAAACGGCCGGACAGTCCAGTGGAAGCTCGCCGGCTCCCAGGTCAACTAGAATTTGTGAAATTGCAAGATTTACTGAGAAAAATAGCTTGCCATCATATTTATGTAAATTTACTCGTTAATTTACACTTCAATCTGACCTAAACTCTCCTGTGTATGTAAACCAGCCCCGACTGAGGATTCTGCCACCGTTTTACGCTACCCTAGACCGCACCTGTAGACCAACTGACCCACCTTTTTCTTGACGCCTCCATCCCGCATTATGCAGTCGCAAGCTGATCAAGTTGCACCACGAACAGCATCAATCAATTCCACCGCTTCCGCTGGCACGCAAGCCAACGGACCCCATCGACAGCATCATGGCGTCCGAGGTGCCCAAGCTCCTCTGGAATTCGGAGAACATCAAAGACGTTGCCGAGTCGGTCGGCATCGGCGCCCTCAACGAGGAGGCCACCAAGGCGCTCGCCCAGGACGTCGAGTACCGCGTCGGCCAGGTCATCATCGAGAGCCTGCGCCTCATGCGCGCCGCCCGCCGCACTACCCTCACCGTCAACGACGTCTCCCTCGCCCTGCGCGTGCTCGACGCTGAGCCGCTCTACGGGTACGACTCGACGCGCCCGCTGCGCTTCGGCGAGGCGAGTCTCGGCCCCGGCCAACCGCTCTTCTACATCGACGATGAGGAGGTTGAGTTTGAGAAGCTCATCAACGCGCCACTTCCCAAGGTTCCGCGAGACATGAACTTTACTGGTATGTCAAATTGCTCGTAAGCACATCAAACAAGAACCCCGACAGGCTAACCGTCAACAGCACACTGGCTAGCCATCGAAGGCGTCCAGCCCGCCATCCCTCAAAACCCCACCACGGCCGAGTCGCGATCCCAAGACCTGCTGCCCAAGGGCACCGGCGCCAACCCCGCGCTCTCCGCCCTCGCCGGCAACGACAGCTCCTCCTCGTCCAACCCCTCCGTCAAGCACATCGTCAGCAAGGAGCTCATCCTGTACTTTGACAAGATCCAGGCCGCCATCCTCGACGAGACCCCCGACGAGGAGGTCGTCCGCCTGCGCCAGGCCGCCCTCGGCTCTGTCCGCGACGACCCGGGCCTGCACCAGCTCGCACCCTACTTCATCAACTTCATCATGGACCGCGTCACCCACCAGCTCGACGACACCTTCACCCTCAAGCAGATGATGGAGCTGACCAACGCCCTCATCGAGAACAAGACCCTGTTCCTCGATCCCTACGCCTCCTCGCTCTCCGCCCCCGTGCTGACCTGCCTGATGGCGCGCCGGCTCGGCGCCGACGACGGAGTCGACGCCATGCGCGAGCAGTACGAGCTGCGCCAGCTCGCCGCCTCGCTCCTCGGCCGCATGGCCCACAAGTACTCCGCCTCCAACGCCCTCCTCCGACCCAAGCTCACGCGCACCTGCCTGCGCTACTTCCTCGACGCCACCCGGCCGCCGGCCGTGCTGTACGGCGCCATCAACGGCATCCTTGAGGCTGGCGGGCCTGAGGCCATCCGCCTGCTGGTCCTGCGCAACCTCAAGAGCTTCGACGCGGGCATCCTGCAGCCCCTGAAGGAAAGGTCGGAGGGCTCCATCGAGTACGAGATGCTCGTACAGGGCCTGGCGCAGGCCGTGGCTTCGCTGGTCACGCACGCCGACGCCGCTGCGGTCGACGTCGCCGGAGCGGTGACGCCCGCCCAGCTGAGCGAGCTGAACGAGTTTATCGGGTCGATCGTCGGCAAGAGGATCGCGTCGTCGAACAATGCGAGACTGATCAAGACGGTCCTGGAGGCGCGATCATTTGAATAGGAAAATATTTTTGGCTTTGGTATTGGACACCGGCACGGCGAATACGGCGTTTAGTGGACATGAAATATTTAGTCGTTATCTGGGCAGGACAGGCTCAAACGAGGGCCGCGGCGGTGCGATTTCCTTGTAAAATAATCAAATAAAAAGAGAGTCGGATCGGCAGGTTTCTGCTGATTGCATGTCCGTGTTTTTGTGCGCCTCGTGTACAGGTTTACTGCTTGATATCTTGTGCTTGATTTGTGCTAACAAAGGAAATGTGCATTGCCCAAGGATTCTTTAAACAAGCCAACATCTGGCCAACCGTCCACGTCCCTGAAATCTTCTATAAGCCCCGAATTTTCCGTTCGTTGTTACACATTCGGGCACCCTCTACTCTTGCGTGCCGCCCCTCCCTTCCAAATCTACCCATTGAGTATTTGATACAAACAAAAGCAGCTCTCCCTCCTACCTCCCGCACGCGCGCATTTTACAGGCCAAAAGCGAGGTACAGGGTGGCGAGCAGGCTGGCGCCGAGGATGGTGCGCTCGCCGGTGCGGATCTGCTTCTTGGTGAAGCCCTTGAGGACGTCGAAGCTCAGGTGGCGCATGCCGTTGATGAAGTGGAAGACGAAAGGGAAGCCGAGGCCGAGCTTGACGAGGCCCTGGACGGCGAAGGGGAGGGCGGCGAAGCCGGCGACGAGGCTCTGCGACTCGACGTGGAAGCCGGCGAGGGGCGCGACGAGGTAGGCGAGGAAGTAGGCGTAGGCGGCGCCGGAGAGCGTGCAGCCGGTGATGCGGGTCCACGCAGAGGGCGAGAACCACGTCTGCGCGCGCTTGTAGATGCCGAGATGGGGGGAGACGGGACGCACCAGGCGCTGCTTGGCGAGGACCTCCTGACCTTGCAGCGGCGACAGGGTGGTGGTCTCGATGGGACTGGGACGGGCGTGTTAGTCTCTGGGGGGTGTGTTTTGGCGCTTTTCGGGAGGACATCATTGCTGCCATTTCGGGATTCGAATCGCTGTCGTGGCCGTTGTATCGTCGAGGGGGAGAGCTTACCGAGCCTGGGTTGTGGAAATGCGCGCAGCCATGGCCAGACGGGGCATGTTCTGGCTGAAGGCGGCTATCAAGAAACAGAGACGTTAGTTGTGCGTTAAAAGACATCATGGCAGCGCAATTGGTGATGCCAATTGAGGGCGTGGATCGCGGCGCATGCCCGCCCGAGCATGTGAGGGTATATTCGGAGCTGCTGCTTGCTGCTTACTTCTGCGCATGGCAGCGATGCCGACACGCTGGGCAATCATGGCTGCGGGATGTTTGACGTAGGCAAGATGAGATTGAGTATCAATAAACAATCGAGTCGATGATGTCGTCAGTCTGGCAAAACCCCGGTGGTGGCGTGTGTTTGGCTCGTTTTCGAAGAACAGCAGTAAGTAGCCTTGGAGATGCCGGGCTGGGTCGGATCCTCGGTTCAACGGGCGCCAATCACAGGCGTCTAATTCGCAAGCTCCTGCACGTGACTCCAGCTATCACGTGCCGTGCAGCAAGGCTGACCCACACACGCTCGGTGGAGAGAAGAGCTTCTGTTTTTTTTGCCCTTCTTTTCTTTCTTCCTTTTTTCTTCTTCAGATAGTCACGAACTCCCGCCGCGAGCGATTCTCGAATTATAAGGCGAAAAGCGACATCGGCAGAGTCTTTGGACTCGTTGGGCTGTTCGGAGAAGAATAAAGATCCTTTCGTTAATCTCGGCATTCGGTTTCTTTCCCGTCTGCGTGCCGTTTCATTCTGAGATCTACATTCTATTGCTGCATATGCTACTTGATGGATCATGTTCTGTAAAATGCCTTGCCTTGTCGTAAGTTAAGTCGGCGATGGTCGCCTCGTCCATACTCGATGCCTGTAGAAATCGCACGCGGTACCGGCCACAGTACCACGTACGGAGAAGTGCAGAGAGACGCCGCAAGAGCGAGACATGCCATTCACTCTTCGAGGTTCACCGGCCCAAGTAGCCAATCTTCCATGCTGCCGCAGCCAGCGACACCACCTCCAGCATTTGAAATCGCGCGGAGATCCGACCTTTGACTCGGTGCTGCCCACAACCTCTATCCGGCCAGAGGGGACATCTCCACGGCGGCCATGCTGGCACTTGAGCAGCAGCTCAAGAGTGATACAAGGCTGCTCAAGACAACAGACGCATTCCTCTGGAGGCCTCTGTAGTCATTGATCACTGTCCGATGACGGCCGCACCTTGTCAAGAATTGCCCGAAGTTGCACTTGAAGAGTACGGAAACGATCAACTACATATTTTGACAATGTTCAATTGACAACTATCATAATACTGGCAATCTATTACAGTTTCTGCGGGGCTCTGTATGTGCAGCATTGTAAGCGGAACAACATCTCTGCGGATGACATCACTCTGCGTGTCAGAGATTGATAAGATGCAATTGACGCAGGCTATCGGGAATAGACTTGAGTTGGCAAGACTAACCGAAGGCGTGAGGGATTTATCGTTTGAATTGGTAGGAACAAGCTCTTTGGGCTGAAGGGCTGAATTGCTGGGCTAATGAGTTTATGCAAGACCGGTCGTAAGCGACGCCACGAGAACTAGCTAGTTCTGCCTCGCTAGAGGCTGTTCAGGGCGATGGTGCTATGAAGAGGCGTCCGCTAGCCGAGTGTTCTGCTGAGAGACGGTCAGTAAGCTGCGCTTTAATTGAGCCAGAATTCGTCCACCATTGAGGACAAGTCTTTAACGGAATGACATTGGGAATGAAGCCTGTAAGTTAGTTCACTACACTCAATTGGTAGGCAACTCAGAGGACGCTATGAACCACGCCGGAAATGTAAAACGTCTATTTCTAGATGATCCATCTACTTCAAGCGCCTGGCAATGATGGTGTAGAACTGCGCTCCCTTGGGACTCCAGTCGGCCTTGGAGCTCTCCAGCGAGAAGCCCTTCTCCTCGAGCAACTTGGTCAGCTCCTCCCTCTCTCCGCTCAAGTCGCACGTCTCGAGCACGATGTTCCGAATCTTCCCCCAGTGACCCTCACTGATCCCCTTGAGTACGCTCAGCTCCGCGCCCTCCACGTCTACCTTGAGGAGGTCGATCGCCTCGAACCCGCCGTGCTCCTCGTCCAGCACGTCCGACAGCCGCCTGATAGCCACCTCCACCTTGCCCTGCTCGCCAAACATCTTGTCCGTGAAGTTGGTGCCCACCTCCTTTCCGAGCAGCTCCCGGAAGCGCGCCTTCTCATCCGGCACCAGCGTCGAGTTGCCCGGCAGGTTCGGGAAGAACGTGAGCGACCCGGAGCCGGCCTCGGCGCCGAGCGCCAGCCGGTGCGCCACCACGCCGCCGCCATCGCCGCCGAGCTTGTGCAGGGCGAGGTTGGCCTGCAGCACGGCAAAGGTGTCGGGCGCCGGCTCGAAGGCGACGAGGCGGCAGGAGGGGTGCTTCTTCTTCATGTAGACCGTAAAAAGGCCAATGTTGGCGCCCACGTCGACAATGAGTCGAGGGTCGGAAAGCTGGGCGACGTCGTAGCAGCTGTCGCCAAAGATCTCCTTGTAGATGAAGCGCGCTTCGTACTCGCCGCTTGGGACGCCGTCGTAGCTGGCGACGTAGAAGGGAAAGTCATCGCCGAGCTGTACCAGGTGAGGCTCCATTGGAGAGAATGGTCAGTATTTTGCAGGGGAAGAGTTTGGTGTTATGGGATGAAGTGGAGGAAGCTTAGACTTGCGGAAGCTATGGCGGGTATTTAAGGAATCCGAAGCCAGCCGACCGTGAGCCCTCGCGGGCCAGGCAAGTTGAATGGGACTTCGGCCCCTTTCCAAGTTGAGAAACTAGCATGATGATCTCTCGGTTGTCGTATAACATTACACACATGACTTAGCTTATATGCTTAACCAGGATAGAGTTTTTAGCTCCCACTAGCGTAAGTGGTGATCAATAAGATAGATTTTCAGCTCTTACCCGTGTAAGTGACGATTGATAAGATGGATATGATTAGATCAATACTTGGACCTGACCTGCCCCACCGAGGTTTCCTCCTCTTAATTCCAAATAGCTGCCTCTTTAACCATTGCGCGATTTTGGTGGGCAAGATGACAATGCCGATGAGGTAATAAATCTCAGCTGAGCACCCTGACATGCTTGAGACTGGGATGAGCCGGTCAACTCTGGACCTACCGACAGCCAAAATTATGCGGGATGGTGCGAATTACTGAGCAGTTCAATCCGCCTCGATCTTGGCTGTTTCACTAGCTAAGTCTGGGGCAGGCAGGCCCCTCAGACCTTTCTTTCAGCTGAGAGCACAGGCTCTGACTTCCGCCTTGATACCAATTGTGGCGTCATTCCCTTTGTTTCCTCTTGTCATACGAATACAGCTAGTAGTGGGAATCGGCCTTGATAGGCTACCCTCTTAACATGTCTGTATTTTCTATCGCCTCAGCGCTGGTTCGGGCCATTTTTGTTATCCTTAGTCCGATTTGCTCATGTATGCATACTTAGAGCGACTTGTACTTTATCGTACTTAGTATTCTACATTTAATCTTAAATTTCCGTTAATGACACTGATCTCGTCTGCAGCACAAGGACAGTGTGGGATTAGCGTCGAGTGATTACACTGTGTGGGTCAAACGTGTCCCTTAGCATATGTGAGGACGTTTATTTCTTAGTTTCTTACCGACATATGGCCTGTTTGCTGCTGGCCATGGATTTCGATCATGTGGCTGAAGACAGGTCCCAGGTTCTGTTCGGCGTCTGGCTCCAGTCACTCCTCAGAAACAGCCCCAAACGACTGGCAGCCATCCTGGCGAGAAAGCATTGCCAACTGCCATCCAAATCAGCCAAGCTACTCGCCAATGGTGCTTGCAATGTCTGCTATCGAGTCACTTCTGAGACCGGCGAGCGTGTGGTTGTTTGACTCACCGCTATCGGACGGGTTCTCGCACGCCATGAGAAGGTCGAGGATGAGGTCGCAGTCCTGAAGTACCTGGCGGAGCATGCCCGAATCCCGGTGCCCAAAGTCTTTGGCCACGGCATCTGTGATACGGACCGTACATTGTCATGGAGTATATCGAAGAAAACATGATGTGCCGGTATGTTCGTGACCCGGCGAAGAAAGACTTTACGCTGCGGCCGGGTCTTCATCCCCGCGTGCTTGAACGCGCTTACCAGGGCAAGGCCGATGTCCTCTGGAACTGTCGCAGCCTGGGTTCCCATTGATTGGTGCTCTTGTGCGAAATGAAGATTGGTCATTTGTTGTTGGAAAGCGGCCGCTTACCTTCAACGGGAACCGAATTTCCCAGTTCTCCAACATTCCTCCTTCAGTGTTTAGGGAGTGCACCTTCGACGACGCCGACGACTACTTTGACGAACTTGCGCGACAACATATGGAGCAGCTTGTCCTCCAAAGCAATGATGCCATTGAGGACGACGCCGATTGCCGAAAGAAATCTGTCGCTCGATGCCTCTTTCGCCGACTGTGGCGAAATTTCGGCCACAAGCACTGTACGGGGCCTTCCCGACTCTTTCGTGACAACCTTTCTCCAAGAAACATGATTGTTGACGAAACAAGGCTCGCCGTGGCCGGTGTGGTTGACTGGAATTTACATACGTGGCTCCGGCAGAATTCACCTATGCAGCGCCCTGAAGATTGGGATGAGGACTTGGACGAGTTCCTCGCGCGCTATGAACCAAAGTTTGAAATCTTTATTGAGGTGCTGAAGGAACGTGAAACTGAAAAGATCAGATGTGGAGCCTTGCAGGAATCCGCGCGCATGTCGACCATCATGGAGACATCGCTTTAATCTGGACTTTTCTGGATTTGTCTCGCCTCGCGACACAGTGCACTCTTTGACGAGATTTATTGGAAATTCATCGACCCCAAATTCTTTGGCAATTTCGACACCATGGAACAGCGGATTAGCCTATTGCATCCCGACGAGCAAGTCAAGATGGAGCGGCTGGTGCGGGAAAAACTACGCCAAGCAGAGGAGGCGAAGCTAGATGAGCAGTACACTGTTGAACAGCTGGTGGAATTGTGACATGGTCAGGTTTGCCCGATGCAGTCTATCCCTGTTGATGGACACTATCCCATCCCCCTCTGCTGCGCTTACGCTCTGGACCTTCGTCCGGTTTGAGCACGGCTATTGCTTCAGCGACTGTGATCCGGGGTCGCTGCTGCTGTCTATCCTGCGCATAGGGATGTCGAAGCATTTTCAGCGTAAGCTCGGCAAGCTCTGCATCTGTCAGTAATCGTTTGGCCATATTAGCCTAGTTTTGCTTCGACTTACCTGCGTCGTTCCATTCGCGCATCATTGATGTAACACATTGATACTTGGCGTGGAACAGATGCCTTAGTTCCTTGTACTGGCGCCCCGGTTGCCAGGGGTTTTCGGAAAGGAGCCACGGATGCTCCCCGGTAACAAGCCAGACGACGAGCACGCCTAGACTCCAGACGTCACAGCTCTGGTTGTAGCCCTTCATCTCCCTTTCGGGTGATAGCCAGCCAATGGTGCCACCCGTGTTGCCTGGCCCCTCGTTGTGCAGCCTACCGCGTTCTGGCGCCGGGAACGCTTCGTCCATGTCGAGCAGTACAATCTGAAAGTTCTCTGCATGCTCGTCCAGGACACCGACATTGATATGTTTCAAGTCGCCATGCATCCAACCGTTGCGATGGAGGAAGTCGAGCGGTCCTAGAATCTCGAGCAACACGTGTCTTGTTGCTTTCCTGTAAAAGCAGAGAAGATGTTAGTAAAAAGAAAATGGCAGACGAGACATCGGGGAACAACTGACAGTCTGCCCGCGTGATCCTTTTGCGACCACTGCTGGCACGCCTTCTTCAGCGTTGATGATACCACAGGCTGCAGCACGAACCACACATCCACGGCATAGTTTCTGCCCTCAGCGGTATCGTCTTGCAGAGCTTCTCGCAGCCGTAGCACACGCTGCTCGTCTTCCTTCTTGGCTAGCTGCGTGATGCGTTCGATCTTCTCTCTCCGGAAGTTGATCCGCTCCCTGTCGCCGTCGACGGTGAATCGCTTCAACGCGGCCGTTTCTCCGCTGTCATTGACGCCTATGCTCACGCGACCGGATCGACCTGAACCGACAGTGCCTGCCCGGGTAAGCTGCCACTGACCGATCCTGATCTTGGTGCTTGCACCACTGGGCACCCGGTTGACGCCAGCGCGGGGTGTCTTGACGATGCGGTCCCAGAGCGGACTAATTTGCTGCTTGAGGTATCGCTCGAGATAGATCTTGGCTTGATCTCGGTAATGTTTGGTGCCCGAGAAGTCCTCGTACACAACTTGATACTTGAGCTTACCAAGCGTGAGGGTTGCCGCCTCATCGTTGATGTGAAGCGCAGAGTTGCTGGCCTTGCCGCCCTCGCTCGACAGGATGGTGTCGTTTACGTGGCAATCTGCGTTGGCAGCTCCGCGGACTGTGATGCGGCCTAAGTTACTGAGCTGCAGCACGGCATGATGTTTGCGCGCCATGACCAAAGGGCTAGGCTCTATTGATAAGATAATGTCGTTGTGCAGGTGGTCCGAGCGAAGACGGCCTACGCTCCAGCCGCGCGCCGGCTGACGTGGCGGCATGTCGAGGCCGAGAAAGTAGAAGCCTGTCCAGATGCAAGCAACCGCAGTCGGTTTATTGGAAGGCTGTCTTGGAGAAGGTAAAACATGGGGTTCGTTGGGTGGGTGGTCGCCCAGCGAAGAGCACGGTGGCGACGCCGATAGGAGGCCCGTATCACGCTGGCGGATCAGGTTTCCCACCTCGCTGTCCTTAACGGGTGAAGGTTCAATGTGCATATATCTTCTGGCGTGTATCCGAGCCGCATTGTCGCTGGTGCTACGATGCGGGCCGTCATCACGACGTCTTTGGCGATGCAGCCAGTCAACCACGTTGGAGAACTCGAACCTGGCCTCGGCATTCAAAGGTACAATTCTGAGAAATGCCCTAGAAGGGCCCCCCCAGGTTGGCTGGCTACTTTGAGTGGTGTCCATTGTGAGTTCTTCGTTTCGTAGCTGTTTGTCTGTCAGTGGCTATGGTGCAGGGTTGAGTGGTACTGGTGAATAGTACGTACAAACTGCTATAGTTTGTTAATATAAACAAGCAGTAGGCAAGATGTGAGTGGAATGAGTGAGTATGAAGATACCTCAGAGAAGATGTAGGTGGAAAGATGTACTTGGGGGGCGGGCAAGTACGATGAATCCTTTTAGTGGGAGAGGTAGGGAATACTAGTGCAACGTGTCACGACCATCTGAAACTGCGGTTCTCCCTTAATAACAGTATATATTGAAAATTGACAGCTATTTTGATTTTTGAGTCTTTGGGCCATTCTCAAGTCTGCATGGCAACGGTAAACCATACTCTTGTTATTTAGATGGCCCTTGTAGTTGGATCGCGACTAGTTCACGGATCGGGCCGGGTGTGGGTCGCCTAGCGCCCATTCAAGACATGGGTCTCTTGGGCTTGAAACGGTGTGATGCATGCCGAATATATCTTTTAATAAACTCACATTGCAACTGGTATATTTCTATGCACCAATATAGAGTTCCTATATTTCGTTTCGAGGTTGTTACTTCATTTTTTTCGACCGACGCAGACCCCGCTATCATCTCGTCAGGCCACACCGACCAGGCACTCACTGCTGACTAAGCCAGTTAGTACGCAGGATCCAGCGCCAAGTCGCCACCATCTAGACTGTGAACCAGAACAAATTAGATCGCAAACCGCTTCATCAGTCGTTTCCATCAGTGGTCATTCTTTTAATACTACCTCAATCATCATACTGCCAATATAGGTCTTCCAGAAACTGAAAACGGCTGTTTTCACTCTTGCCAGTGAACTTTCTCTCCTCTTAACTGCTGGACTTGGTTGACTTGGCGCTTGCCACCATACCTGCCGAGTCAACTACTACCAACGATACTCAGACCATCAGGCGAGAAAGAAGTCCTATTCTGAGCAGTCTGATAGCTCCGGCAGCAGAGCCAGTTAACATGGACACGCCCGCCGCGAGGCAGGAAGAACATCTTGCAGCTACTGGCCTGGCTACAGCCGATGTCGCCGCAACAGAACCAGGTATCACAGGCTCCGCCCTTGCTGGACGAGACACAAATCATGCGGTCACTTCTCCGAAAACAGTCGAAACTGCAGAGGCAGAGCCAGTTGCCATAGACACAACCAGTACTAGTCGGGAAGAAAGTCCTGCAGACACTGACTCTGCAACCTCCGACGCCACGGGAACAGAATCATGTACCACAGTTGGCTCCTCCGCTAAACAAGTGGCACCCATCGCGAGCAGCTACCCGGAAATTTCCGGAGTTGGACAATTTACCGAGTCCCGTGTCTGCTCCCCCAAGTTTCTGCAGCCGCCGCCACCTCTTGATTTCGCTTCGTTCGCGGCGAAGCTCTGGGAAGTATTTTTTCTACAGCAGCGTGGGTACAGGGTTGAACTGCCTTGCCATATTCCACGAGACCCATGGGATACCAACAGCACCCCGACGCCAACGTATTGGATGTCCGATGCGTCAGCACCTTCTCCATGGGCGGTGGGCCCTGCTTCTTCGTCTGAGAGCGAACCTGAAGCGCCGTCACCGCCGGGCGTCAAGACTAGGGCGGCTTCTAAGCTGCGCGCCCAAGCTAGAGCGATTAAGGCGAAGAAGCCAAAGTGGGGGAAGCGGAAGTGGACTGGCAAGGAAACGCCGTGGGAGGAGTCCTCGAGTGAACCTGAAGATCCCGAGTCAGACAGGAAGAGGCAGAAACGCTAGATCGGTCCTCCGTGGGAGAGACAGGCAAGAGACTCGGATTGATCCCTTGCCGTCGCCAAGAAAGCAACACATCATGCGCACTTTCGAGAACTTTTATCCAACATCAACGACATTAGGCATACTCGCCCGTCGACCTGCTGGTACCTCTACCCGACACCAATCGGTAGCTTTGTGCGCCATGTAAAGAGAAGGCCTCCCTGCCCGGGACTAGACCTAAACGCCCGCTCCTCAAAAATCTGGCCACCAAACGGTTTGCCCTTGAAGAAAGCTTGAAACGATGTTTTCACCACCTCGCTCGACGTGCTGGATTGCCCTCCACATTGGGACGGTGAAAATTGAACGCGCTGCTGATCCGGGTCTTCAGTTTGCGTCGAGTGATTGCAATCGATGCAGACGCTGCTGGACCGGAGTCAATGTGCAAGCATTCCCCTACTAGTTGTAGATACTAGCATTAGATGGTGCTGGCACTATTGAAAGGTCTTGGGAGATTGGATTAAAGAAGATGTTGGGGTAGAAGATATATGTATGCTGGCCAAGGGAATTTGCATAACGGGGCATAATGGCGATGTATTGAAAACTGAGTCTGATGATTCGGCGAAGTAATGAAGAGATAGCAGCGACGGGAAACTCTTGGTTTGTCTGGACTTTTTGTGTCTGCACATAGTAACTCGGTTAGAAGCTCGGCCGTGAACCTTGGATGTTAAGTAAGTCTAGTTTAGGAGTGTAGATAAACACGATTTATACAGAAATTTAACTGGATTGCGTCTCTATTTATGATTTGCCAAGGTTCTGCTTTATTCGACGGTTTCTTGCTTGTTGTATCGCCCAACTTGGCGATCTGTGGTGAGCCTCTGAGGCCGAAAGCCTTGGGGGCACCACTTAGCATAGAATATTCGTTATAGCATTTAGGCTTGTAGCCGCTGATTAGTGGTAGAAATCTCTTTCTATTACCTCGGCCTGATCGAATCTTAGCTAGGCTCTGCATTCTTGGGCAGTCGTTTGCTGCGCCCGACCTCGGCTGTTCCCAGTAATCTGCCATCTACTCCATCCCCCACCATACCGTAATCCCTACCTTACGCCTCACCATTTGTTCTATGCATCCGGGTGCCGCTTTTTGAGATGCTGATTCTCACGTCTACATCGCGGGTTGCCGGGCTGCAGGCTTGGCGGCGCCATACCAATGCGCCCATATAAGCGATGGCTCGCTCGCCGGCCGTGAGCCGGCGTTGCATGGCGACTAATAGGCAACCAACGGCCGGCACACAGTAAGTTCGGGTATACTAGTAACGAAGGATCGTGAGTTCAAGGGTGCAACTAATCCGCGCTGCTTCCAGAAGCACGGGGCCGATGAGAAAACGAATCGGCCACTCTTCCAGCGACACAAGCGCCAACGATGTCGACCGTCCGCGCCACGGTTCTGAAACAATGGATGAATCGTTAGTTTCTGCCAGCATGCAATTATTGAGCGCTACTCATGCGCATGGCACTTTTATTAGAATGACTGGTGGCCAGATATTTCACAAGATGATGAGGCGACACGACATCAAGCACATCTGCAAGTCGACGCCGGGTTGACACGACTCCCAACTCACCGAAGCTAACCCAGCCCAGTCGGATATCCTGGCGGCGCCGCCCTTCCCGTATTTGACGTCATCGGTACGGACGCGTTCCAGGAGGCGGACGTGCTGGGCATCTCGCGCGGGTGCACCAAGTGGAACGTCGCGGTGCGGACGTGGCGGAGCTGCCGAGACACATCGACGAGACGTTTGAGGTAGGGGTGAGTGGGAGGCCGAGACCGGTGCTAGTGGACTTGCCGAGTGACGTGACGGCGAGGCGTCCTGCGCAAGGCGGCCCCGGTGAACTCGTCGCTCCCGCGCGGCAAAAATGTCGGCGGCGAGCATACAGAGGGCTGGAAGCCTTAGCGATCGGCGTGGATAGCGAGCGATATGGGTAGATGCTGAGCTACATTTCATGTACAGGGTCGGTTCTCGAGGAAGTTCTTTCATGGCTATCCTATGACTAGCAAACAGGTTTACTACAACATACATCTCCAGGCTATAGCTCGCAGAAACTGCGCCGGCCTGAGAATGAAATAACGAGAGAAAAATAACCTCGCCTCTAATGCTCCTCTTTAGAGGTCTTTCAGGGCACACTCCTGAATCTCCTCGATGTTCCCAATCCAGATGTCCTTCTCCTTGACGCACACCTTTGCCTTCTCAATGCACTGGCTGTGCTTCGCCGGCTCGCCCTTCTGGCCCGCACACGCCTCTTTCCTATCCACGCACTGCAGTAGCTCCGTCTTCGGGGTGTCTTGCGGCATCTCCTTCAGGCACTCGCCGCTCGCCTCTTTGCAGGCGCCGTCCGGGTCCTGGTGCATGAACCGGGTGCAGTGCATGCCCATCTGGGACGTCGCATTCCGGATCCACATCTCCTCGGGGGCGGGGAGCTGTCCGACGCCGACGCCGAGGTTCGCCTTGATCCAGGGGATGAAGCTGCCGACGCGGGTGAAGACGGCCGGCGCCTGGTCGCAGTGGTTGCCGTTCTTGTCCTTGGGTCCCCACGAGGTGAGGCCGATGAGCGTGCCGGTGGCGGCGTCGAAGAGCGGGCCACCGCTGTCGTACAGGCACACGCTGCGGCCCTCGCCGCCGGCGCACACGATAGAGTCCCGGCCGGCGGCCTCCGGGTCGGCGTCGATGCACACCTGACGGTCGTGAACGGGGAGCGTGACCTTGTGAAGCTTGCTGACAGGGCGGCCACTGAGGTGCGACCGTGCGCCTTGAACGCCCCTTTATTTGTTTCGCCACCGCGTTAGCACGGTATTCTTTTCCTTAAACCTGCCTCTTCTCCCGACGGCCCGACTCGACATGACCGGCCCGGCCGGGCATCGGAACCTCAAAAGGGGCGGGGGGGGCAAACTTACCAGCCTACGGCGATGGCGGTGGAGTTTGGCGCGGGGTCGGAGCCCTCCTCCGGAAGCTTCGCGTATTTGATCTTGTCGCTCTCCTCGATCGCGGTGAGCAGCTTCCAGATCTTAACGTCGTTGGCCCAGTACGCAGGCTTCTCTGCTTTCGGGAAGTCAAACGGGGCCACGGTCGCCTTCACGTACCCGGACACCACTCCGCCGGACTCCCAGGTCTGCCAATGTCATCATCGTTAGCCGCCTGTCGGCTCGTTTCGGCCTCCGCCGCGTCGGCCGCTCGCCGGCTCAATGGCCAGGCGCAGCAAGGCCTGGCGAGGATCTGGCGGGCACTTACCGTCGTTCCTACCCTCACGACATTATCTTTATTGTGAGAGGTGTCATCCCTACCACAATGAGCGGCGGTCAAAACGGTGGTGCTGTCTAACAAGACACCGCCGCAGTAATGCCTGGACGCTTGGAAACTGATCATGGACGGAAACTCGCCTTCCCCAGCTTCCTCTCCTCCGGTAATCCGTTTCTCGACGGATCTTGCCGTGGTCAAAGTCGCAGAGAGCGCGAAGGCAAGCGTGAGACTAGGTTTGGGCACCATTTCGAAGCCGGTGGGTGTTTGCTGGTTGTTGAGTGACTAGGAGAAGAAAGCTGTTGAGATGAGTGTTGGTGGGATACTAGAGAGATGGGTGCCGCTGCTGATCTCTTTATACTCGTACTTCTGCCAGTTTGACTTTGATAAATATAGATCCACCAGTAGTCCGGATAGTCGTTGAGAGAGAGTAAGCTCGAGTCGTGTGAGGGTCTGGCTTTATACAAGCCCTGTACGAGTCCCATCCCTTCAGTTACCAAGAGGCTCCACGACAGCCACTCACAAGGATGTATGGTAACTAATAGTAATTCTGTATTTACCCGGTGTACTGGCAACTCTCAATACCCATGAACAGTCTATGTCCAAAACTACACACAGGTACACGTAGGTCTACTTGGGCAATACTCCGTGCTTTAGTGTAGTTAGATCGGACTTCTGTATCTGTAGGCCTAAATGTAGAAGTGCCTTGTGGAGTCATGGCACCCCAAGGCATGAATGTGTTCTGTAGTAGAGAATGAGTTGTTCCGAACAGAGTGCATCAGCGATCGAGTCATAAAAGCAGGGCAAGTACGCTGTACACACGCCACGGGCATGGCGTGACCGTCAAGCGTGCTGCCTATGAGAACTAGCAGCCACAAGCGGACGAAGATGGATAAGCTCACATTACTCTGATGGTCACACAAGCTCTTTAAGATACCCTGTATGGGGACAGGGTAATATTTTACCTTACTACGCAGCCTTCCTATATCATGGCCCTTACGCCCGTCACCCTATCCTATAAGACTGACCTTGTAGCACTATCACTGGCTGTAGATAAGGCAGGGTGGTGCAAATTAGCTGGAAAACTACAGCCGGATGCCATGGAGCTATCTCTCAGTTGTTCAACTTGGTGTTTTAATGCCGTGACTATCCTTATTCCACGGCTATATTCAGGTCCTAGTTCAGGCACTAGAGGTGCCGATCATCCCTGGGCAAGGGACCTTGACGCATTGTCGCGTGAACTACCGCGAGTAAAAATGCGCGTTGCAGCAAACCAGGTCCACTCAAGCCCTCGGCTACAGGAATCACGGGTTTGCTTATTTGCCGCGCAGAAAGAGGTGAAGGAAAGGGCGTCGCGGGCGGATCAGCATTGCGAGGCATTTCCTGTGCTGCTACAAGCAACGAAATGAGTGCCGAACATAGGGCCGAAGAAGCTACCAGCAAGAAGGTGGTTCCACCGTTTTGATGTACGCGACAATGACTACGTCGGAGAGCTCTTTCCGGTCTCCTGGGGGCCTTGACAAGGAAGCGTACCCGGTGGGCAGCAGGTCTCCATGCTAGTCAGCATATCCATCACCCTTGGACGAGTAGGCAACCAGGCAAACAAGGGTGGTGCAAAGGTATGTACAGGGTGGGATGTGGTCTCGGTGACGGCTTCCGTGATCCAAGAGGGTTGTTGGAACGAGCCGAGTTCGTCTCTTCAACAGACGAGGGCGGGCTGTAACGTGCTCACGAGTATCAGTTCAGGCCGAATCAGCGGTAGGTGCGACGTCGCGCGTCAACTCGGCTTAATAGTGGCATAATATACATGGCCCCCCACAAGTAGGGAAAAAATTGCCAGGTGTGCCCTTGTTATTTATTACACTTATAGCCTGCTGTAGCCTGTTTAGCATTATTAAGCTACTGGGCCTCCTTTACTAACAGGTGAGCGAGCCATGCGTAATGCGGTTGTTAGCGGAGCATGTATGAGGCTGTGAACCAACGTCAGTGTCGAGCTGACTTGCCTTGTCTCGAATGCAGGCACGTGACTCATGCCACGCTGTGGGCTGCTGCCGATGTCAAATGGGTAATGAATTAATGCGTAGACGGTCCAAATTATCCAACATTTATTCATATTTTAGCCCAATAGGGCTTTGCGGAAGACGGTAGACCTAGCGATTGCGGAAGCCTCGTAAGTTCGATGAAGAAAATCGAGATCGAGGAAGCCTCTGAGCCTGTCGAAAGAGATGCCGATGGGACTTAATATCCCATATGCATTGGGGGACATTCTGGCTGACACGTAACTTATGGCATCGTGCACAAACTGGGTTGGGGAGGATTTTCCACCGTCTGGATGGCGCACGACGTGAAAAGCTAAAAATTGGTTGCGCTGAAGATCGGCATCCCTGGCGATATGGGGGAACGGGAGCTCAAAATGCATCAGGAAATCCTTGGTACAGTCAAGGATGCATCCCACCTCCTGACTTTTCTAGGCACCTTGCCTCTCACTGGCGTGAAAGGCACACACCTGGTAATGGTATTTCCTATTCGAGGTCCGGGCCTACACCAATGCTTGAGAAAACTGCCGGTGAAAACGAGGATGAGTGTTGCAAAACAATTACTCTTGGCCGTAAGTCTCTCCATGACGCTATTATCATGCATCGTGGTAAGCAGGTCTTGCTTGAATTCCTTCCTTGGCAGGGATGCTGAGCAGCTAACGACGTCTGCACATACAGTAGATGTGCATAGTGGGAGCGTGCTGTGGGACATGGGCGACATTGCCGAGTACAAACCAGAAATGGCCTATCGAGACTTTGGTCACCTCGAAGGATGCCACTGCGGGTGCAGACTTGGAAAAGGGGAGAGCTTGTCAAACCAATGCAGGTGAACAAAGACTTGCTGCGAGGCGGCATTTCCTTGCCGACTTTGGTTTGGCAGTTAAACCTGGGACACCGGTCAAGTGCAGGTGGCAGTCGCCTGCCATTTTCTGTGCCCCTGAGGGATTCCACGGCGCTGGTCTTAGCTTTGCTAGCGACAAGTTACATGTGCCTCTTCGCAGAGCTCTACCTGAGTTTCGTCCCCTTTCGCGGCAGAGCAAAACCACAGCATCATCCAACCTGGTGCAGAAGCTAGGTCCTCTACCTCTGCAAGGGGCTGGCAGGTATGATGCAGGTGGTACGCCCGACGAGTCTTGGTACGCCCAAACGCGAGCACCAGCTACCCTGGTTACTCTTGAGGAAATGACCAAGCGTTCGCGTCTCGACGCGAGCAATGTCGAGCGGAAGTTGGTCGACTCCATTTTCTCAAAAGTGTTTACATGCTTGCCAGAAAATCGCCCAACGGCCGAAGAACTGTTGGAAGATGAGGATTTCAAGGCCATCGTGGCCATGTATGAATGCTGAGCATCCAACTGCGCGCATTCTAGTTATTCCAGTTGCGAATTATAAAGAGCCTGCCGATGGAGGCCGCTATGGGTGCCTTGCCAGAGGCGTTAAGCATAATCATCGCTAACACAAACCATGCTCAAGATTTATAACAGAGAACATTATTCGGAGTTTTAGCGACGCTTGTCTCTCAATCACCGACCATTCACGAGCTTGCGCGACGCAAGGGTAAACCGAAATGGGGGAGTCACACTGTAATTCATTGGAGGACTCGACTGGTTGATGTTATTATGAGCCAGAATATGGCGTGTCTAGGTCCAAAAACCTCTGCATTCGCATAATAGCGTAGGAAAACCCTGCATCCCAGGGGAAAACCTACTCGAGGCATATCGGTTTCTTGGCGCTAGACACCAGCCTTCTACAGGTCGTCTTGGTAGAGGGCACAGTAAACGGATCCAACCTCATCACCGAGTCCGAGATTGTGGAGATCGCTAACCGACCCCTGAAGACCTGCATATAGCACCGGGGGAAAGCAAAAGGTGTTTCTGTGGTATTCGACCGTCAGTGGGCGTTGTTGCTTACTCGGGCGGTAACATTGTCGCAACTTGCCTGTAGAGCGCGCAGCTAACTCCGCCGGACCGGAACAGAACAGAGGATACCTCTTGGCGCCTTTTGGTTGCCTTTAGTAATAGTTCTCTTTTAGGGGCAGTTGAAAAGTGTGGCCATGCTTACAGATTTTCTGGAAGTGGCCAGCATCGACCAGTGCTAGGAATTTCGTAGGAGAAGCCGCGATAGTGAATATGCTCGTAGAAGATAACCTATGCAATTATACAAGAAGTTGTGAGTAATAGAACTGGGAGACCAGGTGTATTGAAAATGGTAATAAGCAATGCTCACGCCGGTACCATCAACTTGAGGGTCGCTGGCCCCCTCTGCGGCGACGGGAGTGGCAGAAGCGGACGAGGCCACGGCCAAGAAGAGCACGTTGAGAAGCTGCATTGTGATGAAGAAATCTGAAACGTGTATAGTTGACTCTGCTGAGAAGTAGGTCCAAGTCTAGCAGATGTCAATTTGTCGAGGCGGGGAAGAGCATATTTATACTTCCAGAGCACACGTCCTCCAGAGCACCACACGTCCTGCGAGCCTTGTGAATATACCCCATAGACAAGATATTGACCCTTCCCTGCTCTGCTTTGTTGGGGTCTCTGTAGGGGGCTTTGGTTCACTGAGCGCCACGTCACTTTCTCGCCATCAAAGCAGACGCTCCAGCTCTGCATGTAGTCCATGATGTTCACCCGAGACGGTATTCCACCCTGCCTTTCGTAGTCATGCAATCTCACGGTTTTTGGTGACGAGAATACTCGTCTAACCTTTTCCAGCGATGGGAAAATTGCAGAGTGTACTTTGTGTCGAACATGTCCAAGACTAGTGCTTGCTTTGATTCATAAATCCCGATCATGCGATGATGTGGTGGGTTGAAGGACCTCCGTATGGCTAGCTAGCTTGACATTTCAACTGAGACTTTTGCGTCATCTACATGTTTCGATAGGAGAATACCACGGTGATGCGACCGGCGAGAATATTCAGGTGTGTAGTGGATATTCTGGTGCGAGGTCAGCGCCCAACACATTGTAGGTTGGAGGTTTCGGTGAAAGAGGTCCGCCCTCACAATTAACACACCTAGGAAATGCTCGAGTCGTCACGTTATGATGAAGTCATCGCCTTTACGAGCAAAATTGTACTAAAGAAAGTTGGATGAGTTTCTCATACCGCACTGTTCGAAAAGAGTCATTTTCAGTTTTTCGTATGCGCTTGGAGAAACAGCAAAGTCATCTTTGTATGGCTCACGCCACAACCTTGCATCTCCCCATTTCCTCTATTGAGCCGTTCAAGAAACAGACAGAATGATGTTGAACACAGATAGAATGAATTAGGTAGCTTTTTTAGTCCTTAGTCTAAAGCATCATAGACTGGTTTATCTGAAACAGAATGTTGTCAAGGTTGTAATTCGTAGCCCGGCTAGCAATCAGTCGTCCGTGACAACAACCCGAGACACGCTCCAACTCGTGCGTCAGATTCGCCAGCAGTACTGCATGTCCACTGCATAAGCAGGGGAGATGAGAACGGCGAACCATCTGTGTCTCAGCGAAACTGTCTAACCGACAGTTGTCTGGATCGTCTCTGCTCTCCAATACCCGAGACCTGCATGTAAGTCATTTTTCGTAACTCCGTAGAGACCGGCTTATTTGCGCCGCGGGATAAAGCGTTGCACTACCAGTAGCAGCGTGTCAGACACAGTTGCCGCTGCAGAAATTGTTGCGTACGGTGAGGCATTCCTGACGGGCTTTTTCTATCGCGTCCCATCGCGTCCCCGTGCTCGGCTCGACGACACTGTTATGACCATGACGCGTGAATTAGAGTATTCAAATGTCTACATATCTTCTTCGATCTCATTCGAGTAGTCGGATACTTGAACGGAAAAGAGCTACCGTCTACTACGTCTGATTTCTTCTCATCAACACTCGGGTAGCCGCTCGAAGTAAGTATTCCGGACAAAGCATCTTCTCCTCTTTTCTCCCAGTCGAGCCACGGCACAACTCTTGGGTTTCCTATACCAGTTATACTACATCTTCCGATGGCATACATAGCAAATAGCTTGTTATGTGCTAGAGAAACAGCTCCGAATTCTTATTTCGGAGCAAAATGTGTAGAATGCTGTAAAACATCCATCGCTCCCTTGCAGGCAAACTCGAGATTTGTCTCAAAGCTGAAAGCTGAAATGGCATGTAAAGCCTGCATGAGAAGGCATCTCCCAACGATCTCCTTGATCACAGTTGACTAAAAGCGTGGCAGACAGAGTCATGTTATCAGAGACTACTTACACACGACCAGAAAGCTTCGAGGCAAGTTTTGTCCTCCCATGTCTGTGAATACTGCAAGACTATTAGCAGACCCTAATCACACAACCAAGATTTGAAATAGTTCATTCACATTGCTCCACGCAAAGCATCAGCCGCATTAAACAACAGTAAAGTCATCTGTGACTCCTTTGACAGGTGAGTGAGCTGTACACAATGCCGGTATCAGTGATCAGTGGAGCATACCGCCAAACTAACACGACTGTCGGGTCGGGCCGGCTTGTGGTGTCTGCAATGTAGGCACGTGACTGCTTCTGTGCTGTCAGGTGCTTGCTAACATCCAGTAGGTACCAGTTGGACCATCTACATTATTTCATCCCATGTCTACAATCTCCAAGGCAAGAGTGACTGTCACTGGACAACAGCGCTCGCTGTGGAACTCGTGGCTTGTGAAAATACCCTGTATTTAGTACGGCTTGGTCTGGCCGGCAGTGCCGCCGGGCATGGCAGCGTCGCAGGTTTTTCGCATAATAAAGCGCCTGCCCGTGTCGGGCGCAAGCTGCGCTTTCTACCTGATTGCATTATCTCACACTCGGAGTCTTGCCCAAAGTCACTTTCCTTTTCTGGAAGTACAAGAATACGATCTGCAAGTTTACAGTTGGCATCTTACCTAGCTTTATAACCAGAAGCTCCTGTGACACTTGTTAAGCGTAGTATTACTTACGTACGCATCTCTCTAATCTTTTGTTGGCCCCCTCCGGGAAGCCTTGGATGGAACCAACCAGGAGTTGGCCACCTTCCTAAATAGGCAACTAGAACGGAAAAGCCGCTGCGGCCCCGTGTCTGGTATTGCATCATCGGACTGCTGGACGGCTATATTAATCCACGGGAATATCCCTCATTCCCTTCCATCTTCTATACACGTCCGTTGAATATCGTGTAATACTTCGGTTGTCGCAACCGCCCCTATCGCGATCATGTGGAGTTGCCGGCTTGGCTATGCAGCCACCATCGTCCTAGCCATCGCCCAATCCGCCACCGCCATCAAGCCAAACGGGGTCCCAAGCCTCCCAGAAAGCCTCAGACTCAAATATGGCCAGGTAGCCTTGTCTAGCAGCATCCAAGAGTTGAACGTCTCCGTGCCCGTCGACCACTTCCACAACGAGACCCAGTACGAGCCTCACTCGGACGACTTCTTCCCGCTCCGGTACTTCCTGGAACCATCCTACTACAAGCCCGGTGGCCCTGTTATCGTCATCGCCGCCGGCGAAGTCACCGCCGAGTACCGCAAGCCGCTGCTCAGCGACAGCGTCGGCGCGCTCCTTGCCCGCGCCACCTCCGGCCTCCTGCTCGTGCTCGAGCACCGCTACTACGGCAGCAGCTTCCCCGTGTCGGACCTGTCCGGCAGCAACTACCGCTTCCTCACCACTGAGCAGGCCGTAGCCGACGCCGCCTACTTTGCGCAGCACGCGCAGTTTCCGGGGCTGGAGGACCAGAACCTCACGTCGGCGAGCACGCCGTGGATCATCTACGGCGGGTCGTACGCGGGCGCGTTCGCGGCGATCGCGAGGAAGCTACACCCGGACGCGTTCTGGGGCGCCATCTCGTCCTCGGGGGTGACGAGGGCCGTGTACGACTACTGGGAGTACAACGAGGCGGCGCGGCTGTTCGCACCGGGCGACTGCGGGCCGACCATGGCCAACATGACGTACGTGGTGGACACGGCGCTGTTCAGCAGCGACAGCAGCAAGTCCGGCACGATTAAGGGTTTGTTTGGGTCCAGCTCTTCGGTCAGCGACGCGGACTTTGGGTCGAGTATTGCGCATCCGTCGTCGGCGATGCAGGACGAGAGCTGGGTTCAGGGCGGGAGCGACACGACGCTCGACAGGTACTGCGCGACCATCACGTCGGGGCAGCTGGCGTACCCGGGGCTGGAGCGCAGCCGGGCGACGGCGGAGCAGCTGGTGCAGGACGCCGGGCTAGACAAGGGCAGCGCGACGACGCTGCTCAACTACGTCGGCCTGCAGGGGCGCTCCAACCAGAAGCGACTGCGAGCAGCTCAGGTACAGCAACGAAGCGCGCAGCTCAGCGACGGCGGCAGCTGGTACTACCAGACATGCACCCAGTATGTCATTATCACTCATTCTTTCTCGAGATTGTACCCGGCTTACTGATGTAAACAGATGGGGCTTCTTCATCTCCGGATCCGGCGTCCCGGCCAGTACGCGCGGCATCCTCTCCCGCGCCGTGACGCTCGACTACGCGGCGGGCGGGTGCCAGCAGTCCTTTGGCGTGGCCGGCCCGCCCAACGTGGACTCGATCAACAAGTTGGGCGGCGTCAACTTCTCGTACCCGCGGGTGGCCGTCATCGACGGGAAGCAGGACCCGTGGCGCGCCGCGACGCCGCACCGCATCGGCGAGAACGCGGACCGCCAGAGCACCACGGAGCAGCCCTTCATCCTGATCGACCCGGCGACGCACCACTGGGACGAGGACGACGTGCCGGCGAGCCAGTACAAGCCGGGGTACCCGCCGAAGCAGATTGTCGACGTGCACGACCAGGAGGTGGCGTTTGTCAAGGCCTGGGTCAAGGAGTTTCACGATTCTAAAAGTGGCTCTTCGTAGCAGGTGATGACGGGAGGATGTGGTGCATTTTTGTGGTACTATACTTTCACTTTTTTCTCGTGATGAAGCAAGCACCTTTGGAAATACGCTATGCAGGCACCGATCATAACATGCTCTTGCTACCGTTGTCCTTAGCCAGATCAAACCCACCCTCCATGTCATGTAGCGCCTTGCGAATCTCCTTTGCGTAGACATCGGTGCCGCCCACGAAGCACATGGGCTCGAAAACCTTACCCGGGATGCTGCCCCCCATGTATGTCGACTTGGTCGTCGGGAAGAGCGACTTGCCGCAGACCTCCGCGGTGCGCCGACGCCAGCTACCGGCGGCCTCGGCCTTGGGGTTCATGTACTTGACGCCGGTCGCTTGCATCTTGGCGATGGCCTCGGCGATCCACCGGCCCTGCAGCTCCGCCGAGGTTGGGCCATTGCACAGGAGTGTCGGCGCCTGGGCACCGTACACGTAGAACATGTTGGGGTAGCCGCTGACGGTCATGCCGAGGTACGACTTGGCGCCGGATGCCCACTCCTTCTCCAGCTCGCCCCCGTCGATGCTTTGCAGGCCGAGCTGCGTCATGGTGCCGGTGACGATGTCCTATGTAGGGCCGCGGTATTAGCTTGTTCAACAGAAATAAGGCTGATGTGGATGGGACGAGCGGGAGAGGAGAACTCACAAATCCTGTCGCCAGTGCAATCACGTCCAATTCGTGATAAGTCCCGTCCTTGAGAGTGATGCCGGTCTCGGTGAACTCCCTGATCGGATTGTTCTTGATGTCCACTAGGTGAACAGAGTCGCGGTTGAACTGCTCGCAGTACGTGTCCTCGAGACAAGGCCGCTTGACGCCGAAATAGTGAGGCATCTCCGACGGTGCCAGCAGCTCCCTCACCTTCGGATCTGCAACCCTCTCCCGAGTCTTCTTGACCCAAAACTTATACGCCTCCTTGTTTGCCTCCGCATTCAGGAAGACGTCCCTGTACGTGCCCAGCCAGAAGCGGAAGCCTCCGTCCGCCCACAGCCCCTCAAAGACAGCCTCGCGCTGCTCCGGCGAGTCCTCCAGCGCTCCGCGGTCAATCATGTCGTAAAAGAACCCCCCGAAATTTTTCTCGCGGCTGCTGAAGAGGTCCCGGTAGTGCCGCTTGCTGGCGTCCTGCTCGACGGCGGTGAGCGGCCGCTTGCGCATGGGCAGGGTGAGGTTGGGCGTGCGCTGGAAGACCTTGAGGTCGCCGGCAACGGGCCCCCAGGCCTGGGTCATCTGCACGCCGGAGGCGCCGGTGCCGATGATGGCGCAGCGCTTGCCGCGCACGTCGATGGCATCCTCGTCCGGCCAGAAGGAGGAGTGGTGGATGGTGCCCTTGAACTTGTCGATGCCGGGCCATTCCGGGACGTACCGCTTGGAGGCCTGGCAATGTTAGCGGGTTTGGTCCGTTTCCGCGACCTCTATGCGTTAATAAAAGGTACTCACAAATCCAGTAGCCAAGACTAGGAACTTGGCCCGTGTTGTGCGGCCGTCGGCCGTCCGGACGATCCACTTGCCCGGTCCCGTCTCAAAGTGCGCCCCGACAACCACGGTGTTGAAGGAACAGTCCTTTTTAATACCCACCACCTTGTCGACATGGTCAAAGTACTGGCGCAGCTCGTTATAATCGGGATAGTTGGTCGTCCAGTTCCAAGTCTTGTAGACTTCCGGCCAGGAGAACTCGTACACGGGCACCTCGGAGTCGACACCGGCTCCAGGGTAGCAGTTCCAGCGCCAGGTTCCGCCAATGTCGTTGCCGGCCTCGAAGACGACTGTGTTGAGACCCGCGTCGCGGAGAGTCTTGAGCAAAAACACACCGGCTATTTGGATACAGAGGATTCGATTAGATAGAGTCCACTGCAGGGTGGGTATGGCTTACCGAATCCAGCGCCGACAACGAGGGCGTCAATGTCCAGGTTCGGGGCATATGGGCCGCTGTGTTGACGAGGGGCAGCCGAGTAGTCGGTGAGACTCGTGGTCAGCTTCTTATTGATCTGGTCCATATCTGCAATGTTGGAAAAAAACGCAACAAAGTTGAAAGTTGAAAAGTCGAGGTTGGCGCTGGTTTGACTCAAAATAGCCGCGCGACGGTGTGTCATGTACTCAACGTGCGAGGTTCAGCGGCGATGGTCGATCGCCTTTCTTATCTACAAGTTGCTTGAGCGGCGTGGTCATAGATTGGTCATGTTTGCATCTTCGCCAGCCACAATAACCCCAAGTTACTTGGCACTGTATAATTGCAATCAATATTGCATACTGCTTACACCTGCCACACCCACCTGCAGGTGGTAGAACTTGCTACCCGGAATGCCAGGACCGTGTCGCACTTATACTCCAACTACATAACGTAGTATATGAGTTGACATGACCCAATATAGTTCAAGTACTTGATGGGATATTTCACTAATGACCTGGATGGACTTTTCTCTTAGTTTCTTTGTAATCTTTTACAACAGTTGCTCAAGTCTCCATAACACTTTGTCTGGAACCGCCACACTAGCCAGCCGCAGTTATGTGTCGCGCTGCAGGATTTTGACGTGGCAGTGTAACAGCGCGGTCCGTGGAGCTCCGACTGTGCAGGAAATATTGCCTATAGTATGCATGCATGCAGTGTATATGGCTTCGTATCTGCAAAGCAATTCGCGTCCCATCCTCTTGAAGAGTAGTTGCGATGTGAGAGCCAGCCAGCCATGGTAGGCCGGTATCGTCGCGCAGGTGTCCCTAACTTGGAAATCGCTGTCGCCACTTGGCACCCCAGATATAGACAATTGGAATGAACAAGGTGAATGCGCCTAGAATACACGCGTATATGATAAAGGTCTTAAGATATCCAAAATCCGCCACCCATTCAGAGACGCGAAATGAAAGCGCAAACGCAAGAAGACAGCGAAAAGAAGCAATATTCACCAGCGAGGGGCCCGCAAGCTGCGGATTCGACTCTAGCACGTACACGATGCCAATGGTGTTGGTGGCGAGGAACGAGAAGGTGATGCACGCGAGGCCCATCAGGAATATGATCCAATGATACTTTTCTGGGTTGTCACCGGACACTCCAAACAAGATGCAGCCGACCAATCCCACCAGACAGGGAAAGATGAGGTTTAGTAGCTGCACCTCGGGCGTGCGGGTGCCCTTCCTGCCGGCCACCCAGTTGGCCACGAGATCGGCACCCCAGCCGGACAGCACAAAGGACGCGCAGGCCGCCAGGATGACGGGGAACAGGCAGAAGCCGAGGTGGTAGAACGGCCAGGCCCACGGCTCAGCCAGCAGCTGCGGCGCCGCCGTGTATCCCGCCGCCACCGCGAGCGCGATGACCGCCGAGTTGAGCATGGTAATAAAAAACAGGTGCGGGTAGAAGAAGGTCCGCAGCGAGTCCCACACGGCGTCCACCCCGCTCCGCCACTCCGGCCGTCCCGTCACCAGCCTGAGGTCGTCCGCCCAGCGCCGCGGCCGGCCATGCATCGCGGGGCGGTTCCGGCCCGGCGGGAGCGGGCTCGCCGGGCACCCGCGCTGCTCCTCCTCGGAGCGCGCAAATTTAGTCTCCGGAAGGAAGATGAAGATGGCCACCCAAAAGACCAGCCCCGCGCCGGCGGTCGCAAAGTAGAGCACACGCCAGCTCGCGTGCCCGATGACGTACGGCGACGCGATGCCCAGCACCGCGATGATCAGCCCCTGCGTCGCGAAGACGACGCTGACCGCCGCGTTGCGCTGGTGCTGGAACACTATATCCTGTAGTATAAACGGGATCAGGCTCTCGACAGTGCCTGCGCCCAGGGCCTGGATGCACCTGCAGGCCAGGTGCACGCCGAAGGAGGTGCTGAATCCGGAGCCCACGCAGCCAGCGATGGCGACGGCGCCAGTAGTCAAAAGGACGGTGCGGCGGCCGGCGGCGACGGCGAGCGGGACGAGGAAGAAGTTGGCGACGCCGATGACAAGGATGGGCGCGGAGCCGAGCAGGTAGATGTGCCAGATGGGCGGGCCGGGGAAGGCGGCGAGCAGGGTGAGGGAGTTGGTGCCGGCGGGCAGGTGGACCTTGGTGAGCAGCTTGGGGTCGAGCCCGGCGTAGAGGAAGACGAAGACGGGGAGCATAGCGCCGAGGATGAGCTCGGCGGCGGCGGCCATGGCGCCGAAGCAGCAGATGGCGGCGATGGCGGTGACCTTGCGCCAGCCGGGGAGATTGAGGGGATCTAGGTTAAGTCGCGTTGGTTTTAGTTACTCGCAAAATCACTGTTATTGTTTGTATGCGGGATGGGTAGGCTGGTGTACCTCGAGGATCAGCTGTGGGCATGGGAACGAGAATGGCGCGATCGGTGTTGAACAGAGATGCCAGCATGTCCATCATCTGCTGGATGGTCGGCCATCGCTTGTTCCCATGTTGGCGAGACGTCGCTGGAATGTCCAGCGACTGGCTTCCATCGACGTGCTCTGACGCCTCTTTCGGCGAGCCCATATTGATGTTGGTTCAGTGTGAGCGGTCCGGCAGTCGCTGCATGACTGACACGCTGCCCGCTCCAATGCGGAGAGACAATTGATATATATAGACATTTTGTCTTTTAGATTTCGAAAACACAAGGGGCATTTCGCAGCACTACCGACATGCACATTTCATTTCCTTTGTCACCCAACTGTTAAACCTGGGGTAAAGGGTCATAGCCACTGCCTGCCTCGGCTGTCACCTACCCCACACAATGAAGCCTTCCCTTGGTGCATACAAGAAACCTCGGAGACACATGTACTGCTGTCTGCGAAACGAGCACTTGCCGTCTTGACATTTCAAGTAATCAGGAGCCAGCATCTCGCGTTGCTCAAGTAAGATGATAGGTTAGTTCGCGAGGACGAGGGGAAGGCCTAGTATAGCAAGCAAGGTGAGCCGAGACCAGCACACAACACCCTCCCCAACTCGGGGTTGAATTGGGGAGTTGCGCGCACATCATTCATCAAAACTTCATGGCCACTATGCTGCAGGTGATGGGAAGTGTTGCTCCTACTACTCTTTTCCAGCATCAAAATGGCCGTGGGCGCTGGGGATCGAAGGAGCTTGTGCCAGTTACTTTTACAGTGGTTCCGAAAACCGGTGCAACATCGCCGGACACAATTGCAACACAGACAATCTCATGCATTGTGGGATGTCTAGCCCAAATCAACCGGCCTGCCCTCACATGAATTTCAAAAAACAAAGGCTTTCTTCCAGCTAATAGGAAAATTGTCGGCATGTTTACGATGCAAGGGAGAGTTACTGTGAGCATGATCCTGTCATAATAGCCCCCGCCCACTCTTAATAGCAGCGATACCGTTGGGGGCCGACGCAAGAACTATAAAATGATGGGACACTCCGTAATACATCATGCATGGAGACGGTTGTTTATTAATATGCGGATTTTTTCTTTAATCCGGCGAAGTGCACGGCCCTACCAGTACCAGGTACCCAGGCAGGCTACAGCTGCGTGACTACTTGGGCCAGTACATGATTAGTCGCGCACGCTGCTTGTAACTAACTAATTGGTCGCGAAAACTTATAGACAGCACCAATGCGAAACCACATGACATGTCTCGCTTTTCTTATACGTACCTAAAATTGCGACGTTGACGATCCGTCGGAGAGTCGAGTGGCGCTCACTTGCGGAGATGGCCAGCGGGCCCGCCTGTTGCCAGCGCCGGAAACATGCGCCAAGAGATAAAGAATGGCAAGCGAGAAAGAAGGAACCTTTGGTTGGCATCGAGATGTCACTCTTGCCTGCCAGTCGTCGTGAAACTTCATGCCCGCCGTCGAGGATCCCCCACAATCCTGTCAATGTGACGCATCTAGCGCCTCCGCCACGGACCCTGATATTTGGTCCTTCAAAGGCATCAATGTAACTTGAACGGCTGCGACTTCCCCGATTTAGCAACTCATCACGTATTACATACACATGGCAGTTTTTGACTTTCTTGATTCGGCATAAGATCGTAAGCGTGCAGGCAAAAATGCAAGCTAGTTAGGTAAAACAGGTTACCACGGCGGTTGATAAGCTACCCCCGACCGGTACACGCTGGAGTCTCGTCCGAACTATTCAACCTGGCTGGCACACCTCTCCCTAGGAGCTGTGAGCTAGGAGCACTCGAGATAAGCTCTGTGTCTCTCTATCAAACTAAACGGAATAAGCAAGGGTTCAAGTGTATTTGTAACAGAATCGGTGTCTTTGCTAGACCTTACCGACTTGGCAGTCGTGCCTAGCCCTCTCTGAATCCGACTAGGAAAAGTCTCCTTGTCTAAAGAGGAAGGAGTTTGCAAACCCTCATTTGTCGGCTGCTGGCTATAGCAGATGTAAATATGAGAGTTTCTATTAAAGGAAAAAGCTATAAATTTAGGAAACCCAATTGACAATGGTGACTCTACAACACCTTCATCACCACATTCTACCAGGACCTCGAGTGGCCTACTTCTTCATTAACCTTGAAAATGCTCTTCAAGGCACTAAGCCTGTGGCTTCTAGCGCCCGTCGTCACCGCTTTGGTCGCCAAGCAGCCCGTCGACAGAACCCTTGCCAAGAGAGACTACATCTCGAACAACTGGTGCGGCCAGGTCCTCTACGGCAGCGACTTCCGGGACGTGTCCGCGACCTGGGTAGTCCCGACGGCCTCGCCGCTGTCATCCCAGTACTCGGAGCAGCCGCTCTACAACTATCAGTGGGTTGGTATTGACGGAGCCACCGCCAACTGCCAGGCGATTCTTCAAGCCGGAACCTATGCTAGGGTATGTAAGGAGCGTATGCAAGTAGGCCAATGCTAACTCGGAGAATGAAGTTGCAAGACAACCGCCTCACTTATGGATTCTGGTACGAGTTCTACCCCAACGATTCTTGGCTTATGAATGACCCTCTCGGTAAGTGAAATCTACCTCTAATCCAGCAACAACGCGAATCCGGCTCACAACAGCGCTAGTTCGCCCCGGCGACACCGTCTTCGTGCAAGTCAAGGCCTACAACACCACCTCCGGCTACGCGTGAGTACCGAGTCGCATCACTCATACAGTGGCTTGTTGGCGCTGATTTTATCAGATACATGGAGAACCGCTCCACAGGCCAGCACGTCACCGTCCCCCTTGACGCGCCCGCCGGCTCCTCCCTGTGCGGCCGGACGGCCGAGTGGATCCAGGAGAACGCCAGCGGCAGCCCGCGCGGCCTTGCTCCCTTCAGCACATTTTCCTTCACCGGCGCCTCGGCGATCGACGCCAGCGGCAACCAGCCGACAATCGAGGGCTCGGAGAAGTGGTTCATGACGCCGCGCGGCACCAACAACGCCGTGTGCTACCCGTCCAACGTTGGCAGGGACTCGGTCCAGATCAACTACAGCGGACCGACCGCTTGAGACCGTGCGAGGAGAGAGTAGGATAGGGTGGGAGTTCCAAGGCTCGAGCTGCAAGGTCGGTAAAGCAGTGCAGACCGTCTTGCCAGCTTTCGTTCCGAGCTACACAGACATGGGAGATGGTGCCACTTTACATACCAGGAGTTCCAATGCTTGTGCCAACAAATCCATCTCTCAATGTGCTTGTTTGCTGTCAGGGTCCTATTAGGGCACCTATTAGAGCCCCTACATTGTATGTGTCAGGTGCGTATGAGCACCTATATAACAGCGAGCTGCCGCCGAGCTCTCTACGAGGAGGCAGCGATAATTCCATCTTTATAAAAAATACAAAAGGGATCATTACGTGACTGGAGTCCTCCGAGCGAAGCACCTCACATTTGCCCACCACAAAAGTGACGGAAGCCCAAACTTGACTGGCGAGACCGATGAAAACAAAAAAAAACACATAATTAAGATTACAGCGCGAGACGTAACTTCCGGTATGAGAGCTCCGGATATGGCCCCACACAGGTTCGGCCGAAGCTGTTTGGCCGGTCATGTCGGCCGGGATATAAGTGGGGACACGGCGGCCCAGTTTCGACACGGAGAGGTAGTAACAAGAGAAGAAATCGACCTATTACGACTGTTAAGACCTGTAAGTTTGAAAATTGTCTTCTCTTCAATCCATGGCTCGGCCAGATGGGGCGTTGATCATGACCGTCAGTGCAGCTGTAAAGGGCGAGAGAGGTGCTGCATGTAGTCGAATGACCAGGGAATGAACACTGGCAGAGGCATTTCGTCGGTGCCGCCGAAGGAGCTCGTCGGAGCTGCCGAATGAGTCAGCGAGGGCGCACAATGCATACGCCACATCTATGTGCCCAGGGTATTTCGCGTCGGCGACCAGATTTCCAGAAGTAAACACGCCTGCGTGGCTTGCTCTACCCATGTGGGCGGCGTCGACAGTCTTTCTTCCTCGAAGATCGGCTTCGTTGAAGAGATTCCGCACTGAGACGGGACCGTGGTGGCAAGAGATGATAGCGGCGCCAGATTGGAAAAGATGTCGGCGACGCATCGATCCTCAACCAAGATTTCCGAGCGTAGGCGGCGGACGTGCCGGCGCGAGTCCCATCATAAGACTTACCATCGGCATTCGAAACAGTATTAGAGATGCAAACGTCTACCGAGGTATCACCTCTTATATTCTTACTTGTTTTTGATAGTTCCTGTGACTGGAGGCCAGTACGCGTACTCGAGAAACCTGGTTCACACGAAGCCGGAAGCAACGAGCCCACAGGTCGCAAAGCATCGCCTTTCCTGGAGAAAGAAAGCCTTGAAATTCCAGCAAATGATTCTTCAATAAACTCCACCCCAGACCCGCTCCAATCAAATTCTGTGTTTTATTTATCTATCTACATGCCTGCCCACAACGTGGTCTGAGAGTCGTACCGCGTCTGAGCGCAGGCCAGTCCTACCGCAGTCTGAGCGCCGTGGTGATAATAACAGGGAAGGCAATAGATGACATTAAAAATAAATTCCACCACATCCCAACGTTGCTCTTACGGTAGTCCAAGTGGTGCATTAATATTGACCGTCAAAAGACCCGATCAAACGTCAAAAATGTGACAGTCCGCCGCCACTCTGTAGGCTAAGCGATGGAGTAGATCAACCAGCAATTAGCAACATCACATTCCGTGACATTCCGTCGCTAATCTTAGCATAGTCTGAGCGTTACAGGTAATAATGACATGTATGGAGATGTGATCTACAATTCGATAATGCCACAATCTGTCTCCGCAAAGATACCGAGACCCTTCCCGCATCCGGCGGACTGTCACTAACAACGGTCGCTAGCTCGGCCCCGTCGTTCGGCCTCTATCTCGCCCGACTCACCGGAGCTGAGGTTTGGGGTGCAGTTGGACGGCTTCGCCGGGGAATTGAGGCTCATGTAGGCAGGCATGCCTCGGCAAGGAAAACGGCAAACGCGTAGATCCTTTATCTCGGGCCGGGTAGAGTAACTTTGGACCAAGCCCTGCCTTGAAATAAACTTTGCGAGGGCAGGCAGGGGTCAAAACTTTCGCTTGGCCATCGTACTTTCGTATGTATAGTTTTTATTTTGCGACAAGTAAGACAGTCTTCATCACAGGACACCGGTAATAAGAATCTATGCAGAGGTATATAAGATGTCTTGGAAGTCGACTCCGCACATGATGGCAGCTCCTGCAACCTCTTCTCCTCACTCCTCCCCTCACCAACCTCCACGCCGCAAGCTGGCAACATGCGCTGGACTAATCTACACCTATACTCGTGCCTCACGCTTGGCCTGACATGCGAAGCACAGCGGTACAACGTGTTTTCGCGCCAGCTCGCCCCGTACGTGAGTGCGATCGCCTCCCTGCTCGGCGGCAACGGGCTCGCTCCCGCGGCCTCTGGTACCCTGCAGGGCCTCCTCGGCCGTGACCAGGAGTTCGACTACGTTGTCGTGGGAGGTGGCACCGGGGGCAACGCCATAGGGTACCGTCTGGCGGAGGCGGGCTTCAGCGTCGCCATCGTCGAGGCCGGGACCTTCTTCGAGTTCTCCAAGCCCGGCTTCTCCACCATCCCGGGACTTGACGTGCTGTTTGTCGGCTCGGAGAGCTACGAGGCTCTGTCCGCAGCGGATTGGAAGTTTCAGACGACGCCACAGCAAGGTGCGGACAATCGCAAATTCCACGTGGCTCAGGGAAAGTGCGTTGGCGGCTCATCAGCTTGGAACTTTATGATCCATCATCGCGGCCCCACGGGCGTGTTGGATCAATGGGCCCAGTCCGTGGGAGACGACAGCTACAAGTACGTCAGCACGGATCTCTCATAATTACACCATTACGGTTGAGCTAACAGGATGTTTCTAGGTTCGACAGTTTCGAACCGTATTACAAGAAATCCGTGACGTTTACCCCCGGGAGCGCCTCGAAGCGGCCTGCCGGCACCTGGTCCCAGTCTGCCGCGTCCGATTTCGCTTCTGCAGGACAGGGCGGCCCCGTCCAGGTCAGCTACACGAACTTCGTCTCCGACTGGTCGCTGTGGTTGCAAAAGGGCCTAGCAGCCGTCGGGCTCAAAGAGACAGATGGATTCGACCGGGGTTCACTGCTGGGATACCACTACACGACGACGACCACGCGACAGTCCGACGCAACCCGCAGCTCATCTGCCGAATACGTCTACGCTGCGAACAAAAAGGGATTGAAGAATCTCAAAGTCTTCACCAACACCCAGGCTTCCAAGATCAACTTTGATAGCGGCAAGAAGGCAAGCAGTGTCACGGTGCTCTCGGCCATCAACACCGAGTACACCATCAAGGCGAAAAAGGAGATCATTGTCAGCGCCGGAGCCTACAGCTCGCCACAGCTGCTCATGCTTTCCGGCATCGGGCCTGAAGATACGTTGAACCAGCACGGGATCCCCATCGTCTCTGCGCTGCCCGGCGTCGGCCAGAACATGTGGGACCACATCTTCTTCGGGCCATCGCACGCCGTCAAGTTCAAGACCATCGACTCGATCCTGCACAATCTCGCTGACACGGCCGTCGCGGTCAGCAAGTACCTGCTCAGCCACTCGGGCATCCTGGCTTCCAACGGCATCGAGATGGTCGGGTGGGAGAAGCTGCCCGCGCAGCTGCGGGGCAACTTCTCCGCGGAAACGAAGCAGAAGCTCGACTGGTTCTCGGAGGACTGGCCAGAGGTGGAGTTCCTGGGCGGCAACGGGTACATCGGGACGTTCGGGTCGCTGCTGACGCAGCAGCCGACGGACGGACGGCAGTACGCGACGCTGCTGGGCGCGCTGGTGGCGCCGCTGTCCCGCGGCAACGTGACCATCGCGTCGACGTCGGTGCGCGACCAGCCGGTGATCAACCCCAACTGGCTGACCGACGAGGGCGACCAGCAGGTGGCGGTGGCGCTGATGAAGCGATTGAGGCAGGTGTGGGCGACGCCGGAGCTGCAGTCCATCTCGGACGGGGACGAGTACTTCCCGGGCGAGGACGTGCAGACGGACGAGGCGCTGCTGGAGGTCGTCCGACAGTCGCTGATGACGGTGTGGCATCCGTCGTGCACGTGCAAGATGGGCAAGAAGGAGGACAAGATGGCCGTGGTGGACAGCTCGGCGCGGGTGTTTGGCGTGCAGGGGCTGCGCGTGGTGGACGCGAGCGCGTTTCCGATACTGCCGCCGGGACATCCCATGGCAACGATTTATGCGCTGGCTGAGAAGATTGCTGAGGACGTCATTCGCACTGCCAATCAGTGAAGGGGGTTGGCTCGGGCCAGGTTCCATGTTGAGGTTGGCAGCATCTAGAACGTACATACAAAACGAGAAATGAGTCATACTTCCGAGGCTAGCGAAACAGGGTACCCAATCAAGAAATTCATTCGTCTTCATCTGCATTCACCTGTGTGCTGGAAAAGCTCGGGTGCTGTGACTCGTGAGCGTGGAATCTTCTCGCAGGTTGGTGCAAACGCGAAGTGAAGCGCAACGGGGAGTGAAGAGCAAACGGCCGGCGAAGCGTAAGCGGAGGGAGAAGTGCAAACGGGGAGAATTTTCTTCAGCCAAAAGGCTGCCTTGCGCACTTTAATTGAAGTAGAGTCTCTTCTTGGAAGATTTGAACTCTTCTCTCTCAAGCCTCACGCTTGCATCACCGTCCACCATTGGTTGACTTTCTTGCCTTGAAGTGCATGCAAAGTCTTGCTGTCATATCGAGCTTCCATCAACGCCGATATTAACTTCAATTCCGAGCTTTTTCTTCTTTTTTTCCTTCTCCAACCGGCTATCAAATATCAGTGCGCAGCGACCAGCATACGCGACTCCCACAAAAGAAAATGTCCGTCAACCATTCTATGCGCTCCGGATGTGGCAATCCAGCTCTTTGTTGTTTATCATCTCGCACTGATATCTGACTGGCGCTTTTAGCTTTTTGCTCCCGTCGACCAAGCTTGATCATGGGGTTAAACGGGATCAGGAGATGCGCAAAGCGGTTGAAGGTCGTATGGGAGACGGCTTCTCTTCTGCAGGATACCCGTCGACCAGAGTATCCATTTCCCAGCAGCAGCATCCGCTTCACGATCTCTTCGCCAAGACTAGCAGCCTCGTTTCGAGAACTCTCCCAGTCGTCTTACCCTTTAATGAAGTCAGCACGACAGCCCTCGACATGTTTACTAAGGATAAAGAATCCCAGATTACGGCAGCAAAGAAACTTACAGACAAGTCTAGATGGCTACGGCCAGAAGTGCTCAGGGCCTCCGTTGCAGAGGGTGCCCTGGTCGAGGTCAGGGCCAGCACTGAGAAGGTAGACGCCGGCTGGGCTGCTTTGGAGTGCAGAGTCGAGGCCATCGATAAGTCAATGGACGGTCAGGAGGGCGATTTACTTTTGACGAGAAAATCCAGGTGCACACATGTTCTGGGTGACTTCTACGAGGCCAGACAGGCGATAAGAGAGTTGGAGTCGGGGCTGGAGTCGGTCAAGAGCTGGATAAGAGACTTGGACCAGATACTGGCCTCGGTCAAGAACCGCGTCGTTAGCTTGGAAAACTGATGGATGGTTGGGGAATGGAACGGCGCATAGAAGTGCAGAAATGATACAGCCGAAGAAATAAATGTGAAGGTTTTGTGGCAATGGCATTCGATAAGAAACATCAGACAAGTCCAGCAAAAAATGCAAGTAATGTGTGTGAATCATGATGAAACAGCAGCAAACGGTTGGCTGGCGATTGAGCTACCCCTAGCCATCCACCATGACCCTACCCTCATCCATTAATAACAGAGAGGATAAATGTGAATTACGTAGTGCAATGTTAGGAGACGATCGCAAGACCAGTACGGCGGTGAATTCATCTTTTTGCCTGTGTCTACTATTCCTTTTATACTACTAGCACTGATGAGTTGTATCAGCCGCTATGTTGGTGGCTTTCTTACAACCGCTGCTACTGCCCTGGCTGGCTTTGATCTGGAACCCAGCTTCAACGTCGCTGTATACTGCGGTTGAATCCCAATCCCCGTTAAGAAGAGCGCCTTGCCTACTATTACTTACTATTACAATAATGCTAACTCTAGTATCAACATGATCAATCCAAAGTTCGTCCCCAGTATCACGACTGAAGCCGTCTGCCGGCACTTCCTTCACCCTGGGCGGGAAGCAGGTCATCCATCTCACTTAACCAAGGTGCCGGGGTTCCTGCTTCAACTAGCACCAATGCCGATCATACGATAGGCTTGTCTAGTGATTTTTTAGAAGGTAAATATCCAGAATTAACGTTTTACGTTTTACCGAGCAGAAACATTGTGAAAACTGCCATGCTCGCTATTTTAGCTCGACTTGTTCCGCCTCATTTTGGCCCGCCTTCCAGATTTGTCTGCAGCCTTGTAGGGCTAGGCTGAATGGCTTACAAGAAGGCGATTTTCCCACTTTCCTCTTTTGGAGAATGCCACGCCCTTGTCCTTTTATATCTGCCGACAACCTTGTTCACGTTTACACAATGTTCGGAACAACCGTTCGATACCGCGCTCACGGAGATGTGAGCCGATACTGCGCACACGGGACGAACTGCCGATGCTGTACCAAAGGCTCTATACTGCCATCTATAGGGAATAGAAGTTGGGCGAGCTCGAGGTTATACTGGAAGAATGTATAAATAGTCGCTTGCACCGGGCGTTTCAAAATGTTTTCTTAGTAGGAGCTCTGCATCAAGTGGCTCTAGTGATTTTACGCCCCAGCAAAAGCTTATCAACTCATCATGATCTTCGCCGTCATCCTTTCCGCCTTGGCAGCTGTGACTGCTTCCCCAGCGGGAGAAATTGCAACGCCAACCGTTTCCCCGGCGGGAGGACTTGCAACGCGTTCTTTGGAGGCACGAACGACGTATGTGCCCGGCTGGTGTGGCCAGGTTCTCAACGGCTCCTCTTTCAATGAAGTCGGAGCTACCTGGACAGTGCCCACGTCTTCGCCAAGGTCATCCCAGAATCGAACCTACGCCTATCAGTGGGTTGGCATTGACGGTGGTTTGGACCAGAATTGCCTGACTCTCCTGCAGGCCGGGACTTATTACAAGGTTGGTCCCCCATGGGCCTCGTCATCACCATGACTGACGTCGCTTCTCTCTAGCTGGACGACGGTCCTGGTACCTACGGATTCTGGTACGAATTTTTGCCGGCCGATCCCGTCCTTTTGGATAGCCCTACTGGTATGTTAAGGCAAAAAGCAGGACTACAGAATGAGGGCTGACATGGAAAGAAGTGAAACCAGGAGACGAAGTCTTCGTCAAGGTCACTGCCACGTCGAACACCGCTGGCACTGCGTAAGTCTTATATGCCTACACAGCTATCACTTACTCATACAACTTAAAGGTACATGGAAAATAAAACGACTGGAAAGAGCTTCAGTGTTGATATGAAGGCTCCCAAGGGCTCTCGGCTTTGCCAGTCTTATGTCGAATGGATCCAGGAGAATCCCGACATGAAGTACGACACTATGGCACCGTTTTCAGAATTTAGCTTCTACAATGCCTACGCGAGCGACACCAACGGAAACAGTTACAACTTGAAAAACTCAGAGGACTGGGTTATGAAGATCGGAGACAGCACCCTGTGCTACCCATCCAACCTGACTGACACTTCTGTCACTATTAAGTATAGCGGTCCCGTGTAAGGACTGTACAATGCAGGAGTGTCAATCGGGGAACAACGGTGCTCAAGCTGTTCTGCAGACCTCGCGGTTTGAATGTACTGTAACTCGAGTCTGCAAGACAACAAGTTTTCTCTAGCTTAGTGCTTAATTTGACTGATTCGCCCTGCGCTTCGTGAACATCTCTCATTGGTTATTGGGTAGGTAGTTGGATCAACGAATGCTAGCGTAGATGCGTGTTGGAAACACATACATGCTTCTTACTAAGTTAGCCGAGGGTGGCGAAGTACACAAGTCAAGATTCAGTCACCAGGATCCAATCAGAATTGGGCTTCTTTCCCCTTTAATACACCGACCGCAGAGGAAAAATACTGGGGAATAACTCGGTAGTTGGAAAGAGCAAAAAAAAAAAAAAAAAAAAAAAAACCGAGTCAAGTCCGCTAACTCTGCGGACTTGGAAAGCCTCGGGATGCAAGTCCGCTGGCTAAAGGGCAGTTGGTGGAATCCTGGTGGAATGAGGTTGTCCAGTACCTAACCCAACACCGCCAGGGCGCTAGATTTTAGGCGGGATCTGATAGGTTAGTTCCCGGCTCCGGCGGTGATGCGGCTGCCGGCCACTACGAGCAGTTGCGCCAGTTTTCGAGCTAAATGAGTGCAGCAAGTGCGCAAAAGTGCATCGACTCTGGAAAGATTCTTTTCACTATTACAAGGAAAAATAGAAGCCATTGTAGCATTATGCTGTCCCACCACACTGGCAGGATGGGATGAACAGTACAAAGAGGTTTGCGGGCGGGCTTTAACTAACAAGTGGGCTTTGTCTCCGTACCTCGGCAGGCTTGCAAGATCCCCGATCATATTCTCCGTTTCCATTGGCCACCCGCAACTTGTACCGCCCGGAGCGGTTAAAAAGGTTAAAGAATATTGATGCAACGCGTTTGGCTTATAAATCCATCATTTTTGCGCTTGTCGGCCTTTGCTTTGTTCGACGTCGAGGTATCTCAGCGGAGTGACGCCAAGCGATCGTCGACATGGTGGATGAACCCTTGATATAAATAGCCCAACTCCGTACTCATCATTAAATCCGGTTTTACTGTTCACCATCTTCTTTGTGCTGCCGCTAACAACTACTGTACCTTTCTTTGTTCCGTATCTTTCACCCTCGTCCGTACACAACCACAACCATGGCGCCTAGCAAGACCCTCATCTTCAAGCAGATCCCCAAGGGCCTGCCCGTGCCCGGCCAGGACCTCGTCGTCGAGACGCGCGAGGTCGACCTGGAGACGCCTCCCCCCGGCGGCCTCGTCCTCGAGGTCCTCGAGGCCTCCTACGACCCCTACCTCCGCGGCCGCATGCGCGAGCCCACCACCAAGTCCTACTCGCCCGCCTTCGCCATCAACGACCCCGTCACCAACGCCACCCTCTCCAAGGTCCTCAAGAGCGACAACCCCAACTTTAATGTGGGAGACTTTGTCCGCGCGCACACGCCCATCGCCGAGTACGTGCGCCTCGACGAGCCCGCCAAGTTCTTCGCCTTCAAGGTCACCAACCCGCACTCCCTCGACCTCTCCTACTTCCTCGGCCCGCTCGGCATGTCCGGCCTGACCGCCTGGTCCAGCCTGTACAAGATCGGCCAGCCCAAGAAGGGCGAGACCATCTTCGTGAGCTCCGCGGCGGGCTCGGTGGGCCAGATCGTCGGCCAGATCGCCAAGCACGAGGGCCTGACGGTGATCGGGTCGGTCGGGTCCGACGACAAGCTCGACTTCATCACCAAGGAGCTCGGCTTCGACGCGGGCTTCAACTACAAGAAGGAGAAGCCGGCGGAGGCGCTGCCGCGGCTGGCGCCGCAGGGCATCGACATCTACTACGAGAACGTCGGCGGGGAGCACCTCGCGGCCGCGCTGGACAACATGAACGTCGGCGGGCGCATCCCCGTCTGCGGCATGGTACGTTGAACCGATGCTAATGAAGAAGATGAGAGACTGACAAATTGGGTGTGCAGATCAGCGGGTATAATCAGCGCGCGGAAGAGCGCGCGAGCATCAGCAACCTGATCCAGCTGGTGGCCAAGCAGATCCTGATGCAGGGCTTCCTGGTCAACGCGCCGGGCTTCGGGCCGGACTACTTCCGGGAGCACATGGAGAAGCTGAGCGCGTGGCTGGCGGACGGCACGTTCAAGTCCAAGCTGCACTTCACCGAGGGCATCGACAACGCGGCCGAGGGCTTCGTGGATATGCTGGAGGGCAGGAACTTTGGCAAGGCCATTCTGAGGATCAAGTCTCTGGATCAATAGCAGTCAGATTAAATAAACAAGCAGTACGTGGATTGAGTTCTAGTTCTCATCATTAAAGACTTCTATCGCAACCAAGCGTAGTTCTATATGTACAATTTCAAGTCTAGTTATTTGCAAGGTATCTCATGCCAAGCCCACCTTCTAAACGCCGTCCCCCAACTTTTCATGGATATGTTTCACCTACGTCATCCCCGGCATCCCATCCACAACAAATGCTCTACTCTGCATCTTCATTACAACTCATCGTGTCCTGGTCGCCCGCTATCCTTGTGCAGGTCAACGCCCTGTTTCTTGCGCCACTTCTCCCACAGCGCCCAAAAGTCCTTCTCCATGCCCTTCTCCATCTGGTCGGGTAATACGACCTCGTACGTGATGTAGAGGTTGCCAAAGTCGTGCGTGTGGTAGACCGAGTCGCCGTCCTCGTGCCACTTGGGCATCCCCTCGCCCACAACCGTCTCGACGTGTCCGCTCTGCACCACCTGCCCCCGCTCGCGCCCCAGCCGCACCACGTGCTGATCGAGGTGCGTCAGGTTCCGCGTCCAGCCGCCCATCCAGGCCTCGCGCAGGCTGAGGACCTCAGTCCAGTACAGGTCGTCGCCCTTGCGGCGGAAGAAGGCACCATCGACGTGGTCGGGGTTGTCCTCGGGCGAGGGGCTCTTCTCCGCCAACGTGACGAGCAGGTCGCCGGCGACCCAGTCGGGGCTCTCGTCGGCCTCGTTCTCGTAGGTCACGCGGGAGTCGCGCTTCGCGCCGCGGTCGATCTTGAGCGTGACGGTGGTGGGCTTCTTCTCGACGCGCATGCCGTGGCACGTCGGGCAGACGTTTCGGATCGTCTTGCCCCGGCCGCCGCAGGCGTCGCAGCGCATCTGCATTTGCTGGAACATGCCGGGGGCGAGCTGCTTCTTCACGATGCGCACTCCGTGGCCGTTGCAGGTGGAGCAATGGTCGACCTGCTTGTCCCTGCTTCCGGTTCCCTCGCATGTCTCGCAGATGTGCTGCTTGTTCCACTGGAATTCACTCGTCGCGCCGTTATAGAAGTCGCGGAGGGAGATTTCGACTTTGACTTCGACGTTGTGGCCACGCGGTTCGCTAGGGGAAGATCCGAAATGGCCATGACCACCGAAGAAACGGCTGAAAAGGTCGAATGGGTCCCCGCCGCCGCCTCCTCCGTTGCGCTTGTTCTGGACGCCCTCGTGCCCGTGTCGATCGTAAATCTGGCGCGTTTCCGGGTCGCTCAGGACTTCGTAGGCTTCGGATACGGAAACAAACTTTTCCTTGACAGTATCATCGCCACTATATTCCGATCAGCATTGCAGTCTACGCTTGATAAGGGGCTATGGCGTGGGCGCACGGGTTCTTGTCTGGGTGAAATTTCTTGGACAGTTTGCGGTACGCCGTCTTGAGTTGCTTGTCGTTGGCAGACCTGTCGACGCCAAGAATCTGAGAAGAGGTCAGGGACACAAGCCGTGCACCATTTAGCGAGGCGGCATACCTTGTAGTAGTCCTCGGCGCAAAGCGCAAGCTGCAATAGCGAGAGCAGAAGCACCAAGGCGGCGATCTTGGCTAACATGGCTAGAACGACTCTCGAGGTAGAAGAGCAGCAAGATAGAAGACGGCTGCTAGGTTTTAAATCAGATTAAAATATTGGCGCATAGATAAAGGAGTGACTACTCTGCAAGCAGGTGAAGAATCGCAGAGGGGGATGAGGAATAAAAAAAAGATGCGTCCCTGGATCGAGCCAGATAGCCATTCGTTAGTAGGCGAGAGTGCGAAGTGTAAAGTGTTTAGTGGCTTTGCAACCGACCAGCGTGTTAACAATTTTTAGTGGGGGCGCCAGAAGATGTGGCGGTGCGGTGGCGCTACAGACAGAACGACAGGCAGAGAAGAGAAATCCAGACACAAAAGCCCTTCTGTCACTCCTGCTCTCACCGACAACGGACCATCATGTTGATCAACAAGAGAAAATTCATCATCGCCACCACTCATCATTCATCAGGCTCCCACACAAGCTCCCTTGTCTCGCATGCTTTGAGCTTCGCGTCGACAAACTGCTCCATACTGTGACGGGTTTCTTCATCGAGCAACGCCAATCGGTCCTGCCAAGCTTCTTCGCGGAACTCACCATCTCCGAAAAATTTGGGATCAATTTTATGCCAGAATATATAGTCAAAGGCGAAATTCTTTCGAGCAGCGTAGGTGATCCAAAAGTTACCGCTCTGCCAGCTGTCGCGCATACGACTTGCAAGCGTCCCGTCATTTCCAGACACTCCCGACTGCGCGCCTCACATTCTTCCATGACCTTGAGAAATATCTGCAAGCGATCGTCGAACATTCTTATCCATTCCTCTATCCCATCAGCCCAGTACTCCGGCTTTTCAAGGAGAAGCCACCAAGGAGGCTCCGAGACGAACCCTGCCGGCCCGACGTAGCAGAACTCCCAATCAACGACGCCAACAACTTGCAGATTTGCATCCAGCAAAATGTTTCCATATCTTAGATCGTCAAAAAAGAGTCGGGACGGCCCCCATTCATCTTTGGCCGACAAAAGCCGTCCATCATTCGCGAGCTTATGGAACAGCTGACGCGCGAGAAATTTCCTCTTGCAGTCACTACGTGAGTCAAATGAATCGGTTCTCTGACTTGCGAAATGGTCGATATGCAGCTTCGACAAAGCAGACAAGTATTCCCTGGTTGATGAGTAGGTAGATCCTGGAAGCTTGTCTCTCGGCAATGACCCAACTCGCACCAGTTCGTTCATGTATGTGGAGAGCGGGCGCTTCGTGACTGCCCACGAGTCTTGGTCCTCGTTTTGCTCGAGCGATCCAATAGCAGGAAATTCAAGCCGTGACAGCTGAAGGATGATGTTGGCAAATTGGCGATACAGTTCCTCCAACCTCTCGGTCTCAATATTCGGATCCAGCACTGGGCGGTCATTCCGACTGAAGCCTGGAGTGTTGAGAGCCGCGCCCATATCCATTTCATGATTTATCCACTCCATGATGATGAACGGGCCAATCTGGAGCGGGCTCTCCTCTTTCGTCCCCCAGTGTAGGATAAAGGGAACGGGGATGGAAGTGTGGTCTTGAATATATCGGATCATGGCAACCTCGTTGCGAACCTTTTCTTCGGGGAACATGGTTGCTCCTGGCTTAGGGAACCTGGTCAGCTCAGATCCGCCGTCTTCAAACTTCATACGAAAGACGACATTGTATGCTCCTGCTCTTGCCTCGCATAGTTCGGTTGGAGTGCCACGCCTATGCTTGACGTGAAGTCGCCGATTGCGCGCAAGGTGGGCTTTTCCAGAATCGACTTGACCCAGTCAAGCTCGACTCGCTCGCTCTCTTCCCAGGCAACATCGTCAAAGGGCATACGCAGTCGCATCTTATGTTTTTAGTAGAGTCTCAATCGGTGAACGAGACGTGTTGTGCATATTAGAAAGCCACCAGGGGCTTCCTACCAAATCAGGGGGGCTGAGACTCCCACACCCCGCCACGCAGCTGACCCCTGTGTAGAGGCAATCTATCCGCAGGTACAGTACATTACTGTGCTCCTGCGCCAGTTTGGGGGCTTCCAGGTCGCAAGTAATGCTAATAAACACGTCGGAGGCAATTCCAGCATCACAGTTAGCATTCTAACTACCTTCCAGGCTACTAAGTTAGAACTCTAGATGGCAAGTGAGGGGCGGCCGTGTCGGGATCGAGGGCCAGGTGTAAGATCCTCCGTAGCCATCTGATAGAAATGATGGGAGCAATTTTTCAGTGAAGTGGTTAATACAAGCTGATCAGTAATACTATGTCACTCTCGTCAGTGTATTTAAGGTGAGGGTAGAGCCGTGACCCTTGTAGCACTTGCTACAGAGCCCGGGCCGTACAAAATTTGGTGGAAGTAAGCAGCTTCTGATACGAGATAATTTCTAATTTATAAACTAAGAAATGACCTAAAAATAAAAGAATTATTCAATAGCTTCTTCTTGTACCTTTGCGGGCGCACAGCGCTGGCCATTGTCCAGAGTGGCAGCCCGCTAGCGGAGGAGCCCCGCCATGGCAAAGCCAAATTTGACAATTTGAGTCACCTCAGTCATGACAAGGAGAAATCCCAGGACAAATCATTCAAATTGCGACTTGGCACGCCGGACGCGCTGTGCAACGATCCTCTCGACACCCAAGACCATTTCTCACTGCAATTGAGCTCGTCAATACCTCCAACGCAAGACTTTCCTCCCAACTCGTGCCACAGCGCCCTGTCCCTCGACCGTCGAACCCCCACCATCAGCATCGCAAACAGCTTGCGCTCGCTGCTACCAAAGCCTCTTTCGCGATGCCCTCGGTGTCAGCAGGCTATGCGCCTAGCCTAGACAAACTGATAAAGTCCCTCAAAGGGCAGCCTCTCGATGCCTCTGTCGAGAGTCTCCTGTCGTAAGCCTCGCCCATCCACCCAGGACCCGCGTGAAACACGGGCGCGTCGCGGTGGGCAATCCAGTCTGCTAACCAGGCCTCAGGCTACTCAAGCGACGCCAGATCAAGGGCTCCGAGCCCTGCGCCATCGCGACCGCCCACATCCTGCTCCAAGTCGTAGCGCGCTCCAAATGGCACGACGTCGACGCCCTCATCGATAACGTCTCGCAGGTCGGCCGTCGACTCGTCAAGGCGCAGCCCACGGAACTGGCCATTGGCAACATTGTCCGCCGCGTGCTCGGCCTCATCCGCGACGAGGCCGCCGAGGAGCGCCACGACCAGGAGGAGGAGACGCAGAGTGAGGCGTCGGCGCCCACCACGCGCGGGGCCGACACGGACGGCTACGCGTCCCCGCGGCCACGGCCCCAGCTCACCTCGACGCTCAGCTCCGCCGGGCTGCCCAAGACGCTCTTCCACCTGCTGTCGGCCTCGCCCGAGGTCGACCTCGCCACCAGCGGCCCCGGCTCGCCGTTCCACAACTCGGGCACCTCGACGCCGACGTGGAAGGGCACCTACAGCCAGATCCACGCGCTGCGGTCCGAGGTCATCGACGGCATCGAGGAGATCATGGACGAGATCAGCCAGGTGGACGACCAGATCGCGGCGCTGGCCGACGCGCAGATCCGGCCCGGCGACTTCGTCCTGACGTACCGGCCGTCGACGACGGTGGAGCGCTTCCTCCTGCGGGCCGCGCAGAAGCGCAAGTTCACGCTGTTCCTGGCCATCGAGGCGGCCGCGGCCAAGCCCGGCGCGGAGCAGCCGCACGCGGCGCTGCGCAAGAAGCTCGCGGCGGCGGGCATCACGGTCATCAACATCCACAACTCGGGCCTGATGGCGTACATGTCGCGCGTGGACAAGGTGATCCTGGGCGCCAAGGCGATCGTGGCCAACGGCGGGGTGGTGGCGACGGCGGGGTCGGCGGCGGTGGCGCGGGCGGCCAAGGAGCACGGCACCGCCGTCATCGTGCTGAGCGGCGTGTACAAGCTCAGCCCGGCGAGCCCGTTCGCCGAGGACAGCCTGATCGAGTGGGGAGACTCGTCGAGCTTTGTCAACTTCTCCAACGGCACCATGGTGAACAATGTCGAGATCCGCTCTGCGTTGACTGAGATGGTGCCCTCTGCATTCATCGACACATACATTACCAATCTGTGAGTTGATTGTGCGCATGGCGAGTGGACCAGTGAATGCTAACGTTTAATCATAATAGGGGGACACATTCTCGCGACTATTTGTCCAGCATCATTGCCGACCACTACAAGCACCAGGATGTCAATTTCGATCTTGTTGGCGAACGCATGGTGTAACAGACGGCGGAAGAGGCAACTAGACAGTGTAATAGCTTCCTGCACATATTTCATTTGGGTTTAAACATCGAACCGAGATTACCACAGCGCTTTCGAGTGAAGCTTTCACCATGAACCGGCCAGTGGTGTGCCTCTTGTTTCCTCTTTTATCTCAGCGATTCAATTTGAGCACCGCTTTTGTTGCTGCCACCCACTTGTTTGTCACGCATTGTCGCCCACAGCCACCGTTTTTCTGTCCCTGTATTACTTTGATCGTGGAGCCCCACGTCCCTGGCCATATCCTGCTGTTGGTATCCGTCCGGTACTAGTTAATGTCCGTCGATCTACATAGTAGCCAAGGATAGATCTACCAGCGTCAAGTTACGAAGCCAGCAATAGCGGCAATAGCAGCAATAGCAGCAATAGCAGCAATAGAGCGTACAGACAAACCCGCGACCTCGTACATGTGTGAACAACCCAACCCCTCCTTGCTCTTCGGCTTGTTTCGGTTCGTCTCGATCGTAGCGTGGCACGGACTTGGCCAATCACCCAAATGGCTGACGCAAGCCCGCCCACAGGGCTGACGGAGCCACGCAACGGACTACGTCTCCCACTAATTATGTATGTATGTACTGTATGTACCATGACTATTAGCTCCAGTCAGCCTGTCCGCCGAGGCAGCCTGGCAGCCTACAGTAGCAGGTAGTTAGGATAAGGCTCCAACTCTTCTTCAGTTACCTGACGCTCCTCCCCTCAGCCTCTTGGACATTTCATCAACTCCCTGATACTCGGCTTCCTTTTTTTTTCTTCAATCATGTCCGGCGCCCTACCTCCCCACGGCGGCGATGCGCCGCCGCCATACTCAGAAACCGACATCTACTCCAACTCCGGTGCTGCCGCCGCCCACCCCTCCGCGCCGCCCACCACCGCTGACGACGTCGCATCCCGCATGTCCTCGTCCAATGAAGAAATCATATACACGCCCCCCGATACCCCTCGCACAACCGCCACCGCCGCCGCCTCCTCCGTCATCACCGGCGTCCCCCAACCCGGCGCCGACCTCTACTTCGAGACCCGACCCCCGCCGCCGCCCGACGTCATCCCGCAGTCCACGCTCGTCCACGCGCTGCACCTCGACACCCAGTCGCTGCCCGACGACTTCCCCTTCCCGAGCGACTGGGAGAAGCGCGAGATCAACGCCCAGGACTGGGCCACTTTCGTCAACTTTTTGCTGCCGGACCACACCACCCGCGGCAACGATGTGGTCCTGGAGCGCAAGCTGCGCGCCGAGGCCGAGAGCGAGGCTGGCGACAGCGTGAGCAGCGGGCGGTCCCAGGCGGAGCTGCAGAGGCACCTGCTGCGCACCCGCGGGCCCGAGGCCCTCCAGGACGAGGCGCAGCGACGCGCCAACGCGCTGGCCACCGTCCACGAGTGGAACGCGGGCTTCTTCAGGCCTCGAGGCATCACCATCACCATCACCCCTGACGCGGATGACGATGCGACCGCAGCCAGGGATGGGCCGGGCCAACTGCCCCCGGGCAACGGCGGCTGGCTGCCGAATCAGTCGTCTTTCAGGGTGGACGCCGACGGTATCGCCTATGGCAAGAGATTCGTCATGGATGCCAACGGTATCCGCCTGGGCTCTCTCATTATGGATTCGAACGGAATTCGTATGGCCAGTCACGAAAACGACGCGCCGGGGATGCCGCACGACTCAGGAGCGGGGCCGTCGTCGTCACGCAACCTGCCGGGTTTCTCGGGCCCCGAGCCCCCGCGCGGGAGGGAGGCCACCAACATGAGCCCCAACGGCAAGGGCAAGGACAAGGCGCGCGAGCGCTCCTCGTCCGTGTCGTCAGCCTCATCCGCCTCCTCCTCCTCCAGCGTGTCCTCGCTGGACTCCCTCCCCGACTACGATGACGTCCGCGAGCAGCAGCTCCCCGCCTACCTCAACGTCCTGCGGGACTGGACCTCCCGCCCGAACCACATCCGCACCAACGCCGACGTGGCGTGGCTCAAGAACGATCTCAAAGCAGCCAGGCAGCTCAACGCCGCCGGCAGCCTGCCACAGGCGGACAAGAAGGAGCTCAAGGCGCAGATCAAGGCGCTGCTGAAGCAGTGGAAGCAGATCCAGCGCGAGCAGCACAAGGCGCAGCGCAGCATCAAGAGCGCGCGCAAGAAGCAGCGCAGGCAGGAGAAGCGCGAGCGCAGGCAGTGGAAGCGGGACATGAAGAGGACGCAGAGGGACGTCCGGCGCGCCGAGAGGGACGTGCGACGACACGGCGGCCCGGGGCCTTGCATGCCACCGATGCCGCACGGGGTGTCCATGCCTGCTATGCCACCCGTGCCACCCGTGCCACCCATGCCTCCTGCGATGCACGGCCCGCCGTCGATGGGCTTCCACGACCGCCACCGCGGGCAGCACCAGCACCACCGCGACCACGGCGGCCACTTTGGCGGTTGGGGCAGCAGCTGGTCGCATCACGGACGCGGCGGACGCGGCGGCGGCGGTGACAACGACGACCAGCACGGCGACGCGCCGCCGCCGCCGCCTCCGGACCCGGCCGTGGCGGCCAAGTACAGCGCCGCGCAGGGCATCGAGGAGGCCATCCGGACGCAGCAGGACCGCGCGGGCAAGATGGAGGACGGGCCGGGGAAGGAGGCGATCCACGAGGCGATCGCGTCGATGACGCAGTCGCTGGAGGCGCTGCGGGTGGAGGCGGATGGCGAGTACGCGCGGCACGTCGCGGAGCAGCAGGGGGCGCAGGGGGACAGCAGGTCGGCGATCACGACGGCGGTGTACTGGAACCCCAACAAGGACTGTAGGTCGTCCCGCCGCGGGAGGCGATGGTGAAAGGGAGGCTAACGGGTGTTTGTACTAGGTCTGGGCTTCAAGCCAGGCGCCAAGATCACGGGCGTGACGTTCTCGTCGGACGAGTGGTGGCATGGGACGTACAAGGGCAAGACCGGGTACTTTCCGGCCACCCACGCCAAGCTGTTGCCAGTGTAGATGGGCTGGTTCGCAATCACACCAGAATGAGGTTGGACTTTTTTAGTAGTTGGCGTTCTCTTCGTTTCTGTCGCGTTCTTAATGTCTTTTTTTTTTTTGGTCTTCAGCATCTGCAGGGAAAATCTGCACAAATTGGCATGTTTAAGCTCGTCTGCTCGGTTTATCAAATCGATGCAAAATTGTGAATCAACTCAACTCAATCCCCGCCTGCTGGCCGTGAAACTTTTTCGTTCATTTTGTCTAAGCCCTAAAATACGCAGTGTATATGTGTAAATGCAGCCTTCCTCCAACTTTTCCCTTCCCAAGCCCCCCTGTTGAAAAATGGTCAAGAAAAAGGACAGACGATGCGCTACTTGCTCTGCTCCTTGGTCCTGCCCACCGCCAGCTTCTTCTTCTTCTTTCCCGCCTCCGGGTCGCGGCCGACCTCGCCCACCGCCTCGCCCTCGTCCGGGTGCTCGCCGTTCGTCTTGCCGTTAGTCTTGGCCGCCTCGCCCCCCTCCTCCTGCTCCTCCTCGGCCTCGATCTGCTTCCTGATGTACTCGAGCTCGAGTCGCATGGACAGCGCGTCCTCGCCGTCGGCGTAGTACTTGGCCTCGGGTTTCTCGATCTTGAAGCCGAGCGTCGTCTCGTAGAGGTGGCGGGCGGCGACGTTGGACACGCGCACGTGCAGGGACACGTACTTGGCCTGGTACGTTTCCACCATGGCGAGCTCTGCAATTCATCCACAGGGGGTTAGTACTCTCTGCCGCAATTCTCTCTCAATGTCCTCGTGTTGACGTACGGCTCTGTCGCATCAGCTTCTCGGCGATGCCCAGCCGACGATGCGTGCGCATGACGCTCAGGCTGGTGATGTGGCCGTGGGGGACGCCGTCCGACGGCTCCTCCTCCATCTTGGCGATGACGTAGCCGACGATCTTTGGGTAGTCGTATGGGCCCTTGCAGGGGCGGGAGACGTCGACGGCGACGAAGCTGAGCTGCGGCCACGACAGCGCATGGTAGAGGTAGTACTTGAGGAAGTAGTTCTCCGGCAGGTTCTCGAGGTTGGCATGCTGGATCAGCGGCAGATCCGAGTTGCGTAGGATACGGATGTCCATGTTGGGCGTGGATGTCGGGTATCGGTGACGAGGGACGGAGAGGACAGGGAAATGTGTCGCGAGGACAGCCGATCCGACGGGGACGGAGTCGCGGTGTCGGTTTGAGGAAGCGAGCGTGCGCAGCTCAGGACTGCTCTGCGTTTCTCTCTTTCTCAATCGCAAGCTCACACGGCGAGAGGGACGGCGGAATTGGAAGGGCGGACGTGGTCGGATGCAATGGTCGAGAGAGAGAAACTGGATGATTATTTAGTAGGCAATAGAAATAGCAGCCAGGTAGTTGATGGTCCCCCACTACAGATGTCGTCTGAGAAAAGTGGAGCGGCAGAGGCTTTGGCTGCGATATACTCTTGGCCGTGGCGTATACTTAGGAAGGTAGATATAGTTAGAGAAAAGCCACGGTGACTATAATTATGAGGCACAGAACTAGGGAAAATATTAGTTCACAGATATGCAAGCTCTGTCGATGAATTAGACTATGCAGACCATCACAGCTTCAAATCATTGCCAGTAGGACACCAACCGCCTCCGAAATTATGCCATACACGATTCACCAACTATGCTGCCTATTCACATTGTAAAGAAATATACAAAAAAAATTCATCTCCATCATAAAAAGAAGGTCCTGGTGTATCATCCTGCGACTCGAGCACACAAAGGCGGTTGCTCTTAGTATATGGCGTCCTGCCCCGCCATCTCGTACGGAGGAGGATGGTGGGGGTGTGACAAAGATTTCTCCGACAACCCTCTCTCAACTTTTTCTCATCTCTAGCTCCCCCGCAAAAGATGGCCTCCGACCCGTTCGACGACGTCTTCACCCTCGAGGACCGCTTCTACCGCCAAGGCTACCAGCAGGGCCTCGACGACGGCGCCGCCGCCGGCCGCGTCGAGGGCCGCCAGTTCGGCATGAGCACCGGCTTCGACAAGTTCCTCGCCAGCGGCCGCCTCGCCAGCCGCGCCCTCGTCTGGGCCAACCGCCTCCCGTCCAACGACTTCAAGGTCGCCAGCTCCTCCTCGCTGGAGAGCCGGCAACCAGCGGCCGCCTGCACGTTGCCGCCGCTGCCGGATCACCCGCGGCTGGGCAGGAACGTCAGGATGGTCTACGCGCTGGTCGAGCCGGAGACGCTGTCGACGACCAACGCGGACGAGGCCGTGCAGGACTTTGACGACCGGTTCAAGCGCGCGCAAGGAAAGGCCAAGGTGGTCGAGAAGATGATTGGCTAGGACTGGGACAGGTTACGACTTGATGAGATATGCGGCGTTTGGGAATTCCGAGCTTCTAGAGGGTCACTGCAAGAATACACGCAACATACAATCGCCGACTTGAAGCACATGGTTGATGGTTGGCTTTATTGATGTAACAGTACAAAAGAGAAAAAGCTAGGCGTCTATGCCTCCCCCATTATATACATGTTTACTCCCGTCTATTGAAATGATCTGCAAGGATATCTAGAGGACAGTGTATTAGCATCAACAACGACTGCGTTTGATCAGTCACTCCCAACCTACCCATCAGGATACGACCGCTCGGTCAGCTTGTACTTGTGGACGCTCCACTCGCCCGACGCGAGCGACTGCCCGCTCGGCAGCGGCGGCAGACCGTTGACGAACAAGTCCTTGGCGACCTCCGCGGGCGCCGCCTTTGCCAGCGCGCCCGCCAGGCCCGCCGTCTCGCCCTCCTGCCTCGCCGCCACCAGCGCCTTCTCGCCCGCCTCGCCGACCAGCTCGACCTTGGGGCTGGCCGCGCTGCCGACCGCCAGCAGGCCCGCCACGTCGGCCTGCCCGACCACGCTCAGCTGCGGGTAGTTGCGGCGCGAGTCGCGCTTCCAGTACGGGTTTCCGGCAATGTCCGCGGCGGGCAGCGTGACGGGGTCCTCGAACGAGGCCGGGTCGTTGGAGCCCGGCGCGGGGAGGCGGTAGTACGGGTTCAGCGGCACGCCGTTGGAGCGGTTCGGGTCGATGGCGACGGCCTTGCGGAAGGTTTCCCAGATGCCGGTGGATTGGAGGGTCTGCTTCTGTATTGGGGGGTCGAGGGGCGATTAGCTTCGGTTCGAGATGTCTGGCTTCGATGCGAGCGTAATTTTTTGGGCTCGGTCGCAAGATTGTGGTCGTGTGTGCATCAATTGGTATCGCGCCGGGTGAGAATGTGCTTACCTTGGCAATGTTGACGACGCCGCCTGCGGCTTTGGCTACCGCATTGGCCGACATGGTGGCTTGTTTAATTCGGGGTTGAATGGGGGAGTTGTCGTGGTGAGCTCAGGTGTGGTGAGAGTTGGAGTTGCTATTGCCGGTGATGGGATTGGCTAGAGTTTAGCCGCTAATTTACCGGGAAACTTACCCGGCAGCAACCAGGTCGAATGAGGATACTCTGTCAAGGCATAGTTGAGCTTGGTTTATACTTTAGAAGAGAAAATGCCAGTCTCTCATTGACAATAAAACGCTCGGGTAGGGTAAATAAATACGAAGTTAGCTCATTGGTGGCTTTTCTGTGTGCGCAAACGCATAACCTGTGAATTTGAAAACTCGGCTACTGAACGGCTATTGTTGGTAGTGAGTGTAAGACACTGTTGATAATACCTAGAGAAGAATTTACTCGATTTCAGAAAACAAGCAGGTGCAAATGAACAACTATAAATTTGGATCCTGGGACTAAAAACGATTATTCTAAACAAGAATGTATGCCAGGTGCGTAATTGCTAGGTTGTCCACCACGGTTTGGAACGAGCACCCCTCCGCCTCGCCTCGTTCATGATGACTGGCTATGCACAGATCGGACAAAAGCACCACATCACTACGATGGCGATAGTTTCCATGAACCCGTTCCTCCCAGGCACGAGAACAAGTGCAGACGCAGGGCTGTGGCTTGGACTAAGCGCAACGTAGGGTTCTCTCTCGACTACCAACAGACGTTTTGCAAAGTGCAGGCTCGTGTATGCGGAAGCCGTCCAAGCGCTGTACGACCAAAGCAAATTCATTCCACCGGCGGCGACTCGCCTGTGTACTCTGCGCACTTGATCCTGCCGAAGCTGCCTGTGCGTAGCATCAACCTGGCGTGGACGGAGGTGCTCCACCATGACGCGGAGGATGTGCCGTGGGTCGTGAACGCCTGGCTTCATGGGTGCTCCATCTTGTAGAGATGTACCGGCCTGGTGCATTTGACGGTGCGACTCGGGAAGCTGCGGCGTGCGACCGAGGAGCAGCGCACAAGTTGGTGGGCCGGGTTGATACGACTATGGAGTGGCCGAAGACGCGATGCCTTGGGCTCAGGCAAGAGCGGGCATGCCCGTTTGGACTTGTGTCTGTATTGGAGTACGATGTTGCGCGGCTGGGCTATGGTGAGCGAGCGATTGGGCATGCTAACCAGGCCGGGCACTGGGGTGCTCCAATCGGCGAGTTAGAATTGTTTGCCGTGTCAAAGAATTGATGTTGCTATTTACAATGATTGTGACTGGCGGATATACAGCAGGATGTCAATCACAGTAGCAGCAATGGTATTTTGCGTTGCATCCGCGTCGGCTTTGTCGTGGTATATTTGTCACTGATAGGGTGGTCATGATCGTCGCTGGAGACTGTCAGCAGGCGCCTGTGGCCTCCTTTGGCTATGGATTGATTGCGTACAGTTTGATTGCGGGCCGAACGGATAGATAGTCGCGTGTAGCTAGCGCATTCATTGTTAACACAGCATGGCCAAGATGAGACGTCAGTAGGCAGGGTATGTAGGTGCTGCGTACACAAACAAGACTGAGGCCATGGCAAAGGCGGCGGCCGGGGCCATGAACTTCTACAGGTGAATAAGTCAGGTGTGTTGGTGTTTCGTTTAATGTGTCAGGCTCGCTGGCTTACTCTCGGGTCCATGATGACTGAACAAGCTGGTTATAAAGAAATGACTGGGAAAAAACGAGGCAAAGAGAAAAAAAAAGGCGGGCGAAACGTGGCAACCCTGAGATGGCCCGTTGCGGCTAGCAAGGCAACCAAAACCCCCTGGACTGGGCGGCAGTTCGTGTGCCAGGGGAGCGGAATATCGATATCAACAGCCTGATTGACCGAAGACTGATCTGCAGGGCACTGATTCAACTTAGACAAGGCGGCTGGGGGATGCAACTGAACGCGTCCGTGGCTGGGGTACGGGTTTGGCACGATTATTGGTGAAGAGGTGGTGCAGGTGGGAGGAGAGGATAGCGCCACGGCAACGGTCTGGACTTTCAATGTGCCTGTATTGCCTGAATTGCCCCTAGTACCACCCCTAGGTTACCCACCTACAGTATGTATGTATGTACGTATATGTATGTATCTACTAGGTACGGCCCGTGGGCTGGAGGAGGGGAACAGACGGCTGTGTGGGATGGGGCTTTCCGGGGTTATTCTGCATGACAATTCCAAAACACGGCCGCCAAAGGAAAGACCACCGAAATCACTGCTAACACATCCTTTTTTTCCAAGCAAGTCAGGTGCTGCGCAGAGATTGCTGGGTGCCGACTTCCAGAGCGGCCTGCCTCCCGCTTCTGTTTGATGGTTTGATCCTTGTTCCACAAAGGCTGCTGCTATAGCTCTCCCAGAGTGTGACGAGCCCTAAAAAATCGTAATAATGGCAATAAAATATCGGTGGCGAAACAAAAGCCAATCACAGTCGCTCAAGGCATCAAGGAACCCGTCCGGCCCTTCATCTAGAAGGGTACAAATATATATAGGCAGCTGGGCTGGTTGGGGTTTGGCTGGCGCAATCTGCCGCGCATCCATCCCATCCCACACCACCAAACACGCACCACCAAACAGACAGACAAGCTTAAGCTCGTGTATCCGCCCTCTCTCACCTTTTCTCTCTTTCTCTCCTCCTCACTCCTTCTCGCTCCTTCTCGCTTTCTCTTCTTCTCAATTTCCTTCCCACCTCGCCTCGCCACCAAGCTCTCGTTTTCTTTGCCGCTCTTGCTTTCGGCTGTCTGCTCCCCACCGCGTCGCGCGCGACATTGCCTCCGCGCGCATTCATTCATTTTATCCCGCGCAAGCGAAAAAAAAAAAGACACAGACACAAACACCGCTGTCGCAATGCCTCCCACGCTTCGCAAGCGCAAAGCGCCTGAGCCCGCGCCCGCTCCTGCCCCCCCTCCTAAGAAGGCCGCTGCTCCCAAGAAGGCTGCCGCCACTCCCAAGAAGGCCGCAGCGCCCAAGAAAGCCGCTGCTGCGCCCAAGAAGGCCGCCACTCCCAAGAAGGAGGAGGCTACCGCTCCCGAGAAGGAGGCCGCTGACGACGAGACCGAAGTCGAGGCCGGAGAAGCGCAAGACGCGCCCGCGCCCGCGCCCGCGCCAGCCAAGGCCTCTAAGCAGGCCGCTGTCGGCGACACTGTCGACCTGGACGGCTTTGGCGGCGAGATCGAGACCAACGACGGCACCAAGACGACCCTGAAGAAGCTCGTCGACGAGAGCAAGTCCGGCGTCGTCCTCTTCACCTACCCCAAGGCCTCCACGCCAGGCTGTACGTTGTCCTCTTCCCCCAAGCTCCAATCCTCCCTCCACTCCCCCAACGTTCCCGGCGCACGCGACGCGACGACGACGCGCGCGCATGCTCGCTTGAGGGGCGTACCCTCCGACTCTCGTCACTGACCACTCTTCGCAGGCACCAAGCAGGTCTGCTTCTTCCGCGACGCCTACAAGCCCCTCAGCGCCGACGGCCTCGCCATCTACGGCCTCAGCGCCGACTCCCCCAAGGCCAACACCACCTTCCACAAGAACCAGAAGCTGCAGTACCCGCTGCTCTGCGACCCGACTGCCACCCTCATCGCCGCCATCGGCCTCAAGAAGCAGCCCAAGGGCACCCAGCGCGGCGTCTTCGTCGTCGACAAGCAGGGCAAGGTCCTCGTCGCCGAGGCGGGGAGCCCCCAGGGCACCGTCGACCGCGTCAAGGCGCTCGTGAAGGAGCTCAAGGCATGAGCTCTCTTTTTTGCTGTAGATTTGCCCATGGGGAGCTGGCGCGTGCGTTGTCAGGCTGCTGAGGTTTTCAGTGGTGGAGGCAGGGCCGGGAAGAGGAGGACGAGGATACGCTTGGATGGATCACGCGGGGTAATCAATCACTGGGACTTTGTTGGAATTTTATGGAATAACGTTGAGATAGGACGCCCGAGGAAGAGACCATGTTAAGCATTCTCTCTACCGACTTGTACCAATACTTGGAGAAATAATAGTCACTTTGTTTTTAGCATCCTGCATAATTCATCTTGCCACTTTGCCACCGACCCCAGCCTGATGTTATCCGCCTGCTTCTTGATTTCCTTGTCTTTGACGACCGCGTCTTCTCCCCTGGCTTGCCGCGCATCGCAGCCTCCGCAGTGCCACTTTTGGAACGAGGATCCTATCTGCTGGTCAGTTCTTCGGCCTCTCTGACCCGACTTTGCATGGGTGACTTGCGCCTGCTCTTGCCAAGAAGCCCGGAAAGGGCCGAGGTATTCGTTGGCTAACTTGTCTACGCCACACTGTGGCAAGTGACGCCCGTGAACGCGGCGGGATTGCACTGTCCAACTCAGTTAGTCAACACGTTCCCTCCCCAAGATGCTTTCCATCGCCAACTTACGCTCTACATGACGCAGTTAGACAGACCGCCGTTTTGTCACCGGTTAGTTAAAAAGGTCTACCACGCTAGGTATCATACCTTGGCTCTCTGCATGTCTGTTAGTAAAAGAACCGGGAAAGGACGGAGAGACGGAGAGACACGTACCTCGTATTCGCACCAATTGCTGTGGACGACGCCGTCGGTGCAGTTGACGGGCTGGTAGTCGTCTGAGCAGATGGCGTCGCAGGTGATCTGCGGCTCCGGCTTCGCGGGGGCGGCACAAACGGCCGTGGCGGCGGCCAGGATGACGAGGCTGAGGAACTTCATGTCGGACGTTTGAGAGGGCGATCTGAGATTGATTTGTTTTCAAGTATGGAAAGGAAAAGAAGAAGAAAAAGGAGCTGTCGAGTCCATCTCAGTCCCGGGGAACGCAGGGCCTTTTATGCTAAAAGTCAAGGTTGGTGGTAGGTGGTGGTTGTCTCGCTAACAAAGAGCAAGCGCAAACGGCACTAGATGCCCACCCTCACAACCCAACCCCTTGCATCAAGCAAATTGTCCCGCATTGGGATGATTGTCATGTAATATGACGAGCCCGCAACGAGACAATTCGGCGACCACGACAGGCCCACCGATCCCGCGTTTGCCTCTCATTTTCATCTCCGGGCAGATCCAGCTTATTTCCTGTCCGGCAGATCAGCCAAGATGTGCGCCATCATCAGTAGTTAAATCCATTATATTCCGCAAGTTTATGTACATGAAAGCCCTCCTCTTTAAGTACGCTCTGCCACCGATGGTCCGTCCTCGACAACAATCAAAGATCAAAAGGACAATAGAAGAGTGAACGGTGCCAAGCCCAGTAGTCCCGTAAATGTCAAAATGAGTTTGCTCCCGTTTGCTCAGGCCAAGACACCTGCCTGAGATAAGAGCCCGCCGAACCAAAAAAAAAAAAAAAACTAGATCATTCCAAAAAGAAGAAGAAAGAAGAAAGAAGTCTATACCGTACAGTGCCGTGCTCCCAACTCATCTCACTACCCGTAAACCAGGGTATACATGTCGGCCAATGGTGTCTGCGCCGACTCCTCTCTCAGCAGCGCATGATTACTTAGCCTCCCGTAGACATGATTCTAGAACCAATGCTGTTTCATGCCCTTCATCTATGCTCCGCGGCTAGGCCTAAGCCAGCCCGACCTAGTGTTCGAGCGTGTCGAAGCTCGCGCATGACAAACTCGTAGGTGAGCATGGTTACCGTTGCTGCGGGCACGGCGCGCATCATGTTCGTTCCTAGGCCGGCATAGAAAGCTCGCCAGCCTTCTTCTCGCAATATGGTGCGAAATGTGTTGACGATGCCTCTGTACTTTGGCGTGTAGCTCGAGTTGCCGTTGCCATTGGCCTGTACCTGAGCTCCTGGTGGAGCAGCGACGCCGAGGCCCTGTAGGTACTGTTCGCCAGCCACGGGCCGCCGTTGCGTCTGCAGTCGCGTACGAATTACCTCATGCGGGTATGTAGCGCTGCTGGCCAGAATCTTGGACAGGATCGATGCGGACAAGATACCAGACCAGTGTGCCTCCTCACCAGGGGCTTCGGCCTCGCCCATTCCTTGGCCGGTAAACCTGGTCTTGAGAAACTCATATGTCGGGAATTGTACTGCTACGTGAGTGAGGCCAAGGAGGGCAGGTGTTAGACCCGAGTAAAACGAGAGCAGGCCTTCGGAGCTGTACATTTTGCGGGCGGCATCAAGCGTTGACCGGTAGTGCCAGGGTGTTTGAAGTGTTGGACGCGCAGTGGGCGTGTTTCCGGGCCTCGGGTGATCATTGCGGTGCGCGTTGGGATTGCTCTGTGACATGAGCCGGGTCTTGATGACCCAAATCGGGTTGGTGGCAACGGTGCTGCTGGCTCCTGCGATAATGGAGGACCAGAAATTCACAAGATGAACGTTGTCTGTTTCTCTATTAGTGGGGTCGACTCGAACGGTGGAGAATATGCATGCATACGATGATAGTCAGCTAGGTAGACCTTGGATTTGTTGTAGACTGTGAACCAGACTGCCCAGGTGGGGAGATAACCGAGGACGATCGGGCCCAGACCACGATACATGCCGCGAATGCCCTCTTCCCGCCAAATGACGCTGGCCGTGCCGACCAGGCCATTATACACGCGTGAATGGCCGGTCTTGACGGCGGCCTGCGCCTGTAGCTTGGTCTTGATGACGTCCAGCGGGCAGGTAACCACGCCGGAGGTGAAGCCGCCAAGCGCACCAGCAAGAGCGTTGAATTGCGACTCGGAAGCCCTGGCCGCCCACCTCTGCAGAGGGGAAATTCCCTCGCCGTGCTGGCGGTTCATGATGGGCTGCGCGGAGGCGTAGGGCGATGTCGCATGCTCTGCGGTCGGGAGAGGCCGGGAGTGCGGTTGTTGGTTGTGAGACATGCCAAAAAGGATAAAAGTGGCAAGATAGACGACGACGCTGTATTGACAACAGAGGCGGCTCACGCGGCGTCTGTTGCGGGGATATTTGGTCGAGCTCTAATAGCACACCGTCTCCGAGGGCTTCGACGCGGGCAAGGAGAACGTCGAAGGAGCCTCGCGGGACGGTGCGAAGGGAAGAACGGCGGCGAGGCAAGTCAGATGTAACTTTGATCGAGTATTTGGTCGTAGCTGACGGAAGCAGAAAGTGGGTATGCCGGATAATCTGGCATGGGGAATGGGAGAAGAGCGCTCGTTATCGTCGCTGTCGTCGTTCTTGTCGTGACTGTCCGAGCTTCGGCTGCTGCGGGGGAGCAAACGCCTCGTGCTACTTTTTTTTTGGTGTGTGCCACTCCTGGACTCGGGGTCTAGCGGCAACAGCAGGCCATTGACGACAGCGGTAGCGGTATAAACGGACCAAGAATTAAGAAAACGAGGAGCTGCAGAAGGTGATCGCTGAAGTGGCCGAGCGGCCAAAGTCTTGATGATGGGTTGCCGGAGAAAGTGTGGGAGGAAAGTGGGAAAGGTGAGAAGAAGGCAGGTGAGAGAGCTTGGTCGACTGTGGATAGTTGAGGGTGGGTGGAACTGCTAACGGAACAGGGCGGGCGGCTGACCAGCAGCTGTTAGCACCTTCTCTCAACGTTGCAAGCTAGAAAATATAAGATCTGTGGGAAAAATTGAACGTCATCTTTAGCCAAGCCCCTGCGCCGAATAGATGTTTATTTGGCGATTTTCTCGCTGAAAGCAAGCGCTGCTACAACCGCCCGCCTGCCTGTGCTCCTACATCGGGGTTGGTGATGTCACAATCCCTGTCTGTCTGCTATTACTATCCTGGTGGCATCATTCCAAAGTGATGTGGCATGACCAAACGGTTGTGCGAGACAAGACGACGAAAGTTTCAACATTGAATGTACACTGAACTACTAAGCAAATGAAAGCCTTGTATTTACCAAGACTGTGACGACGATAGCCCTGATGGCTGCTAATGGCGCGGCTGATAGTAGAACTTGACCGGAATACGGAGTAATCTGACAAGAATATTAAAATCTGAGACATTCCTTTTCAGATAACAGAAACCCACCAAAAACATTTCAAGATCAATCATCTCAACATTCAACGCCCTCAACCGGTTCCCCCCACGACCCCCGACATCCCTCATAGCCCGAAATACGTCAGCGCAAAGCTTGCAAGACCCGGCATCATCTGCACCGTCCAGATCTTCTTGGTCGCCGTCGCCCCGCCGTACGCGCCGGCCAGCACCACATTGGAGAGGAAGAATAGCTGCAGCTGGTGCGCGAACCCCGGCGCCGGGTGCAGTAGGCTCCACGCCAAGCCCGCTGCCAGGAAGCCGTTGTAGAGCCCCTGGTTGGCCGCGAGCACCTTGGTCTTCTCCGCGAGGTCCCTGTCCATCTTGAATGTCCGGAGGCCGCGTGGCGTGGTCCAGAGAAACATTTCCAGCACGAGGATGTAGACATGCTCGGCGGCCACGAGGCCGGTGGCTATCTGGGAGAACGTAGGCATGTTGTGGTGTGCCAGTAATTACTGATGCGATGGCTGTTTTGCGATTGAGAACAGCAAATTCCTCAGACAAGACGAGCGAGAACTGCAAGAACTGCAAGAAGATAGCAACGGAATGTCGAGACGTGTTCAGCGCTCGTCAAATTTAAATCATTGCCGCCCTGGAGCTAGTCGGCGCCATAACTACATCGGCACCGGAGAGTCCGAATCTCAAAACGCCGTTCCCCCGCGGACTAAACGCCAGAAGATGAGGAATCATGGCGGACATGTAATCAGAGCAAGAAAACCCTCGGATCGATTATCCCGAGACCGAACCCCGCCAATCCATTGCCGACGACATGCTGCTGCCATGACAAAGAATGAGTTGACAATCCGGAGAGCGCAGAGATGAATTTGGCCCATGGATCACGTGCAGCTTCATGGTCGGCTCACGTGACATCCCGAGCTCTCCCAGTGCCAAAGTTGCGGCAACAGTACCAACGCCGCGCCAGCCAATCAAGGCGCCGCTGATGACCCATTCCTCTTCCTTGCGCGCCATTTGGCAAATCCCAGCCCGGATTCCCTTCTCACCATCCTCTCCAAGTCCAATCCCACGACTCCACGACGAAGCAACCATGGTCTCCCTCGCTCCCTTTGTCCTGCGCCGCCCGTGGCTCACCAAGATGCTCATGCCCGCCGCCTCCTGGTACGCCAATGCCGCCGGCTACCGCAAGCTTGGCCTGAGGTACGAAACTTGGCATTTTTTTCCCCTGCTGGCGAGGATTCCCCGGCTTCCGAGCAACTACGAATTCGCGATTCCAACCGGCGACACGACCTTTGAAATGGGAGCGACACGGCAGATGCGATGTTTTTTTCTGCAGTCAATGGCTCAATTGGGGAGAAATTACGCGCTTTCGTCGGTTCGCGACTTCGGCCGGGTTGGATATGCTACTAGCACGACAAGGAGGCCAGCTCGGTAGTCAGCTCAACCTTGACCGTTCAGCCCATCCAATCGCGACCCCGACGACTCTCCGCCGACTTCCATTGCCTCAAAGCTGTTTCCTTCGCCATCCGAATTCGTGTCGCTCGATAATGCCAAGAAGGAGCTTGCCCGCTCGAACCCGGACCGCATGCTAACCAGAACCTGCGAAACAGATTCGACGATCTCCTCGAGGAGGAGCGCGAGGCCGTCCAGATCGCCATCAAGCGTCTATCCGACCAAGAATCCTACGACCGCATCTACCGCCTGCGCCGCGCCACCCAGTGCAGCTACCAGCACAAGCTGCTCCCTAAGGAGGACTGGACCAAGCCCGAGGAGGTGAGAATAAAAAAACACACACACCCCTTCGCCTCTCGCCTGGCATCAACAGATAACTGACTGAGCGTGACAAATAGGACACCCCGTACCTCCGCAACATCATTGCTCAGGTCGAGGCTGAGCTCGCCGAGAAGGACGCCCTCGACTCCATGACCGTTATCAAGAAGCACTAAATCGTCCCCTAAGTTGGAGAGGGAACCATTGTTTATATAGAGGGCGGAGGAGGGAAGACCAATGAAAAAGAAAGGAGCCCAACAAAGCGAGAACCCAGACACGAAAATTATTTAGTTCTGGAAAATGCTTTGGGCCCTGTGTATCCTATGTACAGACAGCTAGGTTTTGGGAGCAATACCGTCCCCTTTCTCATCTGTTTAAAAGAAGCCGATTTTTTCCCCGTTGCCTTCACAGCTCTGCAAGCTCAATTTCAGGGTCTACAATCGCCGGTTCTTGAAATGTAATTGGTCAATTAGCATCCATTATGCCTACGCCATGTCGCTCATCATGCTGTCCATCTCCTGATATACATACACACCACCCTCTCCATATGCCACCAAGACATTGTACATGTGCATTGCCTCCATTATTTTCTCCAGGTGATACGCCCATCACGAGCCCTCTTCCAAGAAAATACATATAGGCCTCGCCTCCCACCTCCCCACCAGCATTGTCGACCATGTAATCCATTTCCATCTAACCCTTTTGGCCTTTTCCATCCATCGACTCTCTCCACCACCCCAGAAATCCCAATGCTTTTCCGCTTGCCCGCTTCCTATGCTTCCTTTGCCTCCTATGTTCCTTTCGTTTGCCGAGACTCCTAGCAACGCCGTATGCAGTCGAACCCAGGGGGTATATGTACACTCAATGCCAGCGTCGCTCGTTATGCATCTCTGAGCAGCCAAGTTCCGCTTTTTCGTTACAAAAGTACAAAAACGTAGAAAAACAGTGCCTCGACAGCCAAGTCTAGGCTGCATTGCACCTAGACACGCTGGTAGAACAAGATGTACGCCACCTTGTTGTCCTTGATATTTTCCTTGACATACTTGTCCTTGCTTGTCCCGTTGGTGGGGGCAGTGACCACGCTGCTCCATCGCTTGCCATTGCTCCCTGTCGAAGCAGTCACTTGGTTCCATCCTTCATCATTGCCCTCATCCTCGTCGTTCATGGCACCAAAGCGATTGCTGGTACCGGACTGGCTGTTTTGCTTGCGAGCATCCTTGGTGTCCTCTTCAGAGTCACCTCCAGCGACCTGCTCACTGTGAAGCCGGCGCAAGACTGTATCGTCGAGTCGGAGCCATTCATGACCGTCCTGGCGTCGAACATCTGCGGTGTAGTGGCCACCACTGGCATTCTTGCCGTGATGGTAGATGACACTGATGAGCTTGTATTTGGGCAGAGCGCCATTGCTCAGAGTCTGTCGTGCCTGACGGGCAAGGACTTCGCGAGGAATCTCCAGGTCAAGGGGGTATCCGACGTTCTTCCAAATCTTAGTCGTGCCGCCTTCAGCATCGAACTGGAAGCGCTTCAGGTGTAGAATCAATACAGGGGGTAGAGTCTCGATGAAGACCTGCTTCGTTGCGGTAATGTCCTTGCCGCGAGGTGAATTGAAGTCACCCTGCAGACGTTCGGGGCGGGTGAGACCACGAAGAGCATCCACAACATTTCTAACCTCGGGCGAGCCAATGTCAAGCTGGAGAGGTTGATATGGTTCCGTAGTAATCGAGTCCTTCAAGCCGGGAACGCGGAACTCGGATCGCAAGAGACCACCGAAGATTTTGGTAATGGGCGTGGACGTGCTTGAGCCCCAAGAGCGAGTCACAGCGGCGCGGCGCTTGCGGCCAACCTCGAGCCAGTCGCCACTTGGGTCGACAGAGCCATCCACCGAACCAGCCTCAGAGCGGGCCGTTTGACTACTAGTTTGCGAGGCATTGTTCATCACCAGTGTGCATTCATCATCAAGCGACTGGAGTAGGAAACCGAGAAACTCCTCAGCATCTTGTTGGTGACCTCGTCGCATGCTGGCGAATCGCGAGAGCTGTCGAATAGCCTCGTACACGAATTCAGGAGTAAAGGGCTCCCCATAGCGCTCAATCTCGTCGCCGCGGATAACTTTGCGCAGTTGCTCATTGCTTGGTGCCGATTTAAGCACTTTGTATTCGTGCATAAACATGATCATGGCATCCAGGAGCGGCGTCTCGCTGTTGAAGCTGTGAGCGGCACGCTTGCTGATCTGGGCAAGGAAGTCGTAGAACGGCGAGCAATACATTAGGACTTGAAGAACCGAGTTCATATAGCACATGTTGCCAGTGTTGATCAGGCCACGAGGCTCCAGGAAGACGGACGTTTGCTGAGCTTCGCCAACTTTGTATGACAGAATGGCTTCGGCGATGGAGTTGGCATTAGCCTTGAGCACAGATGAAGCGGCAGTGGGGCCATCTTGAGCGACGCCATTTGTATGATCCGAAGTGCCATTCTCTCCATTGATGCTGACAACAGCGGCAACGGGAGTCTTGGCGAAGAGCTTGGCCCAGCTAGTCGGGGGAGCGCGCACAACAGGAGCGGGCTCGGTGGGCTCGGTGGTGGGATTCTCTGATTCAGAGGATTGAACTGGTGCTGCTGCGGTCTCCTCGATTTTGTCCGCAGCCTGGGCTTGCTTGGCAGTCTCGGGCGTGGCAGACTCGCCTTCCTCGACGGCTGGCGAAGCCGTGGCTGTACCTTGCTGGTCCTTGGGAAGCAAAACTGCTTCGGTATTCTGGTCGTCTCGTTGTCGTTGTCGCGACTTGCGCCGGGGCGAAGTTCTCGCGGGAAACTCGACCGCGGGACAAGAGTGCCATGGCAGAGGCGGGCGAAAGGGTGCTCTCTCAACAACAGGAGGCGGAGAGGGAGGAGGCGCAGAGTGCTCCTGGGCCACAGAAGGCGGAGTTATGGTCTCGTTTGTTTGAGGGGTCGGTGGTGTGAGAACTGGCGCTTGAATCTGCGAAGAGTGCGAGGAAGCGGGGGTGTGCGGAGGAGCTTGAGGTGCAGGAGGTGCAGGAGGTGCGGCCGGCTGTGGTGGTTGATAAGGAGTGGACAGGCTGGGCGAGCTCTGCACATGTCGCGAAAAGCTAGGAGGCACACTGACACCGACCATGGGCACGTACTGTGGCATGGCAGGGGGCGAGCGAGCATATCCTTGGTAGGGCGGGTATCCCGGCGAAGGCATGCCTCCGTTCTGGATTTGCGGCGGCATACCGAAATATTGTTGCTGAGGCGCATAAGGGTTATGCTGCTGACCATAGTTTTGGTACATGGGGTTCGCCTGCTGATGGTATTGCGGCATGTATTGCTGATGGTGGTGAGGGTGGTGATGGTGCTGCCTGCGTCTGGGACCTCCACCTCCCGCAGGCCCATTCATCTCCATGGGCATGTTGCCAGGGGCGTGTATGTTGTGCCCAGCCGGCAGATGATGACGATTACTCATCTTGCCGGCTTGGGGGTGCTGTGATACGGGTGCCGCCCAAGAGGTGACTCCCGTATCTCGTGGGTGTTTTGAGCGTTGGGGGAAGTTGTACGGCGGTGGTGCGCAATGGCGTGGCAAGCGGTGGTTTTGACGAGCAAGAGTAGCGTGGATTATTGTAAAACAGCGATGCAATCGCCTTGACGAATGCTAGATGCAGCTCTGAGGCGGTTCGGCTGGATGCGGCTGCTTTGTTGGTGACACGCGCGCGGCGGACTGGGGTTGAGAGCTCGGGGGAAAGAGTATCCGTAGTCAGCGGGAACTAGGAGCGCTGAATAAGCAAGGGAGAGATTAAAGTAAAGGGACTCGAGGGAGTCCTAATGAAATGTAAGATGCGACGAGAAAGTTTCTGGGAGCTGGGCGAGAAAGGAAGGCGAGCAGAGAAGAGAAGAGAAAAAGCTGGAGATGATAGCCCGTTCGACCAGAGGGAAGAAGCAGCGCAAGCAGCGCACAAGCGGCAAGGTTTGTGAAAGGTGCGCCTGGGCTGGCTTTGGGGAAGAGCACTGACCGAACCTTTTTGTGGGCTAGAGCCATGACTAAATCTGGCTTGCCGGCCCGTTTGTTGGTGTCTTATTAGTAGTGTCTGTCTGAGGCATCAACTAACAGTGCTGCTAAGGTTACCGTTGCCTCGAGGTAGTCGTAATGCAGTATGTGTCCGAAAAGGACAAAATGCCATCAGCGCAGGATAAATTTAAAAAAAAAAATAAGAAAAGAGATTGAGTCTAGACATGAAGCTTTAACTTGACCCCAATTTACTTCATCTGCCTCACTGACTTCCAGCTTAGTACCTGGCACCGCACGGCTGGGATCATCAGTTTCGCGAGTGCCCTGACTGGCGTTGAAGTAAATGGCAATAATAAGCGGTAGGCAGGTATCAAGGTATTCGGGTTATGGGCTCGTGCAATAATGCGCCAGCAAGCTGTATTAACTGAGCAAAATTATCTTGTACAATTGAAGAATATTGTAAAACTGACTACACCAAAGTAACGCCGGGCTTCAACACTTGAAGCATGCCTCTTTCGCTAATAATTGTATGCCACTAACAACACCAGATAGATGAACTGCAAGAAATCTTCCACAGCCGCCACATGCGCCGGCCAGCCTGTCTATTCATCTTTGAATAACCACCGCCCACCTGGCTTCATCGCCTCTCGATACCGCTCGCGAATAGCTCGCTTCTCCCGCTCCGCTGCCTCCTCTCGGCCCATCTCCAACTCTTGTGTGTTGGGGAAGTCCGCGTCCCAGAATCCCGGGGGCGATTGCATGCGTGAATATCGGTGCCGATGTCTCCCGTATTTATTCGCCAGCTCCTGAGTTTTGGCCTGAATCCATGTTTCGGCCCTCTCCGCTGGGTCCATCGTTGCCAGTCGATATGCGTAATCGCCGAGGTACTGCTCGAGCAAGGTTTGTTCTTCCATGCGCTGTGCCGCTGTCAGTGGCGGATCAGGGCGCTGTGAGATAGCCAAAGCTCGGAATTGTTTGCCGCAACAATGCATCTCTGTGCATCCCGGCAGGCAGGCCCTTGTATCCTTGTCCCTCACCACATCAGAGTACGCAAAGTCATGGCCCTCGTTTGCGGCAGGATTAATTCGAAAGTCGTCCAGCCGCAACTCCCGAGCCGTCTTCTGCCGAAGCTGGCCCTGTCCGGCCGGACGCTGCAGCGAACGTTGTGGAGAGCGATGTGTTGCTTGTGCGGCGGTAGCGGGGACGGCAGGTAGAATGCTCTGTCTGCTCTGACGTGCCTGCTTCTCAAAAGGCAGCTCTCGACGCTCGGGTATGTTTAGTTCAGCTGTCGATATAGAAGGCCCCTTATGAGCTTGCCTGGATAGTCGAGATAGTTCCGGGCTGTCCTCGGCCTCTCCTTGACATAAAAGCTGTTCCAGACGATTCTTAGGCGTCCGGTTGCGGTTCTTTTCATGTCTTAAAGGAGTATTATTTTCTTGGCCGGTTCTGATTGAGGTGCCATCGTCCGCAATGTCTGCTATGCCCTCATCAAGCTGTCGCTTTCGCAACAAATTAATTGCTTTGTCCCCCCCAGAGCGAACTAGTCTTCTGTTGATGCTGATTGGCGTGAGGGCGGATGACATGATATTAGCTCTCGCCGTTTGTGGCACCGGCATCGCTCCCTGAACATATCCTGCAACTGGTGTTGCGAGAGCGCTTGCGTCTACATGCGGGATGTTATATATCGGTGGCACTCTTGGGGTCGATTCCGCTTCTCTTGGTTTGCGAGGTGTCGTCATATGGGTAGTGTGTCCAAGGTCGAGGCTATCCTGCGACGGAGATCCCGCTGGCTTCTCAAGCATCGGGCTGGAATCTTCTCGTGGTTCTGTCTTGACCGTGACAGGCGCACGAGTTGCCGTGGTGCGCGCATCACTTCTTCTTTTTTTGACGGGTCGCTCCGAGATCACAACGGGGCCATCTGACGACGGTTCCTTCTTCACGGGCGGATCAGATGGCAGCTCGGTGGCATCAGGAAGACACGGAAGCTCAATTCCTTCAGATTCGCCCTGCGTGGAGTCGAGGGGTCCTATATCGGTGGCCGCTGGGCGACTCAGGGTCCATAGCTTGGAAGCCATGGGAGGCAGTTGTGGCTCCTCGGTTTCTGGTACTGCGTCATTCGGGTCGGCGGTACTTGAAAAGCTGGCGCTAAATGATACATTCAAAGGTTGAATGGCAGCCAACGCGGCCGACGCCCGGCTGGAAATCTCCACACCATGCTCAGATTCGTCGGCTTGGATCTGCTCTTGCAGTGTCTCGAAGCGTCTCTTCCATGCGTCGCGTTCGGCTTTTCGTCGCTCAAGAGCCCCGCGAGCTTTACGAAAGTTTTCATTGAGCAGCCGAAACCGTTGAGCGAGCTTAGCAAATTCAATCCTCTGGGCCACTTCCGGGTCGGATGATTCTAGGCCTCCGTTTGGCATGGATGAGCTAGGCGACGGGAGAGGCTCGAGGCTGCCGACGGCGCTGATATGCCCTAACTTATCGAGCTCGGCTCGAAGAGACAGATTTTCCTGCTCCAGTGCTCTATTCCTAGAAGCACTTTGTTGCAGCTGGGATCGGCAGTCGGCGAGTTCCTGGGCATCGTCGGAGCTCCGTAGGTCTAGGCTTTGTCAGTGTCAGTTTGCGGCGCCGCGGGGCAGTTCAACATATATACCGGCCGTGATGTCTGCATCAATTTGTGTGCATATCTTCTCCAGGGCTTCCCGAAGAGCAGGTCGCCCTTTTTCAAACCAGCTTGCCATCTTCAGCCCCAAGAGAAGCTGGATAAGCGTGTTGTACAGATTGCGGCGGAGCCGAGTCAGTGGCGCGTCGCCCACACGCGACGGTGGCAGCAGCGTTGACGGCGCCACTCCACGTGATGTCACTGGAGCAGGGGTAACCTGTGGGTTTCTAGATGGGATGAAGCTATAAGAAAATGATAAGTATCTATGACAAAAATGCTCTGAATATCCGATTTAGACTTTCTTTTTTAAACATGCTTCATTGCCTCCTGTTGGCTGGCTGACTGACTGCGGTCGCAGTAGGTACCTTGGGTATGTAAGTCACACCGCCCCCTCAACCACGATCATTCGCACCAGACCGTCTCCGAAAGCGTCGTTGCTTTTTTAGTTAGTGGTGACTGGGCAGCTGGCAGCTGGCAACAACGTGCGCGCGGCACGGTGCAAACGCACGACGTGGGAATGAAGTAAAAGACCTCGGGGAGTGATAACAAGAAGGGATATTGGAACGTCTGAAAATTTTACGAGGAATTGGTGACATCTTGGCCTTTTCAATTCATCTATAGATTTTCCCCACGCTCTGTGCCGATTTTGGGGAACCGTCTCTTCGGTCATCGCGGGCGTGCATCCACCGTTTGCTGCGTGCTGCAGGTTGGGGTGGTGTGTGGTTGTGGGCAGCGAACGGCCCGCCCAACCCAGTAAAAAAATTGCAAAATTGCTGAGCTGAGCAGCACTTGGCCCAAAAACTTTTCGCGATAAATACGGCAGCTTTTCTATCTTGTGCATCACCACATCTCGAGCTCAGTTTCGTTGCCACTTGCATTCAACACCGAATCACGATACCCATTGCATAATGTATGTTCCCTGTGCTATCGCCTGCACTTCCAACCGTTCCACTTGCCACTTTTGCATCCAAATTTGGCGGCTTCCCTGCCCTGCTTCTCACACGGCACATACCGTTGACCCTGCATCCATCCATCTGCTTTCTGCATGCAAATTGCTGACTCGTCCCTCAGCTTGACACTGCAGACTTCCAATCGTCGAAATGGATTTCACGCCTTCTGACTCCGCTGCCGCCCCCAGCCGTGGCGCCTGCTACTCTTGTGAGTACATCTTCGCCACCCAGGCACGAGCACTCTGCCATGTCACCAAACTGTGCTCGATTCCGCATTTTCATGCCATTCATCGCAGCTCGGTTGAGCATGTTGACCCCTTTCTCATTGAGGCTCTTGCTTCCACTGCAAGAGCGCCATTTGCGCCTTGATCTGCATCCCATTTCTCACCTCAAGTGCTAACAAGATCCTAGGCGGCAACACCGGCCACCAGGTACATGCGCTCAAACAACAAACTTTTCTCCTCACGTAACACATTCTCACAAGCTCTAGGCTCGCGATTGCCCCTCTAAGGGCCCTGCTAAGTGGTATGTTCCCAATGTCTTGTTCTGCCGTCGCACGCGCTAACAGTGAAACAGCTACAACTGCGGCAACGAAGGCCACTTGAGTTTGTTTGCCACCCCTCGCTACTTGGAGCTTTGCTAACAAAACCAGGCCGCGACTGCGGCGAGCCCATGAAGGAGAACAAGTCCTGCTACAAGTGTGGCCAGGCTGGTCACCTTTCTCGCGAATGCCCCACCTCCGGAGGCAACGGCCAGTCTACTGAGTGCTACAAGGTGAGCGGTTGACACGGACTTGCAAAAATCATTTACTAACAGTCAAAGTGCGGTGAGATGGGTCACATTGCTCGCAACTGCACCAAGTCTTCGTATGGCGGCGGCTTTTCTGGCGGCTACAACAGCGGTGGCGCTGGCAAGACCTGCTATTCTTGCGGCGGCTATGGCCACATGTCTCGTAAGATAGCACCCTTATCACACCGTGTGCTCTTTCACTAATTCTGTCTAGGCGAGTGCGTCAACGGTATGCGCTGCTACAACTGCGGTGAATCCGGTCACTACTCGCGCGACTGCCCCAAGGAGTCTACTGGTGGCGAGAAGATTTGCTACAAGTGCCAACAGTCTGGCCATGTCCAGGCCGCCTGCCCCAACAACTAAATCATGCGGCAGAGGGACACTCGGGTTATCCGGGTCTTAAGTTGGCGTGGCAGCTTTACGATACCTCACGATTTTCTTGGTTGTTTATTTTACATGTTTCATTTGTTACATCTTGGCTTTGCAGCACACGGTTGCATAATCAACGAAAAGCTCGGCATTTTACGCTACTGCACCGAACATGGGGCGAACATGGGGAGATTCTAGGGACAAGATTGATGGCCTCACGGGCAACACGGGGAACGGATCTCTTGGGCATTAAGTTTTTGTTCTTTTACTTGGGTGTTTACGAATTGAAAAGTTTGGCACACGACAATGGACGTTGGCATGCGACCATGAACGCTGGGATGATCAACAATGAACGTTGGTAGCTAGTTTATACTAGGGCAGATGAATACGCGATTTGGGGAAGAAGAAAACGGAAGAAGAGCAGCGTGGAGATGCTGTTGGGTGAGGTGATGATATGCAAGTTTTTCACATTACTCTCAGATGCGTAGCGGGTGGATGAATTCTACATGTCTATTGGATGCGTAGGGGGTAGATGAATGACTAATAAAGTACATGTGAAGAGATGTTTTCATGGACAATCTGACTTTTTGACATTTTTCTTTCTCTCTCTCTTTTTCGTTGGCCCTCTACAGCATGGACTTGGGAAAGTTGCGCATGGCCTGACGGACGCCGAGGTCGCCGAGGATCTCCTCGGAGCCGCCGAGGATGGAGTCGAACTTGTAAGTGCGGTTGAAGATTTCAATGTGCTTGCCCATGCCGGTCTGGGTGAGGCCGCGGCCGCCCCAGATCTGGACGGACTCGTCGGCGATCTCGTGGGCGGCGCGGGTGCAGCTCATCTTGAGCAAGCCAATGGGGCCGGCGAGGTGCTGGGCCTGCTGCTTGTAGGGCATGTGGCACATCTGGTAGGTGATGCTCTCGAGCCAGGCCTGGTGGGACTCGACGAGGGCGATCATTTTTGCGAGGCTGAATCTTGTTAGCTGCGGGAAGGAAGGAGTACATGGAGAGGGTTTAGGGGGCAACCTTACCGATGACGGATGACGGCTTGGTCAATCAGGCGCTGGCCAAAGACGAGGCGCTGGTTGGACCACTTGAGGCACTCCTCGACGATGGTGCGCATGGAGCGGACGGTGGCGGTGCACATCATCCAGCGCTCGTGGTTGAAGTTGGAGAGGATGACGTGGGTGCCCTTGCCCTCCTCGCCGAGCAGGTTCTCGACGGGGACCTTGACGTTGTCAAAGGTGACGTAGGCGGTGCCGGCGGCGGGCGAGTACGACGTCTTGATGGGCTTGGTCTCGACGCCCTCGCCGCGGGGGATGAGCAGCACGGAGAGGCGGTCGCCGGTGCGGACGCCGGTGACGAAGTAGTCGCTCCAGCAGCCGTTGGTGATCCACTTCTTGGTGCCGTTGACGACGTAGTGCTTGCCGTCGGGCGTCTTCTCGGCCGTGGTGCGCAGGCCGGCGACGTCGGAGCCGGCAAAGGCCTCGGTGATGGCCAGGCAGAGCTTCTTCTTGCCGCTGAAGACCTCGTCGGCGATCTGCTTCTTCCAGGCCTCGTCGCGCGCAAAGTTGAGCACGCAGGTCAGGCCGATGGTCATGCCGGCCATGTTGCCGTCCTGGAAGCCGCGCTGCATGGTGCGGGAGAACTCCTGGCCGATGATGAGGTCGTGGAAGTAGTCGAACTGCTCGCCGGGCATGACGCCGCCGAAGAGGCTGACGCCGTGCATGTGCTGGCCGGGGCCGAGGCGCATGTGCAGGATGCCCTCGCGGGCCATGCGGTCGATCATGGCCTGGGAGATGTAGCGGCCGGTGGCCTCGCACTCCTGGGCCTCGGGGATGAGGTGCTCGTCGACGAAGAGGCGGGCGGCGCGCTGCAGGGCGCGGTGGGAGTCGTTGTAGTAGGGCGACTTGAAGGCCGGGGTGAGCCAGAGCGGCTCGGCGTAGGGCACGGCGGAGAGGTCGCCGGGCTGGGGGACGACGATCTGGGGCGTCTCGCCCTTGACGGTGCCGACGGCGAGGTCGGCGTACTTCTTGAGCACCTCCTGGCGGTGCAGGTTGTAGAAGGCGGTGGTGGCGTCCTGGCCGGCGACCTGGTGCAGGACGGCCTCGCCGCCGGGGTGGGCCATGACGAAGTCGGTCAGGTCGTAGACGATGCTGTCGATGATGCACCACAGCGAGTCCTCGGAGGTGTGCTCGCGCACCTCGTCGCGGGTGAAGGTCTCAGCTGGAGGGGCCATGTTTGTGAAGGTGATGTGAAGGGTGGGCGGGCGGGGAGGAAAGCGGCAGCTTCTCGTGGGGGGATGAAGAGAGAAGCAAGTTGGACGGCGGCAATGAGATGAGGAAATGGAGGCAAGTTCACGACGGCAATGAGATGGTGAGGAAATGGGGGGCAATATCTACAAACAGCCGGAGCATCGTTGAATGCCGGTTGAGCGTCGAGACCCACCAATTGCCTCGGCAAGGCCAACGATGTTCCGGAGGATGATGATGGTTGGTATGGAGAAGCCCTGCTTATCACTAGCTGACAATCGCTGCTGCTGATTGGTTGGTGCAAAATCCGGGGGAGCTGCAGACATGTGCTAACTCTCCGCCGGCCTTTATTATTGTCGCCTGTAACCTGTAGCTATGCTTCTTCTTTGTCCGGTTGAGGGGAAAAAAATAAAAACGTATGCTTGAAACGTTTCCTCAGCCTCCATCTCTGAATAAAGACAACATCAACAACTTGATCTGGTGCATGTGTACCCAACTTTTCGAGATGCATTCTTTCCGTCACTTGAGCGCGAGACATGATACCTTTCGGACAGCATGAGATGGCATTCAAATAAAGCCTCACCGCACTGTTTCTCCAACTCGCAAAACCCCCGACAATTGCAGAACTTTCCTTAAAAGCAAATATGACAATCTTGGGTGCCTTCTGCACGACAGTCTGGCCTCAGGACGAAACGTGCTGTCTAGTATAGGGTAGCCAGCCTGACTGGCTTGGTTTCGGCCCTGGCTGGCTGGCGCTGAAATAATGCCCAGCAATGATGAGACAATTACATGGATAGGGCATATATTGAGACGGCAGTTCATTCATATAGGTTTTAATCACTGTATCCTGACTTTGTCTTGTAAACCTGGACTCTCGAGTAAACCCGGGCGACTTATACAACTGATTGGAGCTTGGCTAAACAGCTCACAAGACCTGCATGTAAATCAACGCAGCTTACATCTTTTTTTCCTCCACTGTACCCCCCCTCAAAGAAAGGCTGGCTTCAAATAATGCGGTCTTTCAGCTTGAAAAGCCCCGCGATGCTCTGGACTCCCAGCTTGTCGCAGCCACTCTGCTTCAGCGCCGAGATGGTCTTGAGGCTGCGATGCACCTCGGCCGCAATCTCCCCCGTCGTCATGGCGTCCAGCAAGTATTTCAGCACTTCCCTCTCCCGCACCGTCAGACGGTTGGGGTTGACGCCCCCCGCCGCGCCCTCACCCTCGGGGTCGCCCTCTAGGACGGCCTCGACGGCGTACGCGAGGTCCTCGGGCTTGTCGTCCTTGCGGACGACCCCGGCCGTCGCCCTGCGCAGAACAATGTTCTCGAGCGTGTCCGAGGCCGGGTTGTGGGACAGGTAGATGACGGGCAGCGCCGGGTGGGCGTCCTGGACGGCCTGCAGCACCGAGGCCTCGCCAAAGGTGGCGGAGTCGAGGAGGACGGCGTCGAGGCGCGGGGTCGAGGACAGCGCGCGCTGGAGGTCCTCGGGCGTGCAGGCGGTGGCGACGATGTCGGGGTAGGTGGTGGAGGAGAAGGTCTTCTTGAAGGAGGCGATGACGTCGGGCTGCCCGTCGGCCAGCACGACGCGGATCGGCCTGCCGGTAAACGCCGAGTCGCTCACCATGATGAGATGGTTGGGAGGTGGAGGAAGCTGCGCGAGACTGGGCTGCTGGGCCGAGATGAGGACTAGTCTATGGCAGACTCAGAGGTGAGCTGGTTGTCGTCAAGTGGTGTTTACGAATACGTTCGCGGAGGCATCGGCGCTACGACACGACGGGTGGTGGTTTAGAGGACTGGGGACGGGGAGAGCTGTATCCACAGTTGCCGCGCCGTCGACTAACTATTATTGCTCGGTCTATATTCATTTATTCATTTTTTAATTCAGGTTTATTTTGCTCTTCGCGCCATCATTCGCCATGATAGTCTTTCTCCTGCTCCAGCGCTCGGATCATTCGGCTTCGCCCGGCCCTGCTTCGGCTTCTGGAACCGTCACTCTCTAATTTGCTCTTGGGGGCTAACCGTGAAACATACCGAATAGTACATTGAGTTTATAGCGAATTGCTCTTTCATAGTCTACTCTGTCTTGAGCTACCGACAGTACGCCCGTGTGTCGCGCGGGCCTTCCTCAACACATTGCTTCCGACCTATTTCCCTCTTCATCTCCTCACTTTAGTCAATCAAACTTAATGACAGCCTTTCCCTCCTTGCCGCGCCCGCCGGCATACTTCCACGCCTCCAGCGCCCTCTCCGCCTCAAACTCCACCACTGGCAGCGGCTCCAGTACGCCGCTCTCCAGCAGCGCCGCCGCCTTGCCCAGCGCCTCCCCGCTGGCCGTCACCACAAAGTACACGAACCGACCCTCCGGGTCGTCCGCCAGCTCCTCCTCTGGCTTGCCGCCGCCGAACGCCCACTTCGGCGGCGGATCCGCCACCGTCACCATGACCCCGCCGCGTCGCAAGCTCCGACGGCTTTTCGTGTACACCTCGCCGCCGACCGTATCGACTACCGCATCTAGCGCCCCGAGCGATGCCTCCCAGCCCGCCGCGCGGTAGTCGACGCAGCGCCCGGCGCCGAGCGTCTTTAGGTGCGAGTGGCTCGCGGCGGACGCGAGCGCGATCACCTCGGCGCCGAGCACACGGCTCGCCACCTGCACCAGCATCCGTCCGACCGCGCCGGACGCGCCCGTCACCAGTACCGTCTGGCCCTTCTGGAGGCGCGCGTGGTCGCGCAGCGCCTCCCACGCGGTGAGCAGCGGGATCGGCAGCGCCGCGGCCTCGGCAAAGGTGAGGCGCGCGGGCTTGGCGGCCAGCTCGGCGCCGCCCACGGCCACGTAGTCGGCCTGGCCGCCGGAGCGCGTCGCCGCCTTGATCATGGCGAAGACGGTGTCGCCGGGTTTCAGGGCGCCGCTGTAGGCGGGGCCAAGGGCGACGATGGTGCCGGCGACGTCGTGCCCCGGAACGCGGTTGGACTCGTAGACTTCGGGCCACGACACCTCGTCGGCGGTGACGCCGGCGGCGGATACGCGGATGAGGACCTCGTCGTCGGTGTCGGACGGCACGGGGAAGGCGCGCGAGAAGCTGAGCTGGGGTGACGACTTGTCCCCGAGGATCTGCACGGCGCGCATGGTCTCTGGCATCTTGATCGGTACTCTCTGTGATGGCGTTGCAAAGTTGATGGTGGAAAGTGGCCTGACATGTTCAGACGAGGGAAAGCCCCAGGCGGGCGCTTTTATACTTTGGACGGCGCCGCGGAGCCGGGCAAGTCGCATCGGCAATCGTGCGCTGACAGCGTAAGCCATTGCTTAATAAGAAGGTTGGTAAATCGGGAGAGGCATACAAGAGTACTGGCGCAGATTTAGACAAAAAGAATGACCTTGCGAGAAATGCCCGAATGCATCAACTTGGATCGCGCGAGCCCCCGAACTATCGGATCGGGATCGGGCCAAGTGGAGCTGTAATACCCGATGCGGAGGCCCGAAGGAACTGCTGGAAAGAAAGGATGAATTAATGCAGTTTGACCCATAGCTATTCTATCAAGGGTTTCGGACCTTGAGGCGAGCGATAGGCTCTAGCAAAGTAAGCTATCTAATCGCGTTGCACGCTCCTCCTAGCACGCAATATGCCGACGCGCATCAACTTGTAGGGAAACGGTTGCCAAGATTTGGCAGCGTGCTGGTGTCAGCCCTGGGGATGGCCGGGGAGATGTGCCCCCCATATCTTTCTACAATTCTCGCGCCAACCGTCTCGCCGGACATGTACGCGCCGGTGCTCGTGCCTAGGGCCACGTACGGCGCTGTATGCTCGCCCGCGAACCACAGCCCCTGTTGCGGAAGACCTTGCCGCATCGCCCCGATATGCTCATCGCCCTTTTCCAGACCGACCTGGAAGTTACCGTAGCTTCCGTTGCCCGCAAGGTCGTCGTTCAGCCACTCCGTCGCAACGCAGTCGACGGGCTGACACGCCGCTTCGTCCGCCTTGTAGTTGGGCAGGCGCGAGTAGTACGGCTTGAAGAACTCGATGATGAGGTCCGTCTTGTCCTTTTCTGCGGGCCTCTTGGCAAGCTCCGAGGTGAACCAGCGCGACTGCTCGCCGTAGGTGTAGAAGAGCAGGGTTGGGTGTGCGTCGGATGCGTTGAGGCTGGACAGGTCGACGGCTTCCTGCGGCCAGCGACTGGCGTTGAGCTCCGGGTCATAGTTGGGCGCTAACCACTGCATGAAGCCTTTGACGACCTCCGCTTGGCCGTGTTTGGCTCTCCAAAATGCCTCGGGGAAGCTAATATATACCTGAACACATTAGCTGATGGGAAATGTCATCGCCGGGTCGTTCATTACCTTTTCGAGGCAACCATAGCTAATGGCGTCGATGGCGGCAGCGAGTGAGGCGGGAAGTGGAGGGTCGAATGCCTTGGTCTTGTTCTTTTGCAGCCAGCCGAGCGGCGCTGTCACGACAACGTCGTCGAACTCTTCTCTGGTGCCGTTATGCAGGTCAAGTGCAACTTTGCCTTCTGCGCCTTCTCTGTATGCGATACTTTTCACGATTGTGTTGAGGGATATATCTGCCTTGTCTAGCACAGGCTTGGCGACTTGCTCCAGGACCTTGCGGTAGGTACCGGCGCAGAACAGGTTTTCTGCTTGTAATTAGCACTTGTGTCGGAAGAAACACTCTCATCTCTCCATACCGTCGTCAATGCATTCTTCCAGCCAAAAGTACTTGAGGCTCTGCTTGGCAACTGGCGACCCGACGAAGCAACCCCATGTCTCGCAAATCTGATACACAGTCTTTCGCTCGGCCTCTGCATTCGGCAGGGAGTCTGGTATCTGTAGGGGCACCCTTTGCTTGAAAAAGTCCATCAGGCTCTTTGACGGATGGATTTCACGCTCGGATGTCGCCGAGTAGGCAAACGCATCTTTGACACCGTCCCACATGATGGTCTCGTACTTGAGGCTGTCGGCAGCATCCAGCTTGACGCCCGTCTCGTCAAACACGCAAGAAACCTCGTCAATATCGTTTATGCCGGTGCCTGTCGCAGTAGCAAGGTGAAAGATGATATTGTCCGTTTTACCGTGTATCCAGTTAGGGCCCATGTCGATCCAGTGGCCGTTGTTGAGCCTCGTCTGATGCACCCGCCCGCCGATGCGGTCTCGACCCTCGAAGATGGACACTCTGAAGCCACATCGCAGCAGCACATCAGCACAGCGTAGGCCAGACAAGCCGGCGCCGACAATGGCAATATGCGCCGTCGTTTTCGATGTCATGGCTGCTGCGGAGGAGAAGCAGAGAGGAGATGGTGATGGTGGCAGGCTACTTGGTGTAGAGTGTACCTGGCGGGTCCATACTATCACAAGGGACACGCCACGTGAATAGAACTAACGAAAAGGACTCGGCTTACCTTGACTTCAGTATATATTGACTCTACAGGTGTCGTGGTGCTGCGTCATTTTTTATGCACCTGCAATTTCCCCTATGCGCTTTGTCGGAAGAAAGCTAGCTGTGCTCGTACTCTTGTTGACTAACCAACCTGTTTGTTTGCGCCGTCTCAGCCACGATATAGTCGAGTATACCTTCCAGCACTGATATCTTGCCCGCTACGCTATCGTGATCCGTGCCTTCAACTGTGGTCGTTTCTACACGAAAAGGGCCATGCTGAGTGTTACCATGGTGTTGCACCCAACACGACTCCATGTACTGCTTGCCGCGAGGACCAATCATGGCATCTTGTTCAGCGAAGATAATGTTGATGTGTAGTTTAGAATTAGGATCGCGAGAAGCTTCTCGTGCCGCCAGTTTGTCGAAATATTCGGTATAGTCGTCGCATTCGCACCACGAGCCGCCCCTCTTCAGGCACAATCTGGCTTCGTCGTTCAGACCAATGGTAGACTCGCGGAAGCCATCTTGGACAATGGCATCCATCAAACTGTTGAGGAACTCGGCGGAAACTCCATATTCCTCTCGCCAGTAGAGGTATTTCTCGTCCAGCGCAGGGTCTGATTCAGCGCTACCTGTGAGCCAATTCTCCATGAAGCTCATGCTAGAGCCGACAGCAGGTCCTATGAAAGTGCCCAAGGACCGGGAGAAGGCATCTACAAACCCGAGTGCGACGTCGGGTAACAGCTGGGCTGCCTGCATAGATGTGACACCGGTATGCTTAACGTCGACCCAAGGCGCTGCATGTATACTTTAGCAAGACCGGACAGCCGCGTATGAACTGGATGCATATTTACCCATAAGAACAGCATAGGGACGGGTAGGCGACAGGTTGTCCCTGCAGGTGTAGAGCGTGTTCAAGAGATAGAGAGTACCAGCGCTGTGGGAAACTAGCGATACGTGCGATATGTCTAGATGCTGCAAGAGAAATGGAACGAGTTCGGTCCAGATGCTGATTCTCTTTGCAAGAGGTACGTTTGTTGTATTGCCGATGCCAAAGCTACCTGTCTCGTCAGCGTGCATCGACGACTCGGGTGCAGGGCTGCACTCACCGATCAACTGTCAAGACACGGACACCCTTCCTCTGACCGATGATGTCCATGAGCGCGCCATGTAATCGACTTGCAAACATGCCCGGCATAAAAAGCAGAGCGGGAGGCGCTGTGGATTGGCCATCATCTGTGGGCTGACGGCCGAGATCCGAGTAGCCAATGTCCAAAGCATCATGGTCTGCTGTTGCGGGCAGGGTGAGGTTTTGATGAAAGCCAGGTTGCTTCAAGTACCGCGACGCTGCAGTTGCCGTTGTCTGGGCCATGGTTGGGGAAGAACCTGGTGATGGTCGAGCAGTGTTGGAGCTGATTGCTAACGGGAGCTGGCATTGGTGGTCCTAGGTACCTACAAGTGTACCTGCACGCCTACCTACAGTATGTATGTATGTGTGTATGTATGTATGTACCTACCCACCTACCAAACCATTACTCTCGCTATTACCTACCTACCTTGTCCCCTTTTAATTAGAGCTCACTGGCAAGAACCCATGCCAATAGCAGGCGGCTGCTCAGCTCGGGACAGAAGCCATTAGTTCCTTTGTTGATGGATGGATGAATCACAAAAAATCTTGCGCAACGGGATGGATTTATCTGTAGTGGCACCAGGGTTCATGTGGGAAGCCTGGCGCAAGAATCTGGGGGGCAGCCGGTAAGGTCAAGTGATGCTGCTCGTGCAAACACAATGGAGGGCCACTGAAAACGCGGTCCACAGCTGCTGAACGCGCTCTCCTGGAGGCCTGAGGCCCTGCTAAAGTGACCCCGTCCTGAGGTCACGAGCGCAGGGGCAGGTGCTGCGGGGCACTGATGAATGCTGCCATTGAACTCACTGACCCTGAGTCAATGAGAGCCCTGGAAGAAGCGAACAAGGGTTGGCCAACCAGCCCGCCCTGGCTAGGCCCAGTCTCGTCCATTCTAGCATGGCATGTCACTCCCAAACCACCACATCACCTTGCTTGTGCTCCCGTCATCCCAGCATCGGCTTCTCCACGGTCTCAGACTCACACACCGGCTGTCCTGCGCTGCGCTGCACTGCATCATTGCTAACTCGTCATCCCGAGCTTCTTTGTCACAGTCCATCTGTCTCGACCTCCTTCAGCTCCAACCTATCGTCATCCATGCCTTGCCTGTCCGCGCCATGACCCTGCTCCCCCGCATCTTGACCGGCGTGTCGTGATAAAAGGTACCTGCCCAACTGTGCCGGCCAGGCAGCCACGCACCCCGTGCTAGGCACTCTGCCTTTTCTTCGACTGCAGCTGGCAGTCGGCAGTACCCTCGTCCACAACGGAGACATTCGCCATGGCGTCCTTGTTCGCCTCGTTTACGAGCTCCAGCATGCCCAAGCGGCTGCTGCGATACGCCCTGTCCCGCCTAGAGCTGCTCGATGCCGATGCCTTGAACCTCGACAACTTGGATCTTGCCCTCGGAAAGAATACCGTCTTTGAGTTTCGAGATGTTGGGGTTAAGCTGGATGTATGTGCATCCAAGTACAGTAGCTGCTGAATATCTCGCCGACTGACGCTTGTCATAGAAACTTCAAAAGCTGTTGAGCCTCCCGCCGGCCTTTGCACTCCAAAAGTCCAAAGTTCTGCTACTCCGCGTCAGCATTCCCATGGACTTTTACAGCAGCCCCATCACAGTCGACGTCGATGGTGTTGACGTGCAGATAAGAGTCCTCCCTCTCGACCGCGCCCCGACCCCCCCGACCTCAACAGAGCACGACTCCGTACCAAACGCTGTCGATCTCGCCCAATCCTTTCTCGACACCGAGTCTCCTGCCGAGCGCCGCAAGCTTCAAGAAGCCCTCGAAGCCGAAACACAAGATCTTGGCGCATCCGTGTCTATGAGCGATGATGGCAGCGAAGACGGATCCCCCGCCGAAGGCACAGGCCAGCCGCTTTCTCTGCCCCTGTTCCTCGCCGATTTTCTACAGGGCATGCTAGATCGCATGCAGGTCAAGATAAAGGGCGTCAACTTCCAGCTTCATATGGAGACCCCAACCGAACTCGGATCCAATCGGCTGGAGCCGATTTCTTTTCAGATTTCTCTCAACAACATTGACATTGAAGGAGTCACCACGCCCGCTTCCTCAGCTGATCAAGGGGCCAAGATCATTCACAAGGAGGGCAAACGTCACATCTCGATAGAGAATATCCGGGCATTCTTAATATCAGAGGCCAATGTCTTCCCCAGCCTCTCGCGATCTCCCTCCATGGTTTCGCCATCGTCAACCTCCTCACCTTTCATGACTCGCAACCCACCATCAAGAGAGCCCTCTGACATACCACAATCCATGTTTAAGTCACAACAATCTATTGACTATCAGCAAAGTTTTGAGCGGCACCTGACAGAAGCAATTGAAAGCCAAGAGAATGATTCCAAGCTCGGGGACAACGAGGAAGCCTTGGCTATTCCGTACCAGACAGAGGAAAATGATGACGAGAACCCCTCCACACCACGAGCGTCTATATATCATGACTTTGGAGCTTCCATGCATTCCGATAGTGATGAAGAGCCCGCATTCTCTCTCGCCAACTCTCGGGACATAGGCGCATCCCAACCTTCACCGTCAGGTTTCATGCGAGGATTGCCTTTCCGCCCTACAAGCATCGAATCATCAGCTATGGCGTCATCGTATATGCAATCATCCCAGATAAGTGCAGACGGCACTCAGTATGATGACTTGGAAGAATCCCGCCTTTATAGTCACGAAGAGGCTGAAAGCATGTATATGAGCGCGTTTTCACAGGGTGCTGGGCAATCACAAGTGATGCACGAGATGACAGAGTCTATCGAACCAGTTGCCAAGTCTGAAGAAGGCACCGACGAACCTGTTTTCCAACACGAGGAACATGAAGCTGAGGTAGATGCCTCGGAGCCTGAACCGCAGCCTGTGCCTGAGCCCGACGTTGCAGTTGTTGCGGAAACGGTAGTTGAATCTGAAAACGAGCATCGAGTCGAACAAGAACCTAGAGAACTGCAGCAGTCGTCCCTGGACATTTCGTCCATACCGGGTGCCTGGGGCGAAGAATCGGTTGCTCACCTTCCTCAATCTCCGCCTGTCGCCTCTTCGGACGCTCGGCTCATGTCCAGTCTCGAGGAGCTTGCAACTGCGGCCAAGAAAGAACTTCCGGCAACTGAGCGAGAGACAGTCTCTGATGAGACCACGCCGGACGATGGACAAACCCCAAAGGGACCAACCAAAGTCGTCAAGAAGATTCTCGAGTTTGATAACCTGTCTGTCTATGTACCGTCTCTACATCGCCACATGCAGGTACACACACCTATTGAAGAATCCACCTCGCACCTTGCAGCCTCGATGAATCGCTCCGTCTACCCTCAGACTCCCGGAGCCTTCTCCGTCCACCTCCCCCAAGCCCAGAGTGCGAAGCAGGGCACCCCGACATCGCCAGTGGATGCCACTCTCGAGATAGTCATGTCGCCAATGACAATCAGCCTCGACGCCTCCATTGCCTTCCTGCTGTACATGATCACAACAAGGCTGCTCAGCTCCGTCAAGACTGAAACTGAAATTACGGGGAAGGCTTACCCACCGACGACGCAAAAAGCTGCCAAGGAAAGCCAACAGCCACCAGTCAACATTGTGTTGGAACAGATTTCTCTCAATTTCTTAAATCATCTGAGTGGCGTTGCAGACACACCCGACCGGTTCTTGGACCCGTCTGCATTTGACTTTAGACAAGAAGTCTTGCTCAACCTGACCCTGAAGAAATTGGCCATGTCAAGGCGGGCTCCTCCGCGAAGCGCTCCGGCAAGTCCTGATACAGCCTCGTATGAAACAAAAATCGAGCTTGAACGGTTTCGCTTTGGATATGCGGATGGTGATATTATCTCATTTGATGCCGGCAAGCCAATGAGCACTTCGGTGCGAGATACCTTTTTGTCGGCTGGAAATGACGTTGCCATCAAAATCTTGGAGTCAACCGAAGGCATCCGAACAGAAGTTGAGACTCTCCCACTCGTCTTTCAGCTCGAGCTACAGCGCCTAGATGAAACATTTGGCTGGTTTGGTGGACTGAGCAGTTTCCTCAACATGAGCGCCTCCATAACGTCCAGCACACCGCCAGCCAAGACACCGCCCATGCCGCACCCGAAGCCACGAGGAGTTCGCTTCGATACACCAATCAGACCGGACGATACATCGGTAGCGTCTAAAAACAAACTTAATGTCCGCATCGGCGGCACCTATATTGAGCTTCTCGGCAAGGACTGCAGCATCTCGTCAGAAAGCAATGCGCTCAAGATTGTAAGCAGGGACGAGGGAATCGGTATCGCATGCAGCTTGATTCGGGTATCTGGCCCCTACATCAAAGGTTCCATGGCAGATCCCGCCATAGGCACAGACATCAGTGGCGTTCGTCTCGAGTTTTTGAGCGCCCCTAACAATTCGGACCTGGAGAAGTTGCTGGAGCTCATCATCCCTTCCAAAGTCAAGTACGACCACACTACAGACGAGATAATGGTCGACACACTGCTGCGCCAGCGTCGAAAGGGGTCTGTCCTGCGAGCGGCGGTAGACGCTGTCAGCGTGCGGGTGAAAAACCTGAGCCAACTGGGAGTTTTGCCGAGCCTGGCAGAAGAGCTTGCCAAGCTTTCGACTGTTGCAAAATATCTCCCCGAAGATGACCGGCCTGGACTCCTCACCCTTGGCAAGATTCAGCGCATCGGCGGCACCGTTGATATTGGCGGTGCCCTAGGCATACTCTCTGGCGAAATTAGGGAGCTCGAGGTGGGCCACATCACGCTCCCTTCGCTCGTTGCATTATCTGCAGGTGACATTTCCGTTGGCAGAAACAGAATCGAAGAGCTGGTCAAGTGCACCCCATTTATTGCCACGCAAGAAACACCGTCCCGCGGGCCGGTCTTCATGGTTCGGATAATTGGCGACGAGATCGAACCCACTATAAAGCTGAAGCTTCGGTATCTAGTTGTTGAGTATCGTGTGCAAACAATCATGGACTTGCTCGGACTGGGGGCGGATGCAACCCCGCAAGACTTCGACGACTCCCTCGCGGCTTCGGTGGCCAACTTGGGAGATCAAACTCACTCGGTGCTCGCTCGCCGACCTCGGTCTCAAGCTCAGTCATCGAAAGCAGCGAAGCCAACGAAGCTGGATGTTGCCTTTTCCGATTGCCTGATTGGACTCAACCCGCTGAATCTTCCCTCCAAGCTAATTCTTGTGCTGACTGATGCTCACCTGGATGTCATGTTGCCCAAAGACGAGCAGATGCAAGCCGCATTCAATATTAACAGAGCATCGCTGCTCCTTATCGATGATGTGTCAACTGCCACCGAAGAGCCTTCACTGGCCAAGATTAAACCGCCGCCGTCGTCGACGGCCTCTGCGCTTGTCACCGACATGTGTTCTATGGGATACGTCGACATCTGTTACATTTCGTCGGCCATGGTTCTTGTCAAGGTGGCCCCCGGGGAAGACGGCGAACAACTGGTGACTGTTGATCTTCGCGACGATTTGCTTGTTCTGGAGACTTGCGCCGACTCGACCCAAACCCTGATCACTCTGGCGAATGCTCTGAAGCCGCCAACACCACCAAGCAAGGAGAACAAGTACCGAACAAATGTCATGCCCATGGAAGATCTTCTGGCTTCAATCTCTGCCGAGGCATTTGGCAGAGCAGAAGGCGAATATGACTTTGACCAGGACTTTGCCGGTGCACAAGAGCTGGCTGGCAGTGTTTCAGATGCCGGCGGCAGTGACAGCCCATTCCGGGTTGATTCGCAATACTACGGCACTGAATCGGCGGGTGAGGAACTTTTTGATGCCACGAAGAGCATCTTGTCGGAGGGTACTCGAATGGAAGACACCACCGAGGGCGTTTTGCTCACCGGGCTTGACCCTGCCGCAAGCCAAGGCTCGGTGGACAGTGACGAGCTCCAAATTCACGAGGATTATTATGGCCAAGATGCGGCCGGTGAACAGGTAGCCAAGGTCTGGAATTCGTCCAAGAATTCATACGACAGCGCTCCAGCCGCCCTTGTGAAACGTTGCCCCGTTAAGATCTCGGTTCGAGATGTTCATGTCATCTGGAATCTGTTTGATGGGTACGACTGGCAACACACTCGTGACACCATTAGCAAGGCGGTGCAAGAAGTCGAGAACAGGGCTTTTGAGCGCCAGTCTCGTACCGTCAGTGCGCAGATGCAGGAAGAAGAGTTTGATGATGGCGAAGCAATTGGGGACTTTCTGTTCAACTCAATCTACATCGGCATCCCCGCGAATCGCGATCCTCAAGAATTGTCACGGGCCATCAACGAGGGTCTCCACGACGCTGCCACCGAAACAGAGTCTGTGGCCACCACTGCGTTTACGACAGCGACTGGCCGTGGCATGCGACGGCAACAACCGAGGCCGAAGCGACTGCGGCTAAGCAGAAGCAAGCACCACAAGATCACATTCGAATTGCAAGGTGTGAAAGCGGACATTGTGGTGTACGCGCCTGGATCCGGTGAAACGCAAAGCAGTATCGATGTTCGTGTGCAGAACCTGGACGTTTTCGATCACGTCCCGACGTCGACATGGCGAAAATTTGCAACGTACGATCAAGATCAGGGCGAGCGAGAGATGGGGACCAGCATGGTGCACCTTGAAATTTTAAACGTCAAGCCGATCCCGGAGCTTGGGGCGGCGGAAATTGTGCTCAGAGCGACCATCCTGCCTCTACGACTACACGTGGACCAAGACGCACTTGATTTTATCACCCGATTCTTCGAGTTCAAGGATGACAAGGTGCCAGTACACGCGTCACCCAGTGACGTACCTTTTGTCCAGCGAGCCGAAGTGAACAGCGTTCCGGTGAAGCTCGACTTCAAACCCAAGCGTGTTGACTATGCCGGACTTCGGTCAGGACATACGACAGAGTTTATGAACTTTATCGTATTGGAAGAGTCCCGGCTGGTTCTGCGGCACATCATCATTTACGGAGTTTCTGGATTTGACCGGCTCGGCAAGACTCTGAATGACATTTGGACACCGGATGTGCGGACAAACCAGCTGCCTGGCGTGATTGCGGGACTGGCGCCTGTACGGTCGCTTGTCAATATTGGTAGCGGGATCAAAGACCTGGTGGAGATTCCTATCCGCGAGTACCAGAAGGACGGGCGAGTGTTTAGGAGCATATCCAAGGGCGCGACAGCGTTTGCACGAACTACCGGCACGGAGATTGTCAAGCTAGGTGCCAAGCTTGCGGTAGGCACGCAGTACGCCTTGCTTGGTGCCGAAGATATGCTGGTGGAGAAGCGCTCAGAGGAAAGAAGCTGGGAGGAGGAGGAATTGGATGAAGAAGAGAAGAAGCAGATTTCTCTGTATGCCGACCAGCCGATGGGCGTGATCCAAGGAATCCGGGGAGGGTACCGATCACTGGCGCGTGACATGAACCTGGCGAGAGACGCAATCATTGCTGTTCCGGGCGAGGTGATGGAGAACGCTTCGGCAGCGGGCGTGGCCAAGGTGATGTTGAAGCGGGCGCCGACGATTATATTCCGTCCAGCCGTGGGTGTCACCAAGGTGATTGGGCAGACACTTCTCGGCGCGACCAACGCGATGGACCCGAACAACAGAAGGAGGATCGACGAGGTACGTTGCTTACTCGTGCTAACCGGGAGGGAGACTTGGAAACATGGATGCTAACAATTGAGTAGAAATACAAGCACTAAGTGCGCAGTGAGGGCTACTGCTTGTTGCACGAACATTTTACGACTTGATTTTACCCAGCGCGAAGCATGGCAAGCGGATGTCGCATTTTTTTTTATTCTGTCTGTCTGTTTTCTCATGACGTTTGGAGTTTTGTATTACCGTTGTCTTGTTTCTTTTTCTTCTTCTTCTTTTGTGTCTGACGATATTCAGCATATAATGTTTTGTAAACTCAAAGACAAGAATGGACCGGGCGCATGCTCAAACAGTGTTGATACTAGAATAGAATAGAGGGAGAATGCCACTATACAATGGAAATTGTTGAGTAAAAAATGTGACTGGGTTTTATGTAACTGCTCATGATGCACCATTTGCATTGGATGATGAAGAGAAGTTGGTCAGCCCAGCTGTGTAACTTGTATATATATACTGTCTATGTCGTCATGATACGTATAATTTTGCAGAAGCGTCTGTCGCCTGTTGCCTGTCGCCTGTCGCCTGTCGCTTGTCGCCTGTCGTCTGTCGTCTACATGATTGCGCGGTTCCATAGCGCCTGCCTGTCACAAACGCCAAAGAATCTCCAACTACAGTGTCAATACCAAGCCAACGACTCCTGATCAGTACCCATCCGTGATTCCCTTGAGCTTCTCCTCAGCCCTCCTCCTCTGATTGGCCGCCACCCACCAGCCGTGCGTCTCGTCGTCGCCGGTGAAGTTGCCGTGCTCGTCCACCTCGTCCCAGGGCTTGGGGCTGAGGATGTAGTGGACGTTCTTGACCTCGTCGTCGCGCCAGACGTCGGCGTGGACGTCCGGCCGGCGCATCGTCTTGAGCGCGTTGTAGACGTACGGCAGGGCGACCCAGCGGTCGCGCCACAGCTCCGACAGCACCTCCTGGTCCGGGAAGTACATGTCCCCGCCGTCGCGCGCGACCTTGTCGAGGATCTGGCGGTACAGCGCGGCGGAGGGGCGCAGCACGGCGAGGCCGCCGTTCATCATGGCGACGGGCAGGCCGCGGGGGTCGGCGCCCTCGCGCTGGGCGCGGTCCGGGTCGTCGGCGGCCTGCCGCGTAAAGGCGCAGTTTTCCCGGACCCAGGACTTGGGGTAGTGAGGTTTGCGGAGGGGGTTGCAGGCGCAGACGTGGCTGGCCGCGAAGACCCTGGACGAGGAGGACGGGGAGGCGGTGGCGGCGGCGGCGAGGGAGGGGTCGTCCAGGGGCAGGTCCATGAGCTCGTCCATGTTGCGCAGGACGAGCATGTCGGAGTCGAGGAGGACGACGCGGTCGTGCTCGACGAGGGAGAAGACGGAGAGCTTGGTGAAGGTGTCGGCGAAGCGCGGGTCCGGGCTGGAGGAGAAGTCGCGGGCGTCGGGGGAGGAGGCGGCGAGGGGGTCGACGCGGCGGGAGGGGATGCCGCGGGCGGCGAGGGCGGCGAGGGCGGAGGCGGGCAGGGCGTCGGTGTAGAGGGCGAGGAGAGGGTAGGCGGAGTGGACGCGGCGCAGGGAGTGGTCGAGGGTGAGGACGCCGGCGAGGTAGCTGAGGTTGGTGATGAGGGTGGCCCAGACTGGGAGAGACAAGGTCAGCGGGGTTCGGGATTCGGAGGAGGCTTGAAGGCTTGACTTTGGACGGGACGAACCCTTGTCGGATGGCGCGGCTCTCTTGGGCCGCGCAGATTGTGTCATGGTTGGGAGTAGGAGGCGAATGGGAATTGGAATTTAAACTGGAATTGCAATTGACAGGCGAGCCCCAGAATTGCTTGGAGTCGGAGGATGTGCGGGATTAAAAAGGGTCGAGGTCGTTTTCTTGCTTATCGGCATTATTAATTCGTCAACTTGGTTAGGCCGGCGATGAGACGGCAATGACGTGATGTGCTTGATTATGATCGATGGTGGGTGGGTGCTTTGACTTTTCTTCTTCTTGAGCGCAACTCGGTCGATCGCTGCTTTTACTACTGCTGCATCGAATCGGCTTTGTCGATTTGGGGGGGGGGTATGTACACATGCCCTGATCGAGGGCTGCTGAATTGAATCGCGCTGCATCAGTTATTAGTTGCATATATTTAATTAGTCACAGCACAGCACAGCACCATCATCCCTCTCATTCTTCCCCCGGTAAGGCATTCTCAGCCTCAAACTCATCACTGCTTGTCCTGAACCCCGCGTAGTGCAAGCCCTGTCTTGGCAGGCGTTCTTCATCATGCACCCTGCATCATGTGCGCCTCGCCTCATCTCGCCCAAGGCCCTCCTGTCAATTCGCCCGACGCTGCTGTACCTCTCCGCTGAGGAGATGCTACGCGTCTCGTCTCTCGTCGAAATCTCCCTCCCTTCACAACTTTGCCCTCTGTTAGATGCATGCATCTCACCAGCAGTCTTCACCTACCCTGTACAAGCATGAGTACCCATCGTCGCACCACCACGTCACCACCACAAACGACTTCCCGCGATGACCTCGTCAAGCAGCGCCAGGAGCTGCTGGACCTCAACTACAAGCGCGCAAAGTTTGTCACATGTCCGGCCTGTCGCCATGGCAGCACCACCATAATGGCCAACGAGCGGCTCGCGGGATGGCGGTGAGTTGCGTCCATGCTGAATGGATTCGTCCAGTCCCGGATACCATGCCCGGCTAACCGGCGTTTCCAGATACGCCGCCTGCACCGCCGTCGCCATCGTCTTCGCGCCCCTCACCCTCGGCGTCATGCTCTTCATGCTCCCGCTGTTCTTCAAGCCGCAGTTCGCCGTCCACTCCTGCCGTCGCTGCGGCCTGCGCCTCGCCATCACCACCGGCGGCCTCGGCGACTACGCCTTCACCCTCGCCGCCGACGTCACCGACTCCAACTTCGCCCCCGCCGAGGACGACTGGCGGCCCGACCTGGCCCGCCTGCCCGGCGGCATGCGCGTCGCCCGCTCGCCCCTCGGCCCGCGACCGGAAATCTCCGAGCCCGAGATGAAGACGTGCTCCAGACGCTTCGCCGGCCTCAAGGCGCGAACCAAGATCAAGCTCGTGTCGGAGGACTGGCTGCGCGGCACCGTCCGCTGCATGGTGGTCACGGGCCCGGACAACCCGGCTACAGCCCGGGAGCGGGAGCAAGGCGAAGGTGAGGTCTTCTGTCAGATTCACACCAACGACGTCGCCGACCTCGGCTTGGTCTTCTGCCGCGACGCGAGCCCCAACATCCAAGTCACCATGCGAGCCGCCGCGGTGCCCTCCCCGCAGACGGCGTCGGACAAGGACCTGCCGCCGCCACCGCACGCGCCAGCCTACGAGGACAGCTCGGCGCTCTCCGAGTTCACCGAGACCTGCCTCATCCGCCTCTTCCCCGGCGACAACTACTCGGTGCACTTTTACCTGCCCTCCAGCAGCCCGCCCGCCTACGCCGCGCCCTCCTCGTCGGCCGCGGAGGCGAGCAGGAGCCGGCAGACGCTCCACGCGTCGGTGGTGCCGAAGCGCTTCCGCACGCAGTTCTGGGGCGGCATGCCCGTCTGGCGGTGGAAGTCGTCCGAGGGGAACCTGCTGTGGGTGTCGCGGCGCTTCCGCGACGCCGACATGTCGGCGCTCAGCACCACGCTGTGCCTGGTCGACGACTACGAGCGGCTGGTGGCCGCGGTGGACGGCTGGGAGGGCAGGCGCGTGCCGGGCGTGGCCTCGGCGCCGGACGGCTCCGGGGGGATGGTGCGCGAGTGCAGGATGAAGCTGTACGCGGACCTGGACGCGGGGGTGCTGGGGGAGATTTTGGGCAGTTACTGCGCGCTGCTGGCGCAGGTGAGGAGGGTGACGAGGGAGTTGAAGAGGGAGGATGACGCGAAGCGGAGTTCGTATTAGTTCTTTTTTGCTTTAGTTTTTGCATTTAGAATTTCAGCCATCATGTTGCATTATTTCCATGGCAGTTGAGCGCATGGGACCACTGACAACCAGCCGTCGTTGACCAGGCCAGCTGGGAGATTGCAAAGAAAATGGGCAGGCAGGGATAGTGTACTATTGAAGCAGTCCTTGGTGGCCACTTCACTAGGTTGGTCTTTGTTGCTGCGAATGGGAAAGGACAATGTCAAGAAGCAAACGTGACACAGCTTTTATTGGCAAAGATTAAACCAACACAGTAAGAATGAGGCATTCTGTACGCCCTTCCGAGTGCATGGCCTCACTCTTGAGAATTAAATGGCCCTGTAGCGAAACAATATGTTGAAAACGGCCTGTAATGCAGCATATAACGCGTCGATTTGCCCGCCCAGCCTGATTTCGCTGGTAGCTTTTTCCGCTGCGCGTGCATTGTCTTTTAATAATACACTCAGGATACTTTTATTAATCCATTCGGAATCTTACAAAAAATGTTGCCGGCTCCGCTTGGGCCGTATGAAAGCGTCTGCCCGCGTTGCATCGCTGATCCTCCCAGCTCGGTCCATACGCTCACACCACACTTTCCTTTACCAAGTCCACGCCGAATGCCATTCAACTAATCTCCTATCGCCACTGCCTCTCCTTTTCTACCAACAATCCCTTCCCCTTCTTCCTAAGACCCAGCTCCTTCTCGGACTCATGGCACTCGCAAAGCCTGTCCGCTCGGCTGTGCCCCTCGCCAACACATTGCCCGAGGAGCGCCGCCGCTCCTCCGCCGACGAAAACGATGCCCAACTCGTCGTGCTCACAGACATTGACAAGACACAGGGTGAATTCGACTATTCCGAGGGAGGCCCGGCGGCGTGGGGCCTTCGCGGCTGGCTCCTGGTGCGCCATGACGGCGGGTATGGGCATCGTCAACTCGACCGGCGTCTTCGAGGCGTACCTCTCCAACATCATCCTGAGTGGCAGCTCTACCAATGCCATCGGCTGGATCATGGGGATATACGTCTTCGTCTCGTATTTCTTTAGCGTGCAAATCGGCCGCATCTTCGACGCAAGAGGTCCGCGGGAACTCATCTTCATCGGCACCGTCTTCCTGATAGTGGGCACGTTTACATTGGCTCAGTGCACAGGTCAGTCCGGATCGATCCCGAGGTTGAAAGCCTTGCAGTCGCTTCTGCCGCGAGTGGGCTCGCCATGGACCGTGCGCGTCATCGGGGTTGTGTTGCTGCTGCTCTGCATTGCCAGTCTTGTCCTGTGCAAAAGCCGACTCCCCCCCCGACACACCTCCCAGTTGTGGCGCCAGATGCTGCCGAGCTGGCACATCTTTCGAGACGGCACAGGCGCCATGGCCTTTACTTCTGCCGGTGTCTTCTTCGTGGAATGGGCCTATTTTGTCCTAATCACGTACATCCCCAGCTACTATCTCACTCGCCAGGGTCTGTCCGGTACCGATGCCATCGGCGGCGACGCGGCGTTTGCTTACCAGCTACTATAGTAGCAATCCTCAACTCGTCTTTGCCTGTACACGGTACCCCGAGCAAGTTACAGGACCAGGCTTTGCAACAAGGGCCACAACAGCAATCCCCTATATTAGGGCCGCTGGTATGGCTGGGTAGTGGGTAGTTCTGCTGAACTCAAAAGACCAGGATGGACACCAAAATGGCCCAAAGGTAGGTAGGGGCGCTGGATGCCCATTGCTCCTTTTCTCAGTTCAAAAGGACAAGAGTATTTCATCATGGTTTTATTATTAAGCGTATTCCATTATATAAAATTTGCTATTCTAAATTGTAAGCTTGTACAGGTTGATACAAGTTCCCAGCATCGCGCATGGGGTTCGACGCTAACAAACCCTGCTTCTGTCTAAACTGCCACCCTCTACAGCGTTCTATTACAACAGTATGCTAATATTTTACGCACCTTCCCCATTCCTTTCCTGCGTTTTTGTTCTGGCCTCCTTGCGCCACCTAGGTCGGTGTTTCTGCCCGAGTTTGGAGGCACTTCGCGGCCACCGAGACTCATATCTTGCTCTACCTCGTTGGTCAACTGCTGCCGGAGAATTTCTGTCATGGCGTATCATCGCCAAGGGGTGGCCGGGAACAAGCAGCCCTTGGTCAACCGCGGGCGAGATGCGCTGGGCTGGCGTCGCTGGGCGGGCTAGTGAAGTGATCGGCCGGGACAGGGACCGGGAGCCGCTGCCGTGGATAATCTTGAAGCCTTGGATGATCGATGGCGGCATTCCAAAGCCGGAGCAGGCTCGGCTTCTGTGGACCATTTGATGCACCTCGACTCATCCTCTGTCATCCCATCCCGCCAACCATCCAACCCGTCAGCAATGAATGGGCTAACTGGATTCGATAGGCAAACATGGCCCGTCCCATCTGTAACTACTTCTGCGTAGCTCAGTTTCTTGATTTTTCTCTTCTTGACATTTCAATCTGCTATGCCACGGCCAGTCTACATCCTGTGATTAATCTTGTTGTGACAGAGTGTCCAAAGGTGGACGTTATCTAAGCCCGTTCACCATGGCGTCCTCGCAAACCACCACCACGACCATACATCTCAAGGACTACGACTCCTCCAGCACCTCCGCACCTATAAACACCGGCACCGAGGCCGTCCGCCATGCCGCGCTGAACACCTCGACGACAGCCCGCCGACGCGGCGCGCAACCGACCCTGCACGTGCCCGACAACGACGAGGACGCCATCATCGCCGCCTCCCGCGCGCTCGACGAGGAGTGCCCGGACGGCGGCTACGGCTGGGTCATCGTCCTCAGCGGCGCCATGCTCATGTGGTGGGCGTCCGGCACCACCTACGCCTGGGGCGTCGTCCAGCGCAAGCTCGTCGAGCAGCACCTCGCCGGCCCCGCGACCCTCTCCTTCATCGGCTCCCTGCAGGCGTCCATGCCCGCCTGGTTCGCCGTGCTCGACGCCTTCGTCATGCGCCGCTGGCTCGGCTCCCAAAGGCTCGCCATGCTCGGCATGCTCACCATGGGGCTCGGCGGCATCCTCGCCAGCTTCTGCACGGAGAGCATCCCGGGGCTCTTCGTCACCTTTGGCTTCCTGGCCGGCGCCGGCGGCAGCTGCGGGTTTGCCGTCGTGGCGGCCGTCCCGGCGCAGTATTTTAATACGAAGCGCGGTCTGGCAAACGGCCTCATCTTCGCGGGCAGCGGGTTCGGTGGCGCAACGAACAGTTTCTTCATGGATGCGCTCATTCGCAGCCTGGGCATCGCCTGGGCGTTCCGAGTGCTTGGCCTGGTGACCATGGTGACTGGCTTATTTGCAGGCTGGTTCATGAAGGAGAGGACAAAGATCCCAGACAAGCGATTCGTTGACATGTAAGTGGTTTCAGGTTCCTGGGCTCCGTATTCGATCAAATTGACACATCGGCTGCAGGAAGCTGTTTAAAAACACCAACTTCACCTTGCTATGGCTTTGTGCCGCCGTTGGGAATTTTCCCATATTTGTTCCCCCATTCTTCCTCCCCCTTTACAACCAAGCGCTCGGCTTCTCCTCCAGCACCGGAGCTGGTCTTGTGGCCGGATTCACCCTGTCATCTGCCATCGGCCGCATCCTCTGCGGCTTTTGCTGCGACAGGTTTGGCCCGGTCAACGTGCTGCTGGCTTCGCTGCTGCTTTCTGCCTTTAGCATGCTCGTCATCTGGCCTGTTTCCCAGTCTCTCGCCCCTCTCGCCATTTTCTGTATTCTGAATGGCGTGTCCAACGGCGGATTCTTCTCCTGCACACCCACCGTCGCCACCAGTATCTTCGGCAGCCAGCGTGTCAGTGTCGTCATGGGCATGATCATGACTGCTTGGGCAGGCGGCTATCTTTTGGCATGTACTCTTGCCACTGCCATCAATTTACTTTTCGATCTAACGGACAATTCCAGGGCTCTCCCATCGCCGGTTACCTACTCGAGGCCTTTGGCGGAGCAAGTGGTGGTTTGAAGGCCTACCGTCCTGCCATGTTTTACGCAGGCGGCTTGGCTTTAATCTCGGCAGTCTTGTTGGCAATTGTTCGGTTTCGCATCAATAAGAAGTTCTTGGCTGCCGTATAGTCGGTTGTTTATTTTGCACAAAATTCGTTTATCCTACATACGAGTTTCTTGTTCTTGGTTCCAGCCACTGTTCTTTGGTTCCAGCCCGTTGGTTGTCTTTGACTGCTAAGTACTCAAGTACCAGCATTTTAGTCCTGCTCCTTAATTCCAATCAACGGGAATGTCCTTAGTAACCTGAGAGTCCCGGCGAACTACTCCCCCGCCCTGGGAACCTAGAAATTCAAATAACCCTGGGCTGCCTCCTGCGCCTTGGCCTGGAAACCCTGTGAACACTGGGCGGTTTGATCCACCTTGACCCGGAAGGCCTGGAAACCCTGTGAACACTGGGCGGTTTGATCCACCTTGACCCGGAAGGCCTGGAAAGCTCGGAAAGCTCGGGCTGCCTGCTCCGTCCTGACCGGGAATACCTGCTCCACCATCCTCACCGGGAGTAGTTGGGCGGCCTGCTCCATCAGAGCTTCCTCCCGGGCCTCCGGGCTGACCGGGCTGACCGGGTTGACCGGGCTGACCCGGCTGAGTAGGTTGACCAGGCTGACCCGGCTGAGTAGGTTGACCAGGCTGAGTTGGTTTTCCAGGTTGGCCGGGCTGGCCGGGCTGAGTAGGTTGACCAGGTTGAGGAGGTTGACCAGGCTGGCCAGGTTGACCAGGTTGAGTAGGGTTCTCGCCACCCGATTCACCGGGAAGCTTGCCAGCTAGCTTTTGAATAAAGTCAAGCTGGTTATCCACGCGGGCATAAACACCAGGCGCTTCCTGGCTGCCACAGCCAATGCCAAATGAAACGACACCTCGAATGACTCCGGTCTGAGCATCGACAAGTGGTCCGCCACTATCTCCCTGGCACGAGTCCCGGCCGAATTCGCCCGCACAAACCATGTTTTCAGTGATTCGCGGCGCGTCTGGAAATCGGGACATCTGCTGCTGGCACTGTTGGCGGCTCACCAAAGGCATGGTGAGCTGCTGCAACTTCTCAGGGGCTGGAGGTGGGTTGTTTGGATCTTTAGCTTCTTGCAAAAATCCCCTAAGGTAAAGGAAAGTAAGAGTTTGCTCGCACGAATGAAATGAATACTTCGGAGTCGACTGCAACATACCATCCCGCCACGGTTACCTGGCCCTGCTGGGGATCGGAGCCCGCCTGCGGCAGCTTGACGAACTTTATCCTCTCACTCTCTTTAATCGGCGTTGATAGTTTCAAGATAGCAACGTCATTGTCGAGGGTCTGCAGGGTAAAGCCGGGGTGGGTTGTTGATTTAACTACCTGGGATTCAACGCCGCCAGTGGTGCGATCCTGCAAAGATTAGTCCCCGAAAAAAGTAACTGGCGGTAATGCTAAATGAGAAACCTACATTTGTTCCAGCACGGATGGCAACATTGGGGGGCGGGTTCGCAAAGCAGTGACTAGCCGTCAGGACGGTGTCTTCATTCAAGAGAGAACCACCACAGAAATGGCGTCCGCTGCTGGTAATCGAAACAATGTATGGATGGGCCCCTTCGGGAGCAGCATCTCCTCCCACAATCTTGGCAGAAAAGCCTGGCTCTGACGCCGGCGCAGCAGAGACTGGTGGAGCTGCCAGTGCGGCAATCGCGGCTCCGAGAGCCAGCTTGAGAGACATTTCAGAGATGCTGAGAAGGTGCTTTGGCTGAGGTAGAAAGAAGGAATGACTGGATGTTGGAATTGATCAGACACTAGTAGGAGAGGCTCATCAGGTGAATATATAAGCTTACTTCCCTCAAGACGGGTGGATAGAGGAGCACCGTACATCAAGTCCATTCTACATAGACCTGAGACTTCTCGCTTTACTCCGCCTGATCATCGAGTCAGCGATGCATGACCTAGATGACGGCCATAAGTCCTGTATCATCTCTTGGCAATACCCATGTTGAAGAGGTTGCTGTGCTAAAAGTGGCAGATAGAGAGATCGTCAGAGAGACCAGCTGGCTACCAAGGAACAAGGCAAAACTCACAGAATTTAAATTTTGCTCACTCATTCGAATTTCCTACTCAGTTGGCTTCTGTCCAAGAAAAGAATCACCGTCTGGCAGCTTTGACCTAGAGCTTCTGAGGTAGTCGTGGTTGTGGACTGACTTGTCGGCCCACAGGATCTTCGCCCTTGTCAACAGGATCAGCAGGCTCAATGAGAGACAGCATTAAGCCTTTCGACAACTTTATTATCAGCTTGCTTACTTTGAAACAACTCTTGTTCGAGAATGGATTATCCTACCGTTAGTACGGCATTATTCTATATCTAGGAGGCTGTATACCTACCTTGTAGTAGATGAAACGCTGTTGTTGTGGAGTGGCGATCAACAGCGAATCGCCTGACGAAACTCTGCAAGGACGTAATAGGCAACTATGCAAATGGGATGGCATAACATGCGGCGACCTGTAGGAGGTTAATTGCCCCACGTTTCTCCCCGGTACGTAGCGGTCCGAGCTGTTGAAGTCGGTTAACAAAAGGCCCTCCACTAAAATACAGCGTATTATTATCAACTATCAGAACCCAGCAAGAACTGGCGCGCCCTCAATAGGGTACGGTTGTGCTGCGTTCGCTGTAACGTAGCTCTTGTGCATCACAGGAATGCAGGGACTTCTACTGTAGCACAACTGGCGTGTAAAAGAAGTACCTTTTTACTTTTCTGTGCCATCAAGTCAGCTTTTCTACCAGAAGTAGACCCTGGCAGTACACGGCATGGCATGACTTCCCTCTCTGGCGCCGCAAAAAGGGGCATCTATATGACTGTCAGGGGCCAGGTTTAACGGATGACTTGTTATTACCGCTGCGCCTCTGTTTGAGGTTTGCCCAGCTGGTAACAGGATCGCGGGGCAGCGCTACTTAATAATGGTGTACACTATGTATCTAAATCTATACCTAAACTCGAGGAGCAAATGGACAAGTTGTCAATGCAATCGGCGCAACTATTGACTGTATTTTGTAATCGCTGGCCGTCCGGGTTGGCGGCGCAAAGGCAGACCCGGATGGCAAAGTTGAGGCAGTCTGGCCGGGGGAAATGCGATGCTTCCGTTGGTATGCCAGCATGCATTTTAGTCTCAATTATTCCTTTGTTTTTCGTATAACCTGTGTACTGTGTTTAGAAATTCTCTTGGTAGAATTGCTTTGACAGGTGTGATGCGGGGTCAGCCTGGACGGTTGGAATGGCAGGTGACACCTAACAGCCGTATTCCTTGCCGCCCATCCTCGGGCTCCAAAGAGCATTGTCGTGTGTGTTTATGCAAGAGTACGCGATTAAATCCTGCACTCTCAGCCTCCGACGACCCACGTTGTTTCTGGATGCATGATATAATAGACTAACTAATGGTATAACAAACGTGATGGGCACTAACACGTGTGAGGCTTTGCAGTGCAGATCCAGCCGCTGCGCACAGCATTGCCCTGAACCGCCATGGGCACCAGTAGGTACTATAGGAGACAATCACGAAGTTCTAGGTCAGCAAGCACCTTTTCTCTAACTAGCAAGTTCATATAAAAATGAGTTCATCTATATGTTACTAACGCATGGTAGATATTAGTAGGAAGATGGGATAGGAGGATGCGTATTAAGTAGCTAACATTTTGGGTGATGAGCCTGATAGTAACTAGAAGCTGAGCTTTTGCGACCACAACCCCCAATCCTCCCTCCTACTCTTTAGGAGCGTACTTTTGGCGCATCCGTTCAAAAACTCCAAGAAGCGGCTCGCCGCCTATGCTCATCACGTTGTAGATCGCAGTTCATCCCAGCTTCCCGAGAAACGCCATCGCGCACGTCGCCAGGCCACGGCGCTGGAAGTCCGGCTGCGTGAAGATGCCGTCAAAAGTCGCCATGCCGTCTTTGATCGTGGCCTTGCCCGTCGACGCCACTTGTCGCCTGCCATGACCTGCACGGTGCAGCAGCCGTTGCGCACCTCGACGAGGGCGACGAGGGCCGGGTCTACGGCGGCGAGCTTGTCTTCTGGTCCGACCTTTTCTGACGCGTCGCAAGAGAGCCGCGCCGTCATGATCTTGCCGCCGTCGCCGGCAAACTTTGCGCCGCGCTGCTTTGCCGTGGCTGCGTAGTCGTCGTCACCGTCGACCGGCGTGATGACCGTGATCATGCGCAACGTAGGCTCCTGGACCGCCTGTACGAGCGTGTGGAACAGTGCGGGTTCTGGCTGGACGGCCACAGTCACGCGCAAGTCTTCTCCATCCAGGCGGACGGTTGTCAGACAGCCCATGTCCTTTTCAATGCTGCAGCCCAGCTTGTGAAGGTATTCTCGACATGATTGGCCGGCAATTGGAGGCGGAGTTTCTCTGCGTCGCTCGCTTGACTTGGGACACCAGGGTCATGAATCAGTGCAACCAACAGATTCGCTTCAAGGTGATTGAATCGGCAGAATTCCTACTATCTATGCTAACAACCCGTCTAATTTTTCTCGAGTATTTCTCCAGTATTACCCTCACGGTTGACAGTATTGCGGCAGCTGACTCACTTGGCGAACTTCTTTCAGCTAGCCAGTTTTTCGGCCGAGTTTCGCGCGCGAGGGTGGCCGCCCGTAACTATCCCACATGGCTAGGTCTATCATAATGAAAATCAGAAATGCAACGTGTTCGAGAAAGAAATTTTCCGAGTGATTTTCCTCTTTAAATCCCGAAATATTTCTCGAGTGCATAGTTGCTGATGGTTGGTCCCGCTGCATCAATGACTGCTAAAATTACTGTCAATACATGACTGCCGAACCTAAACCGAGTGTATAAAAGTGAACTCAAGGACAATAAAAACGACGTAGCTAGCAAGCATAGCACCACCAATCCAGCGAGCATATCTGGCGCCAAACCAGACAGTAACTGTGAATGCTACCGTTGAGAGCCATAGAGCTATCAGCTCTGTGGCCGTCACGGTTCCGCTGTCCAAGGTGCCTCCTGTGCCGACCATGATGATACCGCAGCAGAGCGACAAGAGAAAAATGTTGCTACCGGCACAGTTTGCTACTAGAATACCAGCATGCCGTTGGGAGCCGCTTTTGAGGGCAATGAGCTTCTCCGGCAGAGTGGTGGCTATGGCAAGGATCACCACGCTAAAGAGAACATCCGACATGCCTAACTCTTCAGTTATATTCGTTGCTGCTTGAGACAGGACATAGCCTGCAAGGCTGATTGCGAGGAACCCGAATGAGAGGTAGAGCCCATGGTAGCCAAGGCCATGTCGGCGTCGGCGCCTGGGCGTGTCGTTTCCTCTGAGCAGCGCAGTCCTGCTTGACACGGAATTGGCTTCATCGCCGTCGCCTTCACCGTTGCCCTCACCGTCGTCGCCATCGGAATCCGAATCCGAATCCGAATCTTCCGGCGCCGTGAGGACTCCTCGCCCGATGGCCACTGCCACGAGCAGGAAATAGAGCACAAAAGCAGCGATGAGAACACCGCCGCCGACAAGCCAGGTAATCTTGGTCGAGTAGTAGATGACTGGCGCTACGGCGGTGGTCAGGACGAGGAGCAACAGCGAGTAAATCCGGGCGCTTCTATCGAACTCGGCGACCTCATCTCCGCTATACCACAAAAGCCCGAGAGAAAAGGCGCCCAGGATGTTGGATATGGATGAACCAACGACATTGCCCAGCGCCAAGGACGATCGGCCTTGGGAAAGGGCTCCCACAACGACGGCCAGCTAGCCAGCTGTTCTATTAGCACGCTATCGATCGCCACAAGCCAGAAATACAGAGCAGTACGCACCTCTTCCCATTCTGCGCCCGCGGTAAGCAGCCCAACAACAACCTCTGAGATGTTAATACGCCGCGCAAGAATGGACGTGTGCGCGATAAACTTGTCGGCCCCAAACTCGAGTAAGAAGAGCGTGGAGATGAAGGCGCCAAGGTTGAAGGCAAGTGCCCCTGCTTCAGCCACGGGCATACTTGAGCGGCGTAATGTATATGTCTTTGAAATGCGATGCAGAGAGGCGGAAAGTTAGGAAATGCTGGGCACTTTTATCAACTGGATGTGTTCGTAACTGACCAACTAGTTACCTGTTAACGTTGTGGAGAAACCCCTGGCCCGGATTCGCTATGTAGCTATGGTGTAATAACGTCGACCACCCACTTGTGGGCCACCTAACCTCGCCCACTTCTAATAATAAACCTACGTTACTAGAACCGTGATTTCTTATATAAAATAACTTAAATTAATATTATTTTTTCCTTACTATATTATTATAAGTTAATATATAGAATAAGACCTTTAAAATACTATATAAAACATTATTAATAATATAAGTATATAAAAGACTATAGCTTATTAGTCTATCCTATAAATAACTATTTAATTTTAAATAAATAGTAGAGTACTATAAAAAAAGGTATTTAAGTTAAAATAATAGCTTCTAGTAATATAAGAATTATACTTTATCTTCTAGATCTTAATTTAGGATTATCTTAATAATTCTTCTACTTATAAGTAGGTTTAGAAGATTATATTAAGCCTCTACTAATATAATAGTAATAATTATAATATTAAAAAGAACTAATTATAAGGCTTTTTAAAGTATAACCTAGAGATTAAAACACTTAGAGGTAAGTACTTTAATTTTAAATATCTTAATAGTACTTTAACTTATACTATTTAGAGTTTCTTTAAGTTTCTTACTATTAAATAGATTAATAATATTCTTTATTATAATTAATATAATATAAATAAAATAGGGCTTATAATAAGGCTTTAAGAGAATAGTCTAGTATTAGGATTTAAAGAGATAATCTAACTAATATTATTAAAGTATAATTTTTAAGTATATTTTAGTTATAGAGAAGAAGCTAAATCTACTAGTACTTTTTAATAGAAAGAATATTTAATAATAATAGTTTTTAAATAAATTAAGACTCTTTAAGAACTAGTATTTTTAAACTACTTTAAAAGACTAAATAAATAATATTATTATTATTTACTAACTTAAGATAATCTTTATCCTTAAGATAAAACTAGTAAAACCCTTTAAATAAAGACTTTTTATTATTAATTACTATAGAAACTACTATACTAATAAATTCCTATATAAATATTATTATAATAATATATACTTTCTTTTTCTACTAGTTTATAGTTTTAAAATTCTTTAACCTCTTAATATAGCTATCTTTAGTACTATTAAAAGAAACTATAAAAATAAGCTTAAAAAACACTCTTTTAATATTATATTTTTATTATTAAGGACTAGCTCTATAGCTACTACGAGTAGGCGTTAATATAAGGTTAAATTAAATCTCTTATAGAGGAAGAGATAAAGAAGTTATAATAAAGTGGCTACTATATATAAAGGGGGAGTCCCCCCCCCTATTAGCCCTATACCTTAGGCCACTAGGCTACTATTATTAGACTATAGTCTAAACTCTTATATAGCCCCTCTTATTATAGTTATAAAAAACCCCTATATAGTACCCCTTAGGTATTATAATATTACTCTTTATTAGTTATCTTATTTAAAGTCCCTTTTATAATAGTCTTATCTTTATTACTTATTTCTTATATATACTATTATAGAGGGTGTTCTTTTAGGTTAATAGTAGCCTATTATTTATTCCTTCTAATATAAGTATTATATTAGTATATACTTAATAGCCTCTTTTAACCCTAAGGAGAATACTACTTTATAAATAACTCTTTATTAGAAGGTTATAAAAGTAAACTATAAGTAAAGTACTAGCCCTTTATTAATATTTAATATTATTTTATTTTCTTTTAAAATTCTCTCCTCTTTAAACCTTTTCTTTTTATTATTATTCTTTTAGTAAGTAACTTTATTATATTTTATTTCTACCTACTCTTAATTATTACTTATTATTCTTTATTTATATACTAAATCCTTTCTAACCCTAAATAACTTATATTATAATAAACACTACTACTATACTACTACTACCTCCCCCTCCTAGAGAGAATAATAAGGTTAGACTAAAAGACTATAAGGGTCTATATTCTACTTAAAGTAGTATCCTATTATAGAGTAACTTTAATAATAAATAGTAAGACCTTATTAAAGAGGTTTAGTTTTTTTATTTTAACTACCTCTTATTAATAAAGACATACTTTACTTTATAATATAAAATAACTACTAATAGTAGTTATACTATAAAGTACTTTACTTAGAGGACTCTAGTTATATAATAATCCCTTTTATATTTTTATAAATATAGAATTAATACTACCTCTTTATAGAGAGTTTAATAGTAGCTTACTATTATATAAATGCTTATATACACTTAATATATATAATATAGAGACTCTAATAAGTGCCTTAATAGGACCTTAATAGACTACTCTTCCTTCTTATATACTATCCTTAGTATACTTATTATTAAGTATATATATAATAGTACTAAATATACTAAGCCTTTATAGATTCTTTATATATAATTTAGTAATTTTACTTTTATTATTTATTTAATAACTTATATTTACTTTATAATTAGTTTTCTTTTTTTTATTATTTAATTATACTATTCTTTTATTATATAGTTACTATATTTTACTAAAGTTTTCTTTTTTTTTTCTTCTTTTAATTAATATATTTTTTATTTTTATTTTCTTTTTACTACTTTTTTATCTTTAAAGTAAATAAGTCTTTACTATTATACTTTTATATTACTTTTTTATTATTCTTTTATTAGGCCTTCTTTTCTCCTTTATTCTTTTTATTAATA